GCCCTCACCCTAGAACTAAAAATTATCAATAAGCCCCTCCCTGGAATAAGCCCCCACTGCTACTGTCAATTCTCCAATTGGCCCCTCCATTTGATGATTTTTGCCATCTGAGGTTGCCTATGGCGTTTTATTGAATTACCACAACAAACTCATACTTTTGGTAAGAATTAATTAAATGCACAAAAAGAAATTCCCAGTAAAATAAAAGAGGTCTTTTAATAATGTCTTCTTAATGTCTACAATAATTTTATAAGCCAGCCCCCCTCGTATAAGCCCCCCCCCCCTCGAATAAGCCCCCATCCAAAAATATCAAAAATAAATAAGCCCCCAGGGGGCTAATTCGAGGATTTACGGTACTTGACATTGCTATCTTATTAAAGATTTAGCAAAACGAAGGCAGTTTTAAAATATTTTTAGTCACATTGGGCCTTGGTTTGAAACAATCCAATATGAACATGTTTGGTTTCCTTAATAGTTGAAACCAATGGTCCGCTTTTAATAAATATATTCCGTGCTTAAGTCATCCGTAGCGTAGTTGATTCTTCTTCATTCTTTCATTTCTATAAGTATGAGTTGATAGAGTGTATTCCATGGACCATCAAACATTCATCTTTTTTATTAATACATAATGTTTTTCTTTCTGCAAATAGGGAGACAACGGTTCAAATGGATTAAAAGGAAACCAAGTAAACATATTATTAATCATCTTTGTGATATTTTACATGTCCATAAAAAGCTTTTTCTGTATTTTAAATGTCTTCAGTAATTTCAACATTCAAGGATACTTGAAGCAAAGGGTTTATTGAAAAATAATAATTTATTTTGCACTTTTATCCTGAAAAATTCATAACTATCCTTCAGTTCTCTAAAAGTCTGAAATTATTCGTCTAAGTGGTAATGCTCCTTGTGGCCTAAATATTGGACAGTTGTCAACGTTTTGCATTGGAAGGAGGCCCATAACATCGGCAAATACATTTGCAACTTTTGTATTTTGTATTGAACAAAATTGTCTGCTCAAGTTTTAATATAATTCTTGACCAAAGAGACCAGGATCAAGTCAGGATAAAATCAGGATCAAGTCAGGACAGAAAACAATATTTGTCCATTTTCTCGTCTCCCATTTGTGTTTTGTTGATGTTCTTGGTTCTCGTAAGGCTTTTCAAGCAAGTCAACTGCCAAATTACCATTGAGCTAAGTCTATCATTTCATGGAAGTGGTCGTCCTAAAATCAAGTTGAAAGCTCATAAGATGTTATGCTCGCAATTTTTGTTCGCAAATCCTATCTTTTTGTAGGGAGAAGCTGGTGATACAGGTGATGAGGTATAATAATTTTCACTTACCCTTTTCATTAAGCTTTGTTTTGAAGAATAGCAGATATATAGTCTGTGGTGTAAGCAATCTTTATTAGTTTGAACTCTATACAGTGCCAAAGCTGTAGCATTTTTTTCTCTATCCTTCAACTTAACAAAACTGTACTATTAGCACCAAATATTACAAGAGATACAAGCTTACCAAAATTCAAACACAATTTTGTTGTTGTTACATAAATTAATTTAGTATCTACTATATTGCATCATCTATGTGCCACGTGAGACTTTTTTGTCACGGGACATTTCTAGAGAAATGCACGAAACTTGCAGAAATTGGTAAGCTTGTTAAAAGAGATTATTTGTCAAATGATAAAGATAGCGGTTAGGAGTTCTCCAAGTAATTTAATTTTCAAAACACATTGCGTAATGTCGGCGTTTTTCAGGTGATAACAAGGTACCTTTAATAACAAGAATAACAAGCCCCCCTCCCCTCCCCCCTTCACGACATTCATTGATCTTCTTTTGCTGAACTAACCTTTGTTTTATCGTTCCTTTTAGGGCGATGATGGTGTTAAGGGTGAACCTGGAACACCGGTAAGGATAATGTTTAAATAAAGGAAAATTCACCTCTGGTGTAACGATATGTATATATATATGTATACTGAAAACTAAGATATAATCTTCAAGATAGGGACAATATTTCCTGGATCATTACATTCGAGAGATTGCCAACACAATAATAGAAGAAATTAGAAAGTTTTCCATTGATTTTTCTTGTTAGTTCAGGAACGTAAAATCTTAATTTTCAATTGCTTTGGGTTACAGGGAAGAGTTCTCCAAGAAATTAAAGGAGAGAAAGGAGAACAAGTGAGTTCGTAAAGTCGATTCTTCTTCCCTTTTCTTCACTGGTAGGCCTTTTAATAGCGCATACTGCTTACAAAGTAATTCGTAAACATTTATAAACAAGTTGTTGCCTTCTTAAACTATCTTATCCTTTCCTTTGATATGTCATATTTCTTGCTAGTACCAATGCTTTTGATAAAAATTGTTTTGGGAATTTTATCATGAATTGTTTTCTTTAGGGACCACGTGGTGAACCTGGTCGAAAAGGAGGACTGAAAAAAGAATTGGTAGACTCCTCTTTTATGGTAAGGATGCATTCTGAAGCTACCTAATTGATTGCTAAACATTTAATTAACGTTGACCCGGTTTCCTAGTACTTAGGAATAACTCGCAGCTTGCGATGCTTGCAAAGGGAACAATGAAAAATTCGAATCTGCGACCTTTGCTGATGGTGTAGCCTTTCTCTCTCCCTCACTAGACTCGTTGAATCCCAACCCATTGAAGGGTTTTCTAGATGCACAACCTGAATAATGATAATTCATTCTAATCATGTCCTCATTCACATCGCAATATTCCATTTTACCTATTCATTTTGGCTAAAGCAAGGTTTGTTACAACAAAAAATCTTATTGCTTAATTTCGTTAAAAAACAATTTTGAAATATAATGTTATTTTATCTCAATGTCTAAAAATTGCAAAGCCATGATTGATTCGTTTTGCTTCATGATTTATCGATTCACAAATTCATTATTTGATTCATTCATTTTAGGGACCTGTTGGCTTGAAAGGACTAAAAGTAAGCTTTACTTCTCTCTTTATTGTTAAACTGCTAATACCAAACCCTCCAGATTCTTCCCATCGTTTTTCTGAATATCTATCTTCTTTTCTTCGTTCTTTTTCCTCGCAAGAAATAACTAAAAAGTTCATTTTTTATCGTTTGATACTTAAGCGGTATCTTCTATAGTCTTTTGTATTTAAGTATGTTCGATTGGAAATTTGTTAAACTGAGGCACAGATATCTTCACTGTAGTCGGTCGTTTTGTGAAATTGGCTTATTTGCTCTCAAATATAATTTATTTTTGTTTTATTTACCTTCTATTAAGCCTAGAATAAAGAAAGACGTAAATTCAGGTTGCGTAACCCATGGAGCCCCAGAACACTGTGCCAGCAAGCATCAGTGATAGCATGGATCTTTTTATCACCTCAAATATCCAGTCCACCTTCGCCCTGTGTCACCATGCTCTGCGTCTAGCTTCTTTACAGTGCAATTTCATTTGTTTTAACTTTTCTACGATACTGGCTTTGAAAAAAGGAAACATTTTGTAACTAACTTTTGCATTGCATCCGACAATCTTTAGTGTGTAAATCCCCGGAATAGAGATAAAGATAGTTCATAGATGATATTTAAACGACTCGGAATTAAGATGGTATTAACAGTAACTATTGTTAATTCTAGGGTGAACCTGGCGTAGTTGGACCAAAGGGTGAACCCTTGACTCTACCTGGCGAGAAGGTAAGAAAATTCTGTCAATCACTTATTGTTATCTAGTCAAAGTCATTTTTAAAGGTATTGTATTGCCAAATGATTAAATTTGAAAACAATCGTGAGAATACCGCTTAGGTAAGAGTGTGTGAAACCGAAGCCAAAAGTATTTTTCTGGCGATCGAGATATCGAAATAGCTTGCATCTGCACTGTACAGTAAATCCCGAAAGCAAGAACCTAAGAATTTAAGAAACATTTTTCAATTGAGAAATGAACAAACTTCTTACTATGAATGGTATCTCCATAAAATCTTTCATGTTGACCAAGGAACATTTACTGGAATGTAGTCTGCGTGAACTGGAATGTTCAAACCTCTATAATCTCTTTATTAATGTTGTTAAAAAATTGTGTGTCCTAGAAAAAAATGGAATTGACTTTTATTTTTGTATATGATATTCTGGTTATTCTTTTCTTTCGAACATACTCCTGAGTAGCAAATACGAACACATACGTAACTCGATTCGTATCGTCTAAACGGCCCGGCACTGCGTCTTATATCATCCGAGATTTTCTGCTTGATAAAATTTAAATTTTGATGTGACAATATTTGAAATTGCTTCCTTAGGGAGTTAGTGGTGCACCAGGAGCAACCGGTGACAAGGGGTTCCGTGGTGACAGTGGACCGAAGGTATGTATCTTTCCCTCTGCAATTCGATGGCTGGTACCTGACAGGTATCCCCCTTAAACTGCCCAATTTTAACTGTGGAGGATCACTTACGTAGTTTTACGGAATACTGGTATTCTTCGATGTGATTAATTTTCAGACAACAACATTTATTTGCATAGTTAAAGAATATTGACTAAAACTGACAATCAAAATGTGTCTCCTAACTGTTTACGTGATTGTATAGGACAACCTCCTGTAACTGTCTGCCATCAAAGGTTTTAAGAAGTTTTTTATTGTTATCATGGTATGCTTTGAAACTTTTTAACCCAAAGCCTTTTTCAACATAAATAATGCATTATATATTTGTCAGATGAGTACAAAGATAAATCTTTTCTGCAAATTTTCAGAGATTAGGTCGCCAGATGGCAATTTCTTCATCAATTTTTTTTTCTAACTGGTGCAAAAAATAAGAAAACGCAAAAATTTCAATTTTTTTTATTTCATTCACAATAAAGTTATGTTTCTAATTCAGGGAAAGAAAGGAGTGCCTGGTTTCCCTGGAACAATTGGAGATACGGTATTACCGCTTTTGATTTATTGTTACAATCTAAATTAGTTTGCCCTTCATCATTTAAATATCTTTGCCAGCATTAAATTAGCCAACTCCGAAGTTTTCTCTTTTCGCTTTTAATTTTTTGTTCGACTTATCTCTGTTCTCATTATAGGCCCATTTCAACCTGTCTGCTGGCATTCGACTCTTGCCATACTCTTAACGACTTTCTTTTGGCTTGTTCTCTGAAGCAAATGATCTAAAATTGCCAGGCTATATCATTAACTTGCCGTTAAATTTCGCATATAGTAACAAGCGCCTAAGCAGCATTATTCACGTAATAAAGCAGACTTTGCAAAGATTTAGTGCTTGAATAATGCAAATATTTTATTTCCCTACTTCCGTTGAATGGGAATTGAATTTTTTTCCTTTTTTTAAAGGGATCTGTTGGATACAAAGGTCTAAAAGGAAAAGCTGGACAAGATGGTGAGAAGGTAAGATAAATTATAAGTTAACTTTGGAACAAATATTTGAATACTGGTAAGATTCTTCACTAGTCTTTCATGGGTAAGTTAAGCTTAAGTCTTGTTAAGGCAAAAGTCATATAGATTGTTTAATCATAATCATATTTCAAGGATCGATTTTGCCCACTTTAGGGACGCCGTGGAGACGAGGGCCCCGCAGGACCACGTGGTGCAACCGGTGATGTAGCTCTGGTGAGTAGGTCAATTCTTCATAACAACATGCGTACATGTTTCTCACATCTTTCCTAACCAAACTGTATTCCCCTCTTGCTTCCTTTATCATCTCGGCTGAGACCAATTAGCTAGTTTCATTGACATTGAACACCTTTGTTTCAAGAGACTCAACATAAAGGGAGTTTATGTAGATAATCTTAACCGCATTAGAGAAGTCTCTTTATAACAGATCTTGAGTAAGTTGCTATAAATTTTGTCTTTAAGTCATTTTCTTTAGTGCAATCCAGTTTTCTTTCATTTTTATTGTTGTTCATATCCATATGCAATTTTCATGTAGGAGGCACGAAAGGGTGACAAAGGCCCAAATGGAATACAAGGAGAAAAGGGCGACATTGGATCAAGGGGAGAAATCGGAGACAAAGGACCCAAGGGTTTACGGGGCAAAGATGGTATGATAACACCTGGTGAAACAGGAGATCTTGGAGATCCAGGCCCACCCGGGCCAAGGGGTGATCCAGGAAGCGAAGGTTTGTTTCAGATGCAGCGAATACTTGCGATTAATAGTGTAAACGAACTTATTGCTATTTTATGATTTGTTTGTTTCCCAATTATGCATCTTTTGCAATAAATGGTAAATAACCGTACCGGTATCCTAATTTAACGGCGCTATAATGTCCACAAGCAGTGATGCAACCGAATCAGGTATTTTTAAAAACCAAATGTTGGTGCGTGTTTGCGAATGCATCTTAAGTGCAATGAAAAGCAAGATAACTGTATTTTATGGATTAGCAGATACTTTGTCCCTCATCAAAGAATCTTGATTTACATTGGTCCTTTTCAGGTCTTCCCGGTATGATAGGACCAATGGGACCACCCGGACCTGAAGGAAACCCAGGTCCAGTCGGAGAGCCCGGAAGAACTCCCGCAAGAGTTGATGGAAAAGATGGTATGATGGGCCCTCCAGGTCCAAAGGGAGGAAGAGGGGCAATTGGAGATCCAGGACCCCCAGGAGATAGAGGTATTTATGGTTATTTTTAGTTTGAATCTGAATCATAAGTTACAGTAGGTATTCACTGAATTATTCCAGTGTATAAAGCTTATGTTGCTGCGTGGACGGAAATATAAAAAAGTGGAAGAAAAGGTTGTCTGTGGCCATTAAGCCTGCTTTTTAATATCTAGAATGATTCTAAAGACTCCTTTATCGACCTTCCTCACATACGAGTTTCACTTTTAAGAAATACCAGAGCATAACACCCTGTGAATTCGCCTGACCTATCTGCAAGGAAGGCTTGCCGTAACATTGTAAAAAGGCAGAAAACAACACTTAATTTGACACGACATTCATTTTCCTAGGAGTGAACATAACAGTGAAAACCCTTTGTTCTGGTGGTGTTTGCCCCAAAGGCGATCGTGGAGTAGCTGGCCCTCCTGGATCAACTGGTGAAGCAGGAGCTGTAGGCCCAGACGGACCACGGGGCCCTAAAGGTTTGCATCGTGCAACTGTTATTTTGCAAGGATTTTGCTTAACTTGTTTTGCAAATAAGTGGTTTATGTTAAGTTCAAATTAAAGCCAATTGTATTATGATTCCTCGCAAAAAGAAACCTGGAAACTTTTTTATCTTCTAGCAACGAAACTGCTGTTTGTCTTCCACCATGCCTTTCAATCATAGTTCAACAATTTGTTTGTGGCAAACGGTGATTAGGGTCAAAGGAATTTTTTTCCCTTCGAGATAAATAGGTGTCGTAGAAAAACGAACTTCAGTTACAAATACTTATTTCAATTTTCTGTCAGATGCTACGCTAAAAGTTATAGAACTCAACTTAGTAACCCCTAAATTCAAATTCAACCGGGAAAATAAAAGTGCTAAATAAATTGATGTTAATTATTTCCCAAGGTTTTAAAGATAAGTGTCCAACATGCCCTCCTGGTGAACCAGGTAGCCCAGGTGATATTGGATTTCCTGGAAAAGTTGGTCCGGCTGGTCGAAAAGGTTCAACAGGAGAGCCGGGACAGAAGGGAGTGGAAGGAAAACTTGGTAGCGCTGGAGATGCTGGTCCCTTTGGAGAACAGGTATATTTCACTTTATTCTACATGTTAAAAATTCAGATGTACACTTGTTGAAAGAAACATTGTAACAAAAGCACATGCCGGTATCAATCATTAAAGACATACGTATTCCTCCATTTCTGTATTGCCGTTCTTTCCCTTTAAAAACACTGCATGAAAAGTTCCAAACTAGAAAGTAACGCAACAAAGTTATTTTGTCTTGATATTAGAGTTTATATTTAACTATTATATATACAGTCTGCTATCAATAAGGTAAGTAAATTTATTGCGTATTTGCTAATCTGACTCTTAAATCGTATAGGGTGATGCTGGACAACCTGGTAATAGAGGTGACCCCGGACAAAAGGGAGAGACAGCTGATCAGCCAAGTATAATCAATGGTGACAGAGGGGAAGTAGGCGATAAGGGTCAAGATGGAAGGAGGGGCCAGCAAGGAGTTATTGGCCCCGAAGGTCCTAGAGGAGAGAAAGGACAACGGGGTATTGATGGAGTAAGCCCAGGAAGGGTTAGTATGCCGTGTTAAAATTTGTTTTTTATTAAAGAAAACTATCACTATGTCTTGATTTGGACTCGAGCATCTCAGAAACTTTACAAATATTCTCACCTAAGAAAACGATTATTCTTTGCATGATAACGCATAAAGTTTCACGAGGCTTGCTTTTTATAAATTACTGATAAATATTTTTAGGGATAAAATATTGTAAAACTATTCAGTCTTAAAATATTGTAAATAATATACTAATCAATAAGCTGTTGAATATATAAAAATATTAGAAATTATTCACTCTATAGTGACGTCCCATTAGCTTTTATGTGATTTGAATATAAAACTTTTCGTTACTTAAAGGGTGAGAGGGGCATCACTGGAGACCGAGGACGCAACGCGCGCAAAGGATCAAGCGGACCGCGCGGTGAAACTGGTGACGCCTTAAATGGGCGAAAGGGCACCAGAGGTGACGTGGGAGACCCAGGAGAGCCAGGAGAAAGAGGTTTAGCTGGTCGGACTGGCAGTCGTGGAATTCAAGGGGAAGGTCCCATTTCAGCTGACTTCCAAATTTGTAAGTCCATTGTAATGTTTTTTCAGTTTAATTTACAATTAAAGAGAGACATAGCAAAATGCTCTAATGTTCATCATTTTGCAAGCAAGAAGCGAAATCTACGAAAGCCGATCTTTAAATGACATGGAAGCAAATTTCATTTAGGACCTGTTTGCAACTTTGTACCTTGCGGCCTCGTTCAGGCATCCGTTCTGCGCACCCTAGTGAACCTTTTTTGAAGTTAGACTGTATATTGTTCCTTTCTACAAAATGGTAACACTGGAAAGTTGACAAATATTTACAAATGTTCGATTAATAAACGATTGTTGTGATCCTGGAAGATTAAGAGCCAAGGCATCGAAAATCGCTTGCCAAGAGACTGTATTCATAACCACTTGACAGAAATATTGAACTGAGAAATTTCTTTTAAGACAACATCTCAAAAGGTGCAAAAGGTGGCGTTGGAGATGTTGGGGAAGATGGAGACCCAGGAGAACAAGGCACAGCTGGTCAACGTGGTGATACCGGTGTCAGAGGCGAAAAGGGAGACAAGGGTGAAGTTGCACCTGATGTATTGGCACTTCTTAGAGGTAAGGGAAGCTATTTACATTGTGCCACTTGGTTTGAACTTACATCCTAGTTGTGTCGTAAATGCTGTGATTTAAATTATCATTGTGTACACACACTCAAAGTTCTAAATTCAAAATAAAGCCATGTATAAAAGAGAGCCAGTATATTGTATGTTAACTGTACCAAACCGCAGGCACCAACTGGGTTTGGCATGACCTCCCCTTCAAATGACTGTTTGGGGCTGACCAATCCCTGTTATTTCGAAAAAAATTACCCACTTGCTGAAATATTAAGGATGTAAAATAACTTTTCTTTTACTTATGACTTTTAATAAGTAACTTTCATGCATCTGCAGCAGGAGTTAAGTCATGCCTACATTATGCACGAAGAGGCCCGAAAGCAATTGATTATTTTTGTCTTCCAAAAAGATGTTTGCTTTCTTTAATGCAAATTTTTCTTTACTGAAATTCGCACAAAAGTCCATATCCATGCAAGACCCAACCCTCTTTTCGAACGGAAATTCGCTAAGTCGGGTCATTTCCTTACGCCCACCCCCCTCCCCCCTCTAAAGTTTTCACCTAGCGGGATTCAACTATAGTTTTCATTTTCACTCCAAGAACCTTGTTCTTAACATTACGAAGCTGTCATGTATAAACTGAGCAAGTTGCAAACACATCAGTACTTCGACATTTTTGCCCTTCCAGATGATCCAGGTGCGACACCGTCTAAAGGTGAGAAGGGCGTGCAAGGTGCAAAAGGTGTCAGCGGTGATGATGGGCCTAAGGGTACGAGAGGTGATCATGGTTTGGCTGGGAAAGTTGGCGCTAAAGGACCGATTGGAGCAAAAGGAAAAAGCCGTAAGTTAATGTTCACTTTCAGATGAGCTATACTCCAGGTTTGCTAGCTCTAAGATAAGGGTATTATAGGTTGTTTATGGTGTTCGTTCTTTCAGCAACTGGAATTGAGCACCCACTTGCCAAGGTTTGAATATCAATTATGTCTAATTATCTATTAATGCACCAAGGGTAAAGGCTTGGATCACATTGCTAGAAATTGTCACTAGACATTCAAAACTTTACCATTTCGCATCTTGCTTTTTCGTTTTCCGTGCAACGTTGATGCATTCTGGAGGTCTGGTAGAAAAATTCCATAAGGTTACCTGACGACCGCTCTCTTCGTTTGGGGGCTTTTTTCGAGTGGGTTGTGTGAAATATTGTTTATTTTGAAGTACTATTTGTAAAGATTGAATTTATCCTTATCGCTGAGTATTATAGAAATGTTTAATACCCTTCTATATATAAGTAAGACGTCTTTTTTAACTCCAGTGTACATTGTCACAATTTATTAGAGGCTGAAAAATCTTACTAATCAATGGTAACCTTTCAACTTTTTCTTGGTGTAGCCATCATGTCTTGTTTTTTTAAATTGCAGATTGTGAAAACGGTGGAAGCGGCAACCTTAAAGATGAGAAACGAGATATCGCCTTCCTGGTTGATTGCTCGGCTTCTTTGAGAGAGGAGAATTTCTTGGCACAGAAAAATGTCATCAAGGAAATTATCAAAGTAATTTACCCCGCATCGATCGAAGGCAACAGAATTGGGATCATTCGCTATAGTGACACTGCAAAGATTGAAGCAAACCTTAACGATTATTTCACCAATAAAGATCTGTATACATCAATTGAAGGCATACCGTTTTCAAAAGGAGGCTCAAGAATCGACCTTGCCCTGCAAATGGCGAGGGATAGCTTATTTACAGTGGCTAATGGTGCTCGAGCGGATGCCAAAAAGGTAACCATTGCTTAAATGCCATTAAATACTCTTGGTTTTAAAACATCGCATCTATTGAATTCTCATGAAACTAAGATCTACATATGCGATGATTTACAGATGAGTGTTATGCAATGTTGCATCGGAGTCAAAGAGCGTTCCAAGAAATTGAAAAAGGGCTCCATTAATTAATGAATATTAATATATTTGTTTAAATGTCAAGAAGTCTTCTTATTAGGAGTTAGGAGTCAATGATGCACAGTTCCCATGTTAATTTATGGTACGCCCTAACTAATAACCATATCTTTGGTATTTCCCAGATTATAATTCTCCTGTCGGATGGCTATCAAAGCACAGCCCTAGATATGGAATCCCCAATTAAGATTGCTGCAGAGCTTAAAAGCCAAGGAATGCGAATCTACGTTCTTGCTGGTGGACCAGAGATCGACTGGAATCTTTTGTCGCAAGTTGCTTCCAGTCAAAGGGACGTGGTGGAAGCGAGAAATTTCAACGACCTTTTCAATCGCTTCTCTGTTGTCCAAGATGCATTGCAAATTGGATGTTCTACTGCAAAAGGTCAGCCATTTTATCTTAAGTTGTTTGCAAGAAGCAACATTTTTATTTACAAGTTTTTGTTTTGTTTCTTTTGGAACTGTTTTCTTTTTGTCAGAAATTTGGTATTCCACTTTCACGAGGCTAGCCAAATTTCTTATATGTAAAAAATCATACCTTTTTGTAGATTTGACCCCTGCTTTTCATTTTGAACCTGAAATTGTAGGTTAAGCTTCGGCATGCTGCAAGAGAAGTCCTGCGTAATTAGGAGTGATGCATTCATTATCAAATACTATGACTTCAAAGTGGTTTTGTGAGATACATGTTACGAATAAGCATTAAAATGTAATGTTGCGAAATTTTCCAAACAGGAGAACGAGGTGATCCTGGAGAACCAGGAGACGTGGGACCCCCTGGACCAATCGGGCCCATCGGCAGAAAGGGAGCAAAAGGACTTTCATTCATGGGTGGTAGTGGTTCTCGTGGACAAAAAGGGGAAAAAGGTGCCTCTGGAGACGGTATCCCTGGCTTACCAGGGCAGCAAGGCTTGATGGGATTCCCAGGAGCTACAGGTATTTACGATTTGACTCAAATTGTCCAGTTTTATAGTTAACTCAAATGAACTCGAATTACGACACTGCGAAAAGTACAATATAATTATTCTGTTTTTGTTCGTTGTCACTGCCATTTTCTCGAGATGAATTGTGTTGATAACCAGTTGATCTTAACAATTAATTTGAAAATGACCATCGATCTATTGTTTTCTGATGTCATTTGTTAACCAAGCAGTGCCACTACTAATCTAATTCTCGAGCCTGTCGACTTTCCAGGAGCAAAAGGTGACGCTGGAGAGGCAGGAAGACCTGGACCAAGAGGCCAAGCAGGAAGCGCTGGTGATCCCGCCACCTCGGCGCCAGAAGGGCCAAAAGGATTCCCAGGACTTGCTGGACCAAAAGGAAAATCTGGCAAAAAGCGTAAGCCGTTATGGGTTGCTTTCTTTCAAAATACCCATCAGTTTTTAGCATCCAGATATTTCTGAAATTCAACAATTTTTCCCGAATACACTACCTAAACACTTGCAATCTACACATTGTAGCCTTCTTACCTGTGTTATGTTTGTGTGTGTTTACATTTGCCGGTTTGAAATGGGCAATTGGTCTCATTGTTAATTTAGAAGCATGAGGTATGGCTCACGATCTATTCTCAAGCATTTTGTCGCACAGATATCTAGATAACGCCTAGATGTTCACAAATATTGCCAAGAAGCAACCACAAGAGTCCTTCATTACCGTTTTCTTTGCCAATAACTAGTTGGTTAGTTTTTACTCTTAAGACAATTATGTTCTATTGTAGTTTGCCGTGAGGTTCTAAGAACGGATCTAGCATTCTTCTTGGACTCCTCGTCAAGTTTAGGCACAGATAATTTCAAAAAGACCAAAGATTTCGTCAAACTAGTTGCCAATGCATTTGATGTTAGCCCTGCAAACACACACGTATCTGTGGCGACTTATGGCCAGAGCTTGCAAACTGAATTCGACTTCACTCGATACACCAACAAAAAGGATCTGTTCGATGCAATCGATGCAATTCCATATCGAAGTGAACGTTTCACATACATTGACGAGGCTCTTCTAGCTGCAGATCGAAATGTTTTTACTGCAGCAAACAACGCCAGAACCGACGCATTCCGGGTTCGTCCATCTTCATTTCTTATACCATGTCATTCAACTTTTTCATTATCTAGTTCTGGGTGTGATCATTTGATTCTGTAAGCAAAACGGTTGCCAGCTTATGTTCAGGTTAAAAGTATGATTCCGCTTCCAGAAATGAAAATCAAGTACGTGATCAGCTTTGGTCACAAGGGGGCCTACAAATCCCACTCTTTCACAACGGTGCTCTGTATTCTCCCTTTTCTGGCATCAAGCAAAGTATCCCTGGACTTTGTCTATAGCTTTTTTGAGACACAAAGCTACTGATTGTGAATTTCCATTTAGGCCGTGCTCTTACTGACGGATGGACAGCAGTCGACCAAACCGCGAGGTGAAAAGACCTACAATTTAGCTGCATTAGCCAAGAAGCTTCGCGATAGAGGTATACGTGTTTATGTAATGGGTGTCGGTGCTGAGGTCGACCGGTTACAGCTGAGAATGATGGTTGACGTCGATCATCACCTCTTCCTGAAAGAAGACTTTGAATCGTTAAACGCCAGGATTGAAGAAGAACTGGTTGAGCTGAACGATCTCGGGTGTGCTGGTGAGTTCGTTTTGGCCAGGCCTCGTCAATTTGTTTTTTTTTGCTTTTTTTTCATAATAGAGCAGATCGTTGGTGAAATTATCTTTCTTCACTTTATCATTTGATGTTAGTTTTCAGTCAGTTTGATCGCTGATTAAGTCTTCTTGAATACTATCGCATATAAGACATTTAATTAGTTTTCTATTTTGTTTGTAAAGGTCAAAAAGGAGAGAAAGGCTCTTTCGGCAGCAAAGGAGAAAAGGGATTAGTAGGACCAGTTGGACCCAAGGGAGAAAAGGGACCCCTTGGAGACCCAGGCTTGAAAGGAAGTATCGGTGAGCCCGGCAAACCAGCGTTCTTCAATTCGATTGGAAACAAAGGAGAGAAGGGTTTCATTGGTGTGAAGGGATTGCCAGGATTGCCAGGTCAGTCGCGTTATTTGGTACTCCCAGTTTTTGAAATTTCAATGAGAGACGAATCTAAACATGACTATTCCTCCCCTTGATCTCATAAAGCTGAGTTGCAAGAGAAGTTTCCTAGAATTCACAAGTTTCATAGTCGAAAGTCACAGCAACTCTTTAAACGATTAAGATTATAATTCGTACAACTTGCTTTTGTCAATACGATTAGACCGTTAATCGCCTTTCCGAGGAGATGCTTCGAAAATGAATTACGCTTAGATCTTTTTCATGTCATATTACTGTCATATCCTTCTAGATTACGAGACTCACATTTCAATGAAGGGCTATTTCATGCCGAGTTCATTTTTTTATCTTTGCTATTTTGTATGTTAGTATTTCAAGTCTTTATTTTCAGGATGTCCTCCGGATGCTAGGATAAATGAAGTTCCTTTGGATCTCGCATTCTTGATGGATGCTTCTGGTTCCTTGTACCTTGACAATTATGACAAAGAGAAAACATTTGTCAAGAACGTCATCGAAAAGCAATTGATTGGCAGAAGACAGACACGTGTTAGCGTCATGGCATACAGCAAAAGTGCAACTATTTTTGTCAAATTTGATCAATATTTTGACAAAGAGAGTTTGAAGTCTGCAGTTGATGAAATCCCTTACGAGTCATCAAACACAAGGATCGATCGAGCATTGATATTAGCTAAAGAACAGATGTTCACAGCTGCAAATGGAGCCAGACCCTATTCCAGGAAGGTATGTGCTTCCGGGTTCCCATTTGTTGTAATTAGAATTTAATTTGGTTGACTGATGTTACAAAATAGAATCGATGAAAAGGTTGGATAAGTTTTGGATAGTTTAACAAGCCGATGAGCTTAACCTTAATTTTTTTTATTGATGATGTTATGTAAATTTGATAGTAAATATGTAAATCTTGATTGTAAATTTGAATTTTATTAATGTAATATAAATATTGTGCTATTATGTTACTAGATTATACTTATTGTTATTTTATATCGCAAAGTTTATTTTATTATAAAACATAGTTTATAATTTATTTTTTATTCAAACACGTTGAATAACATTTTAATTTGTTATGTTTTTCTATCATTTCATATTGCTATTTTGATTTTTATTTGAATCGGTTTTGAATCCACATTTCAGTTTATGATATATGCAATAAATTTAACAATAAATTTTGTTCTAAGATATAAGCCCTTTATTGTTGTAATAAAAAAGTAACGCCATTTTTTCTTGCCCCTTCTTCTATAGGTAGTCGTTCTGCTAACCGATGGCCAACAATCTGTCGAGCCTGGCTCAGTCGATGTTACCGTGGCTGCGAGGGCGCTTCGTGGCGATGATGTCGAGATATTGTCTGTTGGTATCGGCCCAGAAATCGATCTTATACAGTTGAATGAAATCGTATCGAAATCTTCATACGTCTTTTTTGCAGCTGATTTTGATCGTCTTATCAGAGAGATTTCTTCAGAGGTTGCTTCTGCCCTCGTTTGTACAGGTAAAAACACATTGGACCATATACAACATAGACATATATATACAGTTGAATCTCTTCATACCACGGATAACTGAGACTTTCACTAAGTCTGACCGATTTTCAATACCTATTCGATATTTTATTCAAGACAAAAGTCGTACTTAGGATAGGCAGACCAGGCGCATAGGCGGATCATTCCTTTACCTTAACGGGATTCAAGTTGAAGGATATAGTTTGTTGTTGTTTACGTTCTTGTGTTGTGTTGTTTTGTTTTTGTTACGATTTAGGCCGCCTTTGTAATAACAAGCAATAATCATTCCTTCTATTTGGTCTCTTTGTTTAACCCATGAAGCAGAGCCAGGTAGCATATTAGAAAAATATCCGAAGCAAAATTCACCGTCGTTATGGTACCTTGATTAAATAATGGCTTTTTTACATAGGCGGGCCGTACGGTCCCCAGGGTGATAGCGGTCCAATAGGAAAGGCTGGACCTGTAGGCCCAAAAGGTTTGCCTGGAGACAAGGGCACCAAAGGAGAGATTGGCAACCAAGGTCGCGGTGGATTCCAAGGAGAGGACGGTTTGCAGGGACCAGATGGAGGCAGGGGAAAACAGGGTATCAAAGGAGATACAGGTGTGCATATGTTGATGTTTTAATCTCTTGAATCATTATTTGTCACCTAAAAGTGCGATGAACCGATACGTTTTTAGGTGATAAAAGTTGCACATGCTCAGGTAATAGTATGTCGAATGAGCGGGGGGTTTTGAAGCAGCAAACTGGAGTTCCGACCAAGAGTGGTTCGATACAATTGGGCAGCACTCTTGTGGAAAGAATTTTCCTCCTATCAGCATTTGCCTAATGATTATATATATATATATATATGTATTACTTTTTCATTTTATTTTTTCATCTCGCTTTTTTGCACTCATACTGTTTACAAGGATAAGCCAATTGTGAAGGTATATCTGTGTTGTTCTTGTAAGTTTCATTTTGTATTCTTCAAGGTGATGTTGGTGAAAATGGCCCAAAAGGAGACGTTGGCCCTCAAGGCGGAAAGGGAGACACAGGTGTGCAAGGTATTCAAGGAGATGCTGGCCCTCTTGGTTCTAGAGGACCCAAAGGTATGTCGTTGTTACATGTAGCTTTTTGCATTCGATTTGTAGGACTTATAGCATATTAATCTTTTTGTTCTGCCTGGAAGCCTTATGGCAATACGGCTAAAGTGAAAATTTTGCATTATTTTTCGTTTAAAGGTTTCAGTATGAAAAATACTTGTTTTGTTTGAAATTCTGTTTTATTACTGTATTAATACCTCTAGGTTTCAAGGGTTTTAAGGGAGCACAAGGCGAGGTGCCTGAAAATGCCCGTAGAGGGCCTGGTCCAAAGGGAGTTAAAGGATCAAAGGGAGAGACTGGACAGGCTGGGTTCCCTGGCTTTGATGGAGATGACAGCAACATGCCACTCAGTGCACTGAACCGTTTGTTCAAAGGATCTTCAGGTAATTTGTTGTGGTTTTTGTATATATTTCGAATTGTTAGCCTTAAAAATCATTCAACTTTTTTCAATTTTTTATTAGAAAGGCTGGCTTTTTAAGGATAAAATCGATTCTTTAATATTTATCAATATCTTTAGGTACTCATACTATTCAACATTGTCAGGGATATCGGTCGAATTTTGTTGCCCCTTTTCCATGTATGGTCCCTCGGATCCTTGTTTTTGGAGCTAACAAAGCAAATTTAATTCAATTTTTTAGGTTCCCGTGGAGACCAAGGTGACATAGGAGAAAAGGGTCGGGAGGGACAGCTGTTGTCTCCTCCTGGGAACATTTTGGGACGAAATGGTTCAGAAGGTCCTGCCGGACAGAAAGGAGAAAAGGGACTACAAGGGCTACCAGGAGATATTGGACCCCAAGGTTTGTAGTCTTTCTAATTTGCTCGATTTTTGTTGTTGTTTTCATAAAGGCTTTCCTAAAGACAGTACCCTAGTTGGAAGGTTGATCTGGCTAACAACAAAGCCTTACTTTTCATTTGCTTCACTTTTCATATCTTGCTGGGGTTTTTTTTAAAAAGCAGTTAGCATTTTGCTTACATGATTTCAGCTTACGGCCAGTCCTGTATTGAGCGTGTGTCTTGTCAACCTCATCCTTTGTGGCCAAATGTTATAATTTTCCGTTAAATTGATTTTCTAGGTCCTGCTGGAACAAAAGGTTTTCCGGGTCTGGATGGTTTGAAGGGCGAAAAAGGTGAAGGTGGTCCAAAAGGAAAATTAGGAAGAAAGGGTCGAGATGGAGCTCGCGTCCCCGGTCCAGATGGTGAACCAGGCTACATTGGATTCCCAGGACGTATTGGCCCAAAAGGAGAACAAGGTTTACAAGGATTTATGGGACTTAATGGACCAAAAGGTGAAATAGGAGAAAGAGGGCCAAAAGGTAAGCTTAGAGAAGTTATGCCAATTCCTTTTCTTCGAAATGGAATTGACTTTTCGTTTTGTTATTTTTGTTGAGTTCTGCGAACTAATATGTCTACTGAACAACAATTAACTTTAGTGAGCTAACAAAATTAAGCACTAAAAGTTTGTAATAGGGGATAAAGATGAAGAGTGAAAAATCTACTCCTGTATAATGTGACAATGTGACTTCTTTAACCATTACAAGTATGGAGTTAGCCCGTGTTAGGCTGGTACACACTCAGTAAAATGATTTGGCTGTCCCTTACATCAAAACTATTTGCATTTGCATAGGTTTCCCAGCTGAACCACCCAATGGAGTAAAAGGTTTCAAAGGTTTCCCAGGAGATCCTGGAGAAGTCGGGAAAATCGGTCCAAAGGGAGAAGAAGGCGAACAATTAGACGGTGAGCCAGGTGCGCCAGGTGAGGTTGGTCCAATTGGTATTAAAGGAGATCGTGGAATCCAGGGACCTAGGGGACCAAAAGGAGCCAGAGGTTTTGCCGGAACACAAGGTAAGAGCAACTTTGGCAGACCTTTTGCCTTTCAACACCTTTTCGCGTGAGATGTAAGCAAACTTTCAAAGCATATGTTAAATTTTTATTTTTTCCCATAAATTTGACCTTTCATTACATTTACTCGAAATAAATCACAACTGTTTAAATGTCACTGAGTATGAATTTTTGTACAGTCCCTAAAATATTGTTAATTTTTATGATATAATTGTTTAGTTAAATAACTAGCTAGCTAAAGCTAATATTCTAAACTGTAGAAAATCTGTGATAGAAAAATTAAGAAGTATTTCTCTGCTCCTTCCAGGCCCCAGAGGAATTGACGGAGAAGACGGTGATCCAGGAATAGACGGACCAAATGGTCCCAAAGGTGATATGGGTGAAGTTATCTTTGATTCGAGCAGCAGCAAAGGAGAGCAAGGAGATTTTGGCCCCCCAGGAGATACGGGAAAAACAGGTCCACAAGGTCCCCGAGGACCAGAAGGTATGACATTTTCTTGATGAGAGCTGTCCGTAGAGCTTAAAAGTTTTTAATTAGAAATTTAAATGGGAATTGAAGACTGTGTTAATTTCGGCATGTACAATGACTATCTACCTGAAATAAGCATTAATTTGTAACTGTTGCCGTTTTCATGTTTATTTATTGTTTTCTACAGGACCAATTGGACAAGAAGGACCAAATGGTGTCAAAGGAGAACGAGGAAAGGATGGTATGCCTGGTCTGCCAGGTGACCGCGGTCTTGATGGAGAAAAAGGTCTACCGGGACTTGGCGGGCCTTTGGGACAAGATGGTCCAGAGGGAGATCAGGGTCTTCCTGGGCCTATCACGGTGGCTGAAGGATTCTACATTGTCCGTCACAGCCAGTCTGATATAATTCCTCAATGTCCAAACGGATTAAAAAAGCTGTGGCATGGATACTCGTGGTTGTATTCCGTTGGAAATGGAATGGCACATGGACAAGACCTTGCAAATGCTGGTTCTTGCGTCAGGTGAGACTTGCCCTTCTTCAATAGGCCCTTCTTCATCTAATTGTTGTGTGGTTAAGCCGTATCGCATTCATCAGAATAAAAGGATAAGGACATTTAACCAAGATAGTTTTCATTTGCCTTGAATGCCTGACTGCAGAAGGTGCTCTGTCGATTTTTTTGCTCTTTTGCCAAAAACCTTTTTTGCTTGTATCAAGATTGAAGAATGTGTAACGAAGCATTTTAAACAAATGAAAGCGATAATTCAGTTTCTTTTCTTCTTCGATATTCCCTTAGTTAACTTTCTAACCTCTTCTGCTACCTATTCAACTAATATCTCTGCTCTCGGGGGGTAAACTAAGCTTAGTTTTGGACGGGAACGTGCCAATTTGGTTATAAATTAGGACCCAAAATTCCGCAAACATGATGAAAACTACACCCATAATTCCGCAAAACAAATAGAAAATTTTAAAGCACATAAAAAATCATCAAACAAATTTTGCATGTCCTTTGCCAGAAAATCTCAGTATTACATATATTTCATAGTTTTATTTCTAACTGGTCATTCATTTTGTTAATGCTAAATATCCCTCCTAATAATTTTGCAATAGTTTCCCAAAATGGTACCCATAATTCTGCATGTTTTTTCAAATGGTACCCATATTTCACATATTTCAAAAACTGATACCGATAATTCCGCACTTTTCAGAAAAAAGGTACCCCCTTAAATAATGGCACGTCCCCGTACCTTCAAACATGTTAAGGTACCCTCCCGAGTCTCGCTCTCTCTCTCTCTCTCTCTCTCTCACTCTCTCTCTCTCTCTCTCTCTCTCTCTCTCTCTCGAAGACGAAGCCAAAAGCTCCATTCTTTGTACGAATGCCTGTTATGTGTAACAACTTACAATTGACAAGTGATTTAAAACATTTTGTTGAGAAGGCATTACTCTCAGGCCACAATTATTGGTCCTCGGGCCATTCATTGTTATATTGAATGTCATCAGTCGAAATGCTTAAACAAGCAGCTTCCTTTTACAGGTCATTCAACACAATGCCATTTGTGGTCTGCGATATTTACAAAAACTGCAGATATGCCTCAAGAAATGACTTCATGTACTGGTTGTCTGCACAGAACACTCAGCTGATGTCAGCTGTGTCTTCCTCTGCAGTGACACCGTTTATAAGCCGCTGCGTGGTCTGCGAAACTCCCTCTGTTCATATGGCTGTGCACAGCCAAGACACGACGTACCCAGACTGTCCATTGGGTTGGAGCAGTCTTTGGACTGGCTACAGTTTCCTTATGGTACGGTATAAATATACATCCTCTCCAACTGGGTCACTTATGAATGCTTAAATAATGTCTCCTAAAAATTATTCTGGTAATCCCGCAGTTGATTGAACGAAGTTAAGAATAAAGAATATTGATTGCAACTGCAGCTAAGCGAAATTATAGTGATTCTACATTCTTTTAAGAAAACATTTAATCTGTTTATATGAATTGTTTTATAATTTATATGCTCCTATGGATTTGGTATCTTGTTTAGAAATTCGAAGCTCTAAAACTCTTCCGTATAAGCTTCTCGGTTGTCTAACTGTTAATTGTTTTTTGCAGATGACTGGCAGCGGGGGAACTGGTACTGGTGAGTCTCTGACGTCATCTGGCTCTTGTTTAGAGAAATTCCGTTCAAATCCATTCATAGAGTGTAACGGAAAGCGTGGAACCTGTGACTTTTTCAGTGACAAATTTAGCTTCTGGCTTAGAACCGTAAACAAGCAGGCTATGTTCCAACCAGCAGAAGTTGAGACACTACACGGCAACAAGGGACATGACCTCACGTCTCGAGTCAGTAGGTGTCGTGTATGCACCAAGGGATTTAACACCAACACATTAGAAGGACCAAAAACTAATGGCTCTGGCAATATACTTAATCGACGTTAACTATTAACGAATATTTAATTCAAATTGCATGTAAGGCCATAGGGTTTTCTTGATTGCTATGAAAAGTTGGTATGGTGTAAGGAAATTCCGGGCTTTCTGATCGTTATGTAACAAGACTAGAGACTAAGTGCATTAAAAGCTAATAATTGTTTGCTCATTTTCATTCTTTATCAGTCAGTTATTAATGATTGCAAATTGTATTCATGTCTTATTTATCAGATATTGCTAAGTCGGTTTTTCCGTAAACGTTATATTCTTCGCGATCCACACGTGATAGGTTATCCATTTTCTTAACAACGACTACGGAATTTCGCTTTGTGCGCCTCGCGGTGGTTACATGAATATATTCCTATTCTGTGCCACTTCACTGACCCAACTCAGGGTTGTTCTTTATAACGTCCTTTGACAATCGTCCCAAACAGACAGCAATCCTAATGCCATCAGATGGGTCCTAGTTGCACTACAACCAAATTTACTAAGCTTTACTAAGCTTTGGAATAATCAGCAACATGTTACGGAGCATGTTTTTTTATGAATTTATTAGCATCTGTGGAATTGAGTTGTTTAGGGCAGCTCTTTATAGATTTATCTGACGTTGCCTGGTTTTGTAACTATCAGAAGTGACATTATTAGATATTGCTACAAATGTTTAATCTCTGTTTCGCTGCAAGGCGAGATATTAGGCATCAATTCGTTATGAGAATTGTATTTTGACGTCATCTATGTAGCATTAAAGAAATTTTTATTCCGTTTTGCTTACAATTTCCCATTTTTCTACTCGATCTTTCATATATATTTTTACTTTAGGTTTGGAAACCCTAGTTGTTCCATAAATCATTTTGGAAATTGTTTTCAGAGTTATTGCCTTTAGGCCAATTTGTAATCAGTTGTATTTCGTGCTTTTGAAAAACTGTATACTGTATTGTGTTACACACCGCGTACTGTTTTTGTTTTTTCCTTCTCTTTTGACTGCATTGTCGCGCTTTTCTTGGTACCATAAGCATAAATGCATACTGATTTTTCCAACCGAAATTTAAAAACTGTCCATCTTTCCTCCATAAAATACCGATAAACTCACAACACCTTCTTCGAGAAAACAACAAAACCAGGGCGGAGTTAGGGTGCGGCACTTTAGTTTTTCCCTTGCTCGCGCTCGTTGAATTTGTGACTGCTACGCTTTCTAGGCTCTGCATTTGCTTGTTGCAGACACTGATCACTGGTGACTGGCAATTTTTTCCTGAATACCTGGAGTATGCCAGTTCTTTTCAGCGGTCTTGCACGTTTACGGTCATTTCAGCCTCGTTTTCTGTGTCCAAGCCTTTATCAAATATATGTCGTGCAAACAAGTTTTCTATAGTGGCGGAAGTTGTGGTGGGTGGTTTTTGAAGGTTTTGTCTCTCCTCCCAACCCCCAACCCCTCTCTACCTGCAAGACAAATCTCCAACCCTGTTTTCATATCAGTGTAATTTTTAATTCCAACCAATAACCTCTTGTTTCATGCCTAAAAAGTGTTTGAGCCAGACTGAATGATTGACTTTTGCAATATTTATGAGAATGTTACCAGTCCGAGTTTGATTAAGAATCTGTTGTTGTTGCTGCTCCTGTGTACCAGAGTGATGTATGTTGAGTGGAAGTCACTGAGGCATTCGTCGTAGGGAATTGGCATCATAAACGTAAAATTTCATTGATTTACTTGACCTTTCCTCCAGTTTATCGCCTGTTTATCTCTTGCATTCAATGTTTTGGAAAATATTTTTGTTTGTTAACTCCTGCACCGATATGTAAGGTGGGCCTAAATAGTGCATTAGTAACATGCCTTAATAATGATGTACGTACATATCTGACCTGAACCTAGGCATGTTTGAATTTTTATTTTTGAAAAAATTGGATTCCCTGTAAAAGTGACTGTGAAGGCTTAATTTTTCTTATGTAGAAGGTAATTCTTAAAACTTTTTTCGCTTAAAACTTATTACACGATTATTTCGTCCAGTATGGATTTCATTTCATGACAGTTGCACTCCCGATAATTTTTTGTAAAATCACGAATGTACTATTGCGCACACGAGTGATGAGCATAGATTGGGTGTGGTTTTGGTGTTGAATGGATTTTTAAGTTTTTTAAAGATCACAAAATTACTTTGTCATTCCATTCCAAACTGAATTTTGTTTGCAACAGAGATTGAAAAAAGCATGCCATTCCAAACTGAGTCATGCTCTTGAGGTCAGGGCTGCCAAGACGTTTCTTAGCCCTAGGGCAAAACTGAAAGATGTGCCTTTAAAGTCATCTTCTTGCAAACCTTCAGAAAGATTTACCATTTTTAGGCCCTTTTTGAGGTCCCTGGTCCCGCTCTTGTTGCCTCCTGCTTGAGATCAGCAAAAAAGAATTATCATGTTTTTGGCCTTTAAAAAATTCTTTCCAATTTTTTTTCTTTGCTTGCTGAACCTTTAGGAAATTGAATAATAGAGATGCTAATCCCTGTAAGAGAAAATTAATATAAACTGGATATAATGGCAAATGAAAAAAAATATGGACAAGTTCAATAATCACTGGGAAATTAGGTGCACGCTGAAATATGCGCACTTATTGCAAGTGCACTCAAGATATTGTTGAAAGCAGCCATGAAATCTGTGCCTGAAGTGAAAATGGAAGTCAAAATTTCTACTGCCTTTAACCTCAATGAAGTCCAAAGGTGTATTTTAAACCACCAAAATAAGATATACAGACAATTTTGAACACAAAAAATCCAAGTCTTTAACTCATAAGACATTGTAAAACTTCAAGTTTCATTAATTTCCAACTCATATTGTTTTTATTCTCAGATCTTTATTTGGAGTTCAGAGGCATGGGTACCATGTTTATCTTTTGAACAGTGATTGAGCTGAAGCAAAACAATGGGTACTATGATGCTTTCAAAGGCCAAGAAGCTAGCTCTGGGTCCAAAATGTCTGGTTCAGCAGACACCAAGGACTCTCACAACTTTAGCTGGTGTTTTCAACAAATGCTTTTCAGAGAATTCAAGAAAACTTGATGACAATGGTGTTGGTTTATTTGGGATTAGGGAGCTTAAAAGTCCTGATGGATTTCAAATTCTAAAGGATTCAGTTATGAACAAATGCAGCAATTTGATTCAGGAGGCAATTCAAAACCAAAACTCTCCTCGAATTGTTGCCATTTTTGATGAAATCTCAGATGAGCTGTGCAAAGTAGCAGACCTTGCTGAGTTTGTTCGTTTGACTCATCCTTCAAAAATGTATGCCAAGGCAGCAGAGCAAACTAGTTTGGGACTAGGTGCTTTTGTTGAAAAGCTTAATACCAATACTGAATTGTACAAAGCACTTAATCATGCACTCAAAGATAAAAATGTATCTGGTGCAATGGATGACACAACAAAGCATGTTGGAAATCTTTTTCTGTTTGATTTTGAGCAAAGTGGAATACATTTAGAGAAAAGGAAAAGGGAAGAAGCAGTCAATCTGCATGAAAAGATTCTTTCCTTTGGTGCAGAATTTTCACATAACACAGCTTTGCCAAGTAAATACCCAATGAAGAATTGGCCCCAAGATGTAAGAATTCCATTTAGAATATCCGGTGATAAAATAATTGTTAACAGTCCTTGTTCTGACTCTTCAAACAGTCTTTTAAGAAAAGAAGCATATAAGGCATTTTACATGCATACTGATGACCATTTAGCCGTTCTAGAAAACTTGTTATCATGTAGGAACCAGCTAGCAAACCTTCTTGGCTTTCAAAGTTATGCAGAAAGATCTCTGAAAGGAATGATGGCACAAAGCCCAGACACTGTTATGTCATTTTTGCATGAATCATTAAGTCTCTTAAGAAGCTCTACTCAAACTGAGCTTGACACAATAGCCAAATGGAAGCTGCATGATGTTAGTAGTAGCAACACAGTGAACATGTGGGATGTAAGGTATTACACCAGTCATATTGTCTCCCAAAGCTTCACACTTTCAGCTAGGAAGCTCTCTGAGTATCTGTCTCTTGGTGCTTGCATGGAAGGCCTTGACATGTTGTTCAATGAACTTTATGGAGTGAGGCTCAATAATGTGGATGCAGAACCAGGTGAGGTGTGGGCTGATGAAATTCAGAAGCTGGAGGTCAGGCATGAAGATGAGGGAACACTTGGTTACATTTATTGTGACTTTTTCAGTCGTCCTGGGAAAATTGGCCAAGACTGTCACTTCACAATTAGAGGTATTTCACTTGTCTTATATGCATTTTTCACAAATCTATTGTACTTATTTGTAACTTTTTTGCAGAGAAGTAACTTGCCAAAAAAATCCCACTACAATCTAATTACCAAAATAAAGGGATCTTTCAGTGTTTAAACAGATTCTTCTTTGATATCAATCTCACTTCAATGCTGTGGAGTATCCCTTTAAGAGGCCTAAGCGTGATACTTAACCATGTAATCAAGTATTTCTTATTGTTGTCAAAAAGACCAAATGTGTCTTATTTAGACTAGATTGCAACAATTTCATATTTTTTGTAAAAAAATATGAACAATTTAGGTACAGTGCCACACATCGCTTTAACGTCATTTTTTCCATTTTCTGCTGCTCGTCTGCTTCATATAAGATATGTGGGCTTAATTTCATGGCACTAAACAGCTGTGTCAGCAATGAATTCAATGTTTAGATTAAGATCTTTCAAATCTTTCTTGATGTTGTCTGACTCGAACAATAGCGTTGCGATTAATTTTTGAAAAAGAAAACAGAATTGACACAGACATTTTTTGCTTGAAATGAAAGCCTGGAACAGGGCTAGAACAAAATCTCTTAGCATCTCAAAGGTTGTATTATTAATCTGTTTTTGTTGCATAATTCTAATTTTTCATTAAGTTGTAAATTCTAGAATATCCTCCTTTCTGAGAAAAAAACTGAACAATGACTGGGTACAATAGAATGATTCTTAAATTTTTTTTTCGTGAATACCACCCTTAAAGTCGGAATGTGTGACTTGCTGAGCCGTACAAATTGAGACATTTTAGAAATACACTGTGATGTCAGATTACATAGCACTGTCACCAAACCGAAAATTTCTTTTCTCGTAAATAAATTTACTTGTCGAATTTCAAGCCCTTGTAGCTCAAATACTGTCACACAACGTCTCAAAACAAATAAGATACACGTAATCAGCAGGTTGATTTTTATAAGATTACCAAATACAAATGGGAAGGCAAGTTTCGGCATGAGAGGCCCTTTCATTGGCTACACCGATCGAACAAACCCAGGAATAGACACTATAGGCGCAGTCTTAACTGGACTGAGCCCCCCTGTCAACCAGCTAGCTAACCAATAAGCAGACCAGCAAACCCAATGTGACTGACCGACCAACCTCTACAACCGACCACCCCAAACTAACAAGCCCAACCAACTTATCAACCAATTAACCAACAGTGTTATTTTCTGTAATGGCGTCAGCAAACAGGCAAACATTGATAATGAAAATTCAGACTTTTGCCGGCTTGCAAGCATTCACAGCTTTTTTATCTACTGGTCTCTCTCACTATAAAAAAAATAATTTTCTAGGTGGGAAAGAACTGAAGGACGGTTCCTATCAGTTGCCAGTGGTTTGCCTTGTGTGCAACTTTCCTTCACCCACGAACTCTCTGCCACCATTGCTCACGATCGGTATGGTCGAGAACCTGTTTCACGAGATGGGCCATGCAATGCATTCCATGTTAGCCCGTACAAAATATCAACATGTGACTGGAACACGATGCTCGACCGACTTCGCGGAGGTGCCGTCTGTTTTGATGGAATCATTTGCGCTTGACCCAAGAGTACTTAAACGGTTTGCCAAGCATTATGAGACAGGCCAGTCATTGTCAGATGACTTCATTCATAAGCTACATCTGTCAAAATCGATGTTTACGTCATTGGAGACAACCACGCAAGCTTTTTACGCTCTTATTGACCAAGTGTACCATGGCAAGCATCCACTGGGTAGTTCAACCACTGAAGTACTGGCACAGCTCCAAAAAGATTATTTCCCTATTCCATATGTCCAAGGTATCTTAGCCATTTTTTAATTTTGCTTTTACCATGAAAGGAATCTTTGCTATTCTTCCGAAGAGTCCTTACAGACTATTTGTACTTTATTTTACGTGGCAAGAAACCTATCAATGTTAAGCGGAATTTGACAGCCCACGCTCAGTGGCGTAGCGTCTATGTATGCTACGCTTGGGGCGCAAGCGTAAAAAGCCTTGGCAAATTCAAAAATTCTTGCAACACTTCTACCGGTAATAGATACGTTGTAGTGTTAAAGTCAATGCATAACATTTTCCGCAATAAACTGCTTCTCTTTCTGGTCATGAGCAGCATGCAGCGCAAACATGCCAATTGGCTATTTTTCCATGTAAACAGACCGCTTAAAATTGTGAAATTCGAAAAATCTGAAAAATTGAAGCCCTTCCACATCAAGCTATCTTTTTGTCTGTCTAAAATAAGAGAAACATGCGATGCTCCAGCGCAGCTTCAGTGCAGCTCGAGAAAAGCTTCTGAGAGAAGTTAGAATTTTCCGGACTGGTGCTTGCGGTCGGCCTGAACGCAAACATTCCCAAATATTTGATAATCCACAACATTTTTCTGCCTATAAGCTGCTTTTTGCGAATATTCTTTGCGTGATACCTCATTTCAAATCTAATTATTTTCCTTTCTTTACTTTGTGTAAAGTCTATTTGTCATGATCCGCATTCCGTAATTCAAGTCAAAAGGCTTGCCAGTATAATCAGAATTTACGGGCCAGGGCATGCGGTAGACCTGAGCGCAAGCCTTGCCAAATAGTTGATGATTTGCAGGGAACAACTTTCTGAAACCATGACACATGAAAGCATCTTCAATTCTAGCAACTCTCACAGCTAATTTTTGTCATCTTTGTTAACTATGAGGATAGAAAATGAGCAGAAACTTTTGCTCCTGTTCGCTTAGGCTCTGTAGTGTGTTTCACAATTTCGCAATGTGGAGAGTTCCTCCTTGCAGGAATCCCCAGAGGCATTATAGCATAAAAAATTCTTACATTAGGTGGGCTTTAGGTGCTGCCTTTTCTTGACAAATATGAATATGAATAAGATCTTTTGCGAAACGGTTTTAGCACTAGAAGTTATTCTAAAAAATTTTGCAAAACAATTGACCTTTTTTCAAAAACTTTTCGCATGGGTGACAATTTTTCCTTGGGTCCCTTCACTTTCCAACCTGTGACAGAGCCTCTGATGCAGAGAACAGACACCTTGATTAATTAGAATTAGAGTAAAAATAATTTGCTATTTTCAAAATAAAAATTTATTATCACGATTATCATTAATTACCGTTTGTATTTTTAAGAAGTTGAAATTACGATTACATTCATTCAACATAGCCGTGTATTATATGTTACCGCATGCCTAAGTTCTGCGCTCACGCTACGCCACTGCCTACGCTAACAATACATCAAGCCAACTCAAACTAGCAGAAAAGCCACATTAAAGGTAGATATTATTGGCCATGTTTCTAAGGATATGTTTCTGCTCTTCAGTTTCTAAAACCTTTTTCTCCTTTCTCACTCACACTACTTGTCCGGTGAGAAGTTAAAGTGAAAGATTTATCTTAGCAAGAGGAATTTGCTTGCGAATGCTGCATTCTAAACATTTTTTATTTGTGATTTCGAAAGTCTACTGTGTTTTTATATATTTATACTTTTGAATGTTGCAGTAAAGTTGGTAAAAGGAGGTTTGTTTTGTTCAAGAATTGTGCAATTGTTTTATCTCCTTAAAGTCCATTCTTTTATACACCTATAAGAAAATAGTATGACCAACAAAATTTATATATGTCTTGTTAAATCGCTTCTCTGCCCATTTGCAGCTGCTTGGCTTTAAAATGCAGTTATGAATCACTTTGCGCCATCTTGAAATTCCGAATCTTTTTTTTCTGTCAAAGGAAATCATGTAGACTTTATATTTAATTGTTGTTGCCTCGTGCTACTTTGATCTTTGCTATTATCGCCTTTGACATTACTGAGACGTTTGACCTTTTGGCTTAGGAACAGCCTGGCAACTTCGCTTCAGCCATTTCCACAGCTACGGAGCAAGGTACTACTCCTACCTATGGTCAAAAGCTGTAGCTGCACTTATATGGGGACGATTCTTCAAAGAAGATCCCTTTTCCAGATCTTCGGGTGAGCGATACAGGAGAGTGATGCTCGCCCATGGAGGAGGAATACCATCACAGCAGTTGGTCAATGATATGTTGGGAGAAGACATTTCACCAAAAGAACTCGTCAGGTCTTTGAAAGACGAGCTGGAGATTTGAATCGTGTTGCATTTTTGAAATATATGTATTTTGCTATCACTTTACCAAAGACATGTTTTTAACCTGAACGAGAGACTTTTTAAAAGTCTATAATTAGCCTCATATTTCGTTTAGGTTATAGGTCAAAAAGCATAGGCTAATATTTTTAACATTGATAAGGAGAGACATATAAAACGACATATTTTTTACAAATCAAGGGCTGACTGAAGGTGATGAACTTTATGTGAAATAATGGCTTCTGCATTTAATGTTGCCTTTACCGAAGTTTCTGCCATATCGTGACTTTTATAAAGCCATAAAGAGCCACGTCACGCGCTTGCTGTTAGACCCGAAAGAGAGCCAGATGAGGACCAATGATGTTTTAGTAATACTCGCTGTGAATATATATATTTAAGAAGCTAATGCACCCGATTTTATGTTGAGCTATTTCCAGGTGCAACATTTTAGTCGTGGTTACTTGTAAGCAAATATTTTGAAAGGCCAAAATATTCAAAATGAGGCATTCAATCTTTGTCAAAAAATATTTGAGAATTTTCAGAAATAAATGATAACCACTCTTGGTGACTATGAAAGTAGACATTCTTCACCCGTTTTTGTTATGTCGGCCTAAAAGAGTGAGATAAAATTGCATGACAATACTCACTCCGCGAGTCTAAAGATTCTGAACGTCGATGGAAAAAATTACCTTATTAGTGATTCTGAACTCAAGCGCACTAACGAAGTAAAAACGGGTGTTCGCTCAAGGGTAAGTGCTTTAACAGGTCCTTTTGGACTTACACTGGTAGCAAACGTCAGTCTTGTATCGATAAATGAATGATTTTGTGACAATTTAAATGACACAAACAGTAGGCAGAAATCCCTGCTTGGAGCGAAAAAGAAGTATGCTTGCTTACTGGTTATATCTACCTACCGAGACGCTTGTTCTTGTAGGTACTATTACAGATCTGCGTGTCTTCGCTGGACTTGGTGGGTCGATTGACAGCCGGGTGTCCGTATTCTTTGACATACTTCGAAGTAGACCACTGTCGATACGGTCCAATGCAAGTGCCCTTGAGGAATTATATCTGAATCCGAGAATGTAAACCAAGGCCAAAAAGTGGGGTTATTAAGTGATACACTTGCAACACAGTACCCTTTAAACTTTTTGCACTTGCTGTTTCATCCCCACTCAGCCTCTCTCGGCAAAAGAGCCCCACAGTTCTTTTGCCGATTATGTATGACTTAAGAATAAAGAAATCTTATTTAGCCATCTGAATAAATTTTAATACTGTTAAAGTTGCCTGAAAATTTGGAGTATATTGGCAATATTCGTGTTTTTGTATTTTCATATTTTGAGTGAATTTGTCGCTTTTAAAGCATAGCTGAATATATAACTATGGTTACATATAAATTATAAGTTCTATTTTCAAATACGCTTCTTTCTATTCTCAGTCTGCGACCAACGAGTTCGATTGAATAAAAATTCAAAACTGCCAAAATTTGATGAAAGAGCCCTCAAACAGGATCTTGTGTTATCTACCCTAGAATTTATTAAGAAGCACGCTATAATAAATGCTTATTTCGAATTGCTACTATTGCAGAATTGCTTCAATTCTTAAATGCATAAATGAAATTACTCGTTAGTTTTCATCTTTAGTCCCGTCCTCTTTATAACGAGCAATTTCTGCTAGCTTACATTCGGTATCTTGTAAAAAGGTAAATGAAGAATGATTAAGCAAAAATTTAGACAAGTGAAATTAATTTTTATTACGGTATTAAGTATTTAAGAATTATTATTCTTTAGCATCATTGGTCCTTGAAGGACAGGGCCCACCAGAGCTAAATAGGAAGCAAAATAACAAGAAACTAGGGGGGACACATGAAATAAAAGCGAGGCTCAAATCAATTTTCTATAGTGGGTTTAGTTGCAACATTCGGTGTTTATCACTTTATGAAAGGGTAAAACAGCATGCAAATTCAAAATTTGTTGCTCCTCTTCTTCACTCATTTTATATTCACATGAAACTCCAAATTGCAAAAACAATTTACAGCTTTCATTTTCTACGAAATAAATTTACCCCCTCTTTTTAAAGCCTTTCAAACCCCTCTGTATTTATTTTTGGAAAAAAATGACAACACCCCCAAATTTAAATACTGGTAATTTTTTGTAGAGTGTTATAATTTTACTGTAAAAACTTAGTTGTTGGCATCGGCATAGACAGAAAATTTTTACGGGTTATAGAGGGTGTTGTGATTTTACCTAATAAGGATACAAACAATAGAAATGCAGTAAAAACTGGCTCGAAATGTCAAAGGTGCACGAGTTTCCATTTCCCACTCTGAAATTCAACTCTCGCATTATCCTGGCTTTATTTCATATTCTTATCTGGATCTCCAAAACTGCTCTCATGAAGAACGCCTATGCAGTCATGAGGCCGAGAGGGAGACAGCAAGCAAAACCTTGGGTCTCCCGGCGGAACCGGGAGAGTTGACTGGTCTGATTTCTTTTTGTTTTTCCCAACGGTTTCGACATGCTCTGAAAAATTATCCACAATGGTCGATTTAATATAGCACCACAAAATTGAAATCACAACACCACAAATTTATTAGATTCACAAATGCCACCAAACGGCATCATATAAAATCCCCTTTAATCCATGCCCGCCATCATTATGGTATACCCCCTGAAACTCAAGTTATGGCGGGAATCTCGCGTGCAACTCGCAATGCATGTACTTCAAATAACGATCACGAAACTGGCCTAGCTATCGTGGGGAACTCAAGTTTGCAGGGATTCCAGAAAACTTCTGTTCTTTGCTGCAGATAGTATATCGGTAGAAAGAACGTTTTTATTGATTTTTCAAGTACAAAGGCTGTATTGGTTGATTTCCAGGCGATCACAGTGAGAGAAGGGTCTACCGTCGTTAGTGGTTTCTGGCCAGCAAGTGCGTTTCCTCTTGGCCATTTTGAAGAAAGTGCATTATGACCAGGTAAGGATGTGATGCTTAAAATGTGCATCAAGGTTAATAAATACAAGCTGACTTAATGGAAATCAATCTTTGTGGGACAGGTACTATACATTTTTACCATTTTTTTTACTTGATGCGTACATGTTATTAGAAATTAGCAGGCATTGTCGCTAATATAAATTGTTAATGATAGTAAAAAATATTTCCTATGAAATAATATAATAGTTTGATAAGCATAATTTTCAGTGACAAGGAGAGTTGTCTGTTGGCAAGCAAATGAGTTAGTGATAAATCAAGGATGATTGAATAAATGACAGGTTTCTCTAGCATTTCAACTCAATCTCAAACCTCCATCTTCAACAATATATAGCAGCTTATTATAGTGGCTAATACTATAATTATTAATTGGAATTTTATAAAAGAACTTATAAAGTGTTGAGGGACAAACAGAAAAATATCTTAAAGAGCTATCTAACCAGCTTCTCCGTAAATTGTGTACAAATAATATCATTATATTGTTTAATTCAATATGGAAGAATTTAGTAAAAATTAAGCAAAATCAATAGTAATCAGCAAATATCAGAAATATAAAAAAATGAATAGATATATAAAATATTATGAAATTTAGAGGAAATAAATCCATTTATGTATAATTATTTATCTTTGGTATACATTTGATTGAAGAAAATAAAAGTAGTTACACTTTCCTTCAGTTGAAGCAGTACACTCATTTTTTTATAAGAAACAAAGGTCTATGTTGAGTCACTCCAGTTTCTTAATGTTCTGGAAATTTTGATACTCATTGTTTCTTAAAGGAGAACTGACACACAAAAAAAACTTTGGCTTCTTCTATGCAAAATTTGTCGCTGACTTCAAATCTGGAAAAAGTTTTCTTCTTAGATTCGCCGTTTTTCTGATATTTGCACTTTTATCCGTCAATACGTCACAGCCAGGACTTAGGAATTTCCCGAAGCAGAAACAAGATTATCGCCAGGAGTTGTTAAAATTCGCGGTTGACGTGACAAGTGACATGTTAACAATGCTGTTGTAAATGCTTTCACCGAAACAGTTAAAGTACAAATGAAGTTTCGTGTTTTTTTAAAATATTCCACAGAGAAAAGACAAAAAATTGCTAGGCATTTCATTTATAAGTATAAAGAAGCCAAAAAATTCCTAGCTACATGTCTGCTATGACGCTAATACCCATATAAAATATATTTTTATGCCATGATGTCTTTGAAATAAACCAGCATGCTTTGAAACATTAAAAGAACCTCTAAGCTAATGAAGAAAGGAGTCAACTTTGTTTGAAAATTTATACCATTTCTTCAAAGTTTTTATAATTACAAATAAAATCACAACATGAGGGAGGGGGGTGTTGAAATAATAGCCAAAAGACAAACGAAATCTAATGGAGACGGCGGTAAAAGCGATCCTGCAACCTGCTTTGGGTGCAGAAATATGAATGCAAGAAAAAACCTTGGTTGATGGGAGCTGCGAGTGTGACTAAAAAATAATTTTACTGAACTTGATTATTGCATTTTAACAGAGGTTGAGATACTAGGGAATAACCTAGTCTTGCAAAAAGACCATCCCCCACCCTAGTCAAAATTGCTTGCAAAAGAATATAATGCGCCAGTTGATATTCCTATGACAACTAAACAGCATTTTCTTTGACTAAAAAATCAAGTTCTTTCACTAAGAGCTAAGAGCCTATTTGGTAACTCCAGATTTTTCGACTGCCAGGTAACTTATCAGTTCTCGAAACCTTTCACGCCTGGTGAAAATGGCATATAATCTGCACAAGTGCACCTTTTAACCCACCTTTACTATTTAATATGACAATACAGTTTACGCATTTGAAACATTGAAAAAAATAATTGAATGCTACATTAATAATGAATATCTTGCAGTTCTGTTAAGGGCATCATAGGCATTTAAGCAAACTACTGTTTTAGCCAAACTTATTTTTGTGTGTCAGTTCTCCTTTAAGAGTTTCTTAATTATGATGTCATGAATGATGTTATAAAATGTCTGTGACCTTTTTATCACATTAAGAGATTCACTTCCGTTCTGATGCTGTATTTAGATGTGGGAAGTATATTTTTATCCCTTGTGTCTTGAATTATAGGCCAACAGGACAACCATGTTATTGGATTTTACAAAATTTCATTGTTCTCAGTGTTATCACGATTTAATAGTTTCTGAATTTTTTTGCTTCAAGTACTGGAGTTTCTTAATTTTTTCTGACTGTCCAGTACTTATTTCTTATAGCCAGTTTCTTATAAAAAAATGAGTGTAGGCTTGTCTTTTTATGTAACCCAGTATTTTTATTATCAGCTCCTTGTCAAACGCCTGAAATTTCATTTCCTAGAGCTAGAGTACATTCATGTTTTAACTGGAAGGCTCCTTGAAATGGCCATGACAGAACCATGTTTGACAATAGTTGAACCATAGCCAGACCATGTTTTCAACCATTGTAGTCAAGCACTGAAACCCATGTAGACCCATGTTACACCACAAAAGTTGAAGGAAACCCATTGCCTAACCGCAGTCTGATAACTGAAAATTTGAATAAGTCAATCATTATCTGATAGTAACGCTTTATACTGATATAAAATTGAGATTTTTAAACTGTAAGGCCTTTATACAAGCCTAAAAAAGTTGCTGTTTTATCTTTATTTCTAAGTTAAAACTGAATCTTAAAAATGGGTGTTAAACCCTCTCCTGGTTCTCACCATAAACTAGCTATAGTAGATCACCATGGCATACCTTAGGGTAAAGGTTTAAGCACAGGCAAAGGCTTAAATCTTCATATTTCCGACAGAAGCTATGCACAATAAATGAGGTGTGCACTGGAATTGCTTCATACCTGGTTGCCAATACTTGTTGTATTTTAGACAATCAAAAATGAAAGATAAACAAATTGATTTTCCTCTTCTTATGTAGTTTGAAAAAAAACTATTTTGCCAGTAAACATCAATGAATGATGCTCAGTATTTTGCAGAAACACCAAGCCTTCTTCTTTTTATTCTTAACTTTATCTGGCCCAACCTAATTTAGCCCCCTTCATATTTCCTGACTGGTTAGCAATAGGAACTTTAGATTTGGACATGGCTATCTCCTTTTTCTAAAGTGATGATTCAAAAATTTTCATGTCAATCAAATCAATAATTATATCAGGATGACATCATAAATTTTTTTAAATTCTTTTCCTATTGAGCATAATTTCACTTTAAACAGCAATGTAGGTTTTGCGAAAGCCAAACAAAAAGAACCTATTAAAAACTATGATGTAATTCACAACAAACAATAAAGTTTGTGCATACACAGTAAAAAGTATGCATCTTTATGATGAGAATTGTCCAATATGATCAAATTCTAGCTACAAATATCATTCCTTCTAAAATCCTACTTTGATCAGTCTAAACAAGCATATTATTTAGTGAATAAAACAAAATTTTGCTGACTTTCAAAAATTTCTAAAAATAGTTTTGTAATTATTTCTAACAACAGCAAAACATGTCTCATGATTCATTTTATCCATGGAAGAAGTTTCATGAAATTATTATTTTAGAGAATGAAGCTAAAGAGCATTTCATATTGTCTAAAAAGTACTTTTCAAAAGCAAGTTGCTTTGGCAACTGTCAACTAGATTTAATGTTGAAAATTGCATCATGATATCAGAGGATAATTTTTAAAAAAGTCATTGATGCGTAACAGTGTCTCTCTGCTTCAATTTTACCTGTGGATAGAAACATGAAAGGGGGATAGTTTAGCACCTCTCCATGGTCCAGATAGGGTTCAACAAGGGGTCAAAATTCAACTTAGATATATAGTAACGATTGTGGGTGATGAATGGTTCCTATATTAATTCTTTTGTAAGTTTATTTATGGGAATGCTGTCGTTTTATGATCTAGTTTAACGTGCAGAAGAGATGATGTTGCGTGACCGTTGCGTCTTTATGAATTTACTGACTAACTACGTATGCACATAAAATGAGGGGACGCTGCAAATGTGTTGTTTATTATGTTATGTGGATACGAAGACAACGGAAAGTGTGTTAATGACAGTGACACAATGGAGGACATGATTACGTTTAGACAATGGTCACTACAGATACACCCAACCACATTAGGAACTCACTAAATAAAGAGTTGAAATTTATAATGAACTGATTTCAATGCCAATTCCATAAGATATTTAGTTATGTGTAATTTTTGAAGTAGTTGAAATTAAAAAAATATCGTTCAAAAAATTAAACATAGGATCAGAAACAAGCTTCCATTTATTCAGGAATTTTATGCCAATGGTCAAAGTGCATGGTATTTTTTACAATTTTGCAGCCAAATAGTTCTGACTTAACCCTCTTTTGCAACCCATGCCCTGGTTTCATGTCCCTTCAACATAAAATATCAATCAAAGATTACCATCTAAATGTTTTGTACCATAAAGTTCTTGAGTGATGACTTAACAAAAATCTATTTTTATAATTTTTGAATTTGGATCCAATACCCCAAAAACACCATAAATTACTTGTAAATGTTCAAAATCAGTTAACTTTGTTACCAATTGGCTGAGATATGGCCAATTGAATATAGGCTTGTTCCCCATAAAACCTCTGTAATTTGGTTTCTGTTCATAGTCTCTGTTCATAACTTTATGAACAGAGTCAAAACAACAGTAATCTGTTGTCAGATTTCACATCTTTCATTGGCCATACCTCACTTTATTTTTGACATATTCAACTGATTTAGAAGTGTTTTGTGTGGTGTTCTTTTAGGTTTTGTGGTCACAATTCAGAAATTCAATAAAATAGAACTTTGACATGCGTTTTCTGCAGATGTCCTGAAAGAATCACTGTTTCTTGTTGCGACAGGATGAAAATTAAAAGAGAAGAAATAATTATTTATGTTATTTATCTTAGCTTTTGCTTCATAGTAATTGCTTCATAGTTTCCATAAATACCAGTTTGCTAAAGAGAGTTTGTAATGCACATGTTAGACTTTTGTTGTGTACTGTGCCTTTAAAATTCCTCAAAGCCTAGTCAGGTCAGTCAATCCTGTAACAGAAGAAAGCAGCTGCCTTTCTATTGTTGGCTTTACTCTGACCCAGATACACTAATCAATTGTCATTGTCACAACACTGCTGATCTGAGTTTTTTGCAATGGTTTATGACGGTTGATTTTCCAGCCACACTTCACATATCACCCAGATGAACCATCTTCTCGTCTTCTAGGATGGTTTTTTTGTCTTCTAGGATGGGACGAATAGACCTTGGTGACATAACTCCACACAATATCAAGCAGTTAAAAAAGCTCAATTCAGTTGTATTTCCAGTGTCATATAATGACAAGGTTTGTTAATAGCATATTTTGTTTTTGTTGATTGACAATTTGTAGATCCATATTGAAAGGTTTATAAATTACTTATCGGATAATGTTTTTTTATTTGATAATTTAAGAAGGTAATATGATTCTGTTCCTGTTGGGATTATAATTTAAATTTTGTTAAGGAAATTTCTAATTCATACTTCAAAGGCAAAAAACTAATGTAAGCATAAATTTTTAAAATTACATAAGTATTAATTTTAGGTATTGTTGCCTGCCTTTTTGTATGCATTAAGGAGAGTAAGCTATTTCAAAGATTTTTAAAAAATTTTCATTCCTATTGATCTACAATGTTGAATTTTTTCCCATTTTTACCCAAAGTAATGTTAAATTATGTTTGTTTGCTTTGAGATATTTTTTATATGCATATGCATCAATCTCTTTTTATTTTAGTTTTACAAAGATGTTCTTGAAGTGGGCGAGTTAGCAAAATTAGGTAGGTAAAATCTTCTTTTAATGTATTACTGCTCATTAAAGGAAAAATTCCAATTTTAAGGCCATTCCCTTACTGAAGATAAGCAATTTCTCTAGGATTTAAGAAAATCAATGAAGCACAAAGTAAGAAAACCTCTTTCTTACTTATTTTCTCCTCTTAAAGGGAACCTACATTTGATATGTGCCTTCGGTAATGCCATCCTTTTTCAAGAAATCTTTTTAATCTTAAGAGCTTGGTTGTGATTACTAACATGTAGTAATGTTTCTTTGAACTGCTAATAATGATATAATTTTTGCTTCTCATAAAGCTTACTACAATGACATTGTTGTTGGAGCAGTCTGTTGTCGTGTTGACAAGTCTGATAATGCAAGGAGGCTTTATATAATGACCCTTGGTTGTCTTGCTCCGTACAGAAGACTTGGTATTGGTAAGTTTCCCTCTCTATGTTAGAAAGTCAATAATTTGAATAAATCTGGAAATTTACCATTAATTTGTCTTGCAAAGATTTATTATATATTTTTCTTCAGTGACTAGTAAATAAATTGAGTTACTTGTAATGGTATGAATATGCAAAGATATCAGTGCTTCAGAACAGCGTGTTCTGTGCCTGACTTGAAACAAAGCTTGGTGTCAACATATTGCCAAGTACCTATTATAGCTCTAGCTTCTTTTCTGTGTAAGTACTTTTTTCTTTTAACAGATTGTCAGTTTTTTAAAGTTTCTACTTAGTATTTGTTGCATAGAGTAAATTGATTTATTTTTATTGATAGGTTATTCTCAAAAATGTAAATTGATGAGAGTGATATTTTCCACCAGTTAATTATTGCTCGTTCATTTTCATGATAAAATTTTTATCAATTTTAAGCTAAGGCTATCATCTATTTTTTTACACTGTTTCTTTTTAACTTTTTCTCAATAAGGTACAAAAATGGTTGAGCATGTGCTAAAAATTTGTGAAAAGGACACCAATTTTGACAGCATTTACCTGTAAGTGTGCCATAGAGTTTTCATGCTACTTTTGGTCAATGAATCTGTACTAATTGTCCCTATTTGATCAAGTTTTCTATCTGGTAATGTCATTCTCCTTTTTTGAATTCAAGTAATAGTTCTATTTTTATCATCACTCCTACTCCATGCTGTGTGTTGTTTTCTGCTCCTGATGATATATTTTTTCTCTGAGCAATAAAGCTTGGATTTTTTAGGTTTGGCAATCATTTCATTTTGTTCTAGCCAGATTAAAGCATCTTAGGTGTCTTTTTCCAAAATATTGCGAGACTGCACATGCTTTCGGATAAATAAGCGAGAGTACTATCATCAGCATAATTATAGAGAGTCACCTCTTTTATGAAAAGGAATAAATCATTTATATAAAAATTAAACAGGATTGGGCCTAGAACAGATTCTTGGGGTACACCAGATATGACCTCTAGAAAAGAACTGTATGTATTATTTATCTGAACGCTTTGTTTTCGTCACTTAAGAAACGAATAGGTTAGGACAAGTGCATCTTTCTCGAAACCATATGCATATCAATACAATATCAAGTCATGTGGAATGCAATCAATGCTTTGGAAAAATCCATCAGGACTGCTCCTACAAGGTAGTCATTATCAAGGCTAGACCTCCAGTCTTCTGTCAGCCATATTAAGACATGCGGGTTGCTATATGTTTGTCTGTAGGCCGCAATAAAAACAAAAAGTGTGTTATCTAAGTTTTGAGTCAGTTGTTGCTCAAGGACTTTTTCATGTAGCTTAGAAAAGGTGTTAAGAATACTAACTGAACGGACATTCCTTTCCACTGTACGATTTGGCTCCCCCTTATCTACAAGGCAGACCACTGCCTTTTTTGCATCGTTTGGGAACCTAATATTTTGAATGCTGCAGTTTATTGCAATAGTTAATGCGGCTGAGAGTTCATTAGAAGCTAGAGATACGAGCTTCGGCGGTATCTGATCCTCTCCAGTAGATTTCTTTCCATCCAGGGATTTTAATAGTTCCATAACTTCTTGATTATTAACTTCATGAAACAAAAATGTGTTTGATACTTTGATTTTGAATGATAGCTAGGATGCTATAGTGGTTTTTATACTTAATTCAGGTGCAAAAGTCATAAGCATAACCTGCAGTCCGACTGCTATAGTGGTTTTTATACTTTTGCCCAGAATTAATCGAACAATTTGGCGGTCATCAGATATTCCAGTATCATTAGCGAGGTTAACGGGCTTTCTTACTGCTGGATTCTCAACTATGTTTACACAGTAATCATTAAAGATCTCTGTCAGTTTCTGATCATTTTCTATAACAGTGTCGTTTTTCTCATGAGAAATATCGCTACTTATTAGTCCACTTTTATTTGAAAGAAAAGGTTTTACGAGATCCCAAAATTCTTTATTGGAAAGTGTACCATTTTTGTCACCTCTTTAAGTGGTTTTTCATGGCTTTTTACTTAGAGAAACACATTTGTTATGCTGCTTTTTTAAATTTCCTTCTATTTTCTTGGTTATTATTATTATTATTATTTGATCAAATTCTTTGCCATTTTTTGTGTGGCAAAAGTATAGGAAAGGCCCTTATTTGTTAATTCTACAGAAACTCAATGTCAAAAGTATTTTGAAAATATATGAAATGTTCTTCTTTGTACCTCCCCTGTACGGTATTGTATTTTTGTGAAACGTCTTATCCCACCTTTCTGTAGTGTATATGGGCCTACATACTTTACAAATCCTCCCTTTGTTGATTTTAAACTTTTAAATTTCCTTGACATGAAATTGTTACCCTAGCAAATTTCAAGTATTTAATGTGTTTAAATGAAGTTAACATGATTAATTTCTAGGCATGTTCAAGTGAGCAATGATGGTGCCATTGAATTTTATAGAAACTTTGGTTTTGAAATCATTGAGACCAAACAGAATTATTACAAACGTATTGAGCCAGCAGATGCCTATGTGTTGCAAAAAACCCTCAGGGGTTCAAAAGAAAAGAAATGACAACATCATCACCATCTTTACTCCCAGAGCAATATTAAAGTAGTCACTGCTCCAAGAAATTGTGCTGCTAAATTGACTAGGCTGTGATGAACTCTACCTGTGCCTTAATGGCGACTTCCATGTCAACTAGAAGATTTTCTTGGAGAGTTGAGAGAATAAGAAGCTCAATTGATATTTTTAGATATTCCATTAATGATATTTTCTATCTCTTTAAACAGTTTGTCTTTTTATGCACTTCTCTTTGTTGCTGATTTGCTGACAACCAAATGACAAGCTCTGCCTGCTTCAAAGGCCTCAGTTAATCTGGCCAGCTCACTGTCCAATTGGCTGCTAACCTTAAAAATGCTTAAGAAACTGATAAAGTTCTTAGAATTTCAAGACAACATCCTCCACTGGTTCAGATCTTGACTGTCTGTAAAAAGCCTGCACGTACTTTATGTTTTTAAATTTTCTAACAAAAAAGTTTGATCGTCAAAAAGTTTTTATATCAATGTAGTTGCGGTAGCTTTGCATCAATTTTTTAATCCGAGGACAATTTTAATGTTGCATATAGTATACGATGTTTGCACCAAGGCCTGGACTTTTGGGGAATTTTTAGGAAAAAGATAGGATTTCCATACGTCCAAGAAATTTAAATTAACATGTTTCTCGAAGAGAATTCAAGTAAGCTGGGTTAATTGCAGACTACTTTCTATCAGCTTTGCAAACTCTGTGCAAGAACAATAAGCCCGAAAAATGCATAACCGTCCCACGACGTTCTGCAGCACTCACTACCTTTCATTTGAACTACAAGAAATTGGCATCTTTCGATGATTCAATATCACATTGGGAAAAACTGGAATTCGTGCCTTTCTCGTCTACTTTGAAACAATGGATATTTTCCATAGGGACCAAGTCACAGTAAATAGGGTTTTGTGCTCGGGCAGGTGATTGACAGCCGTGTTGTTTTCGTGGCACAGTTATATCAAGGCTTGTGATGCCAGTTATTAAGTGTAGGGCCAAACTTTTAGCTCAGTTCGACAAACTAAGATAAAGGTTTGGGAAACCTCTATGTAAGAGACATAGAAGCTTCGTATCAGCGTTGACCAATCGCATGAAGCCCTTGAATTGGAAGATATCAAAGTAGAAGCATCGTCTTAGGTCACACGTGCAGAGCAAACTTGCCACAAAATGGTGAGTCAGTTCATCTATTAAACTTCTCTATCGACATAATCATTTGCACATTATTAAGTGTCCTCAATAGCCTCTCTCTATTCTGTGTCAATTGACTGGGAGCAAGGGTCAACAGTTTCCGTCAAGGGTGGTGTTTTGTAAGTTGCCTATGCATATTTACTTCTATAAAAAGCAAGCACTTTCAGTAAAGTTTAGAGGCATGCAAGCATGCCTATTGTGACGGATTTTCCCCTTCCCGAGCTCAAAAGAAGCCAGAGAAGTTGGAAACATTTTAAGCCACACCTTTTTTACTGTCAGAAGAGGCCCGTTTATCAACAAGGAAGGAAAATTTTGCCAATTAGGAAAGCGCATGACCAACTTTTGGTTATGAAAAGGCAGTTTCAAAATCAAATATTACATCACAAAAATTACATTGCCAAATATTGCCCCTCTCCTAACCCTTTTCGTCGAATTTAGACTTAATACAAAGTTGATCCTGCCGAGAACTGGGGGGGGGGGCGTGTCTCCCAGTTGGCCTCCAGACCTCGTAAACTATTTCAGCGCGCCCAGATGGATATGACTGTTTCTATGGATTTGGATAGTGAATTTTCAATCTTGTTTTCTGATGTTGTGCTTTTATATCCTATGAGCAAATACTTGTCATGGTCTCCATTACGTTTGGTAATAACAATTATCTGGTCGCACAGGCTGGGTTTATTAGGTAATTAGATCACATAAGACTTAACGCCATTCACCAACCATAAGTTGTTAAAGAAGAAATAAGGATAGAGTTGTTTTAGGGAACGACAGGCAGTAACCTTCATATTTTGAGTCAGTTTCCACATTATTACAGAGTAAGAGTGTAATTAGAGAAAAGGTACTCATGACATTTCGCTCACTTGATTTTAAAAAGGCGTATCGTTGTGATGCTATTAGCCGAAATTATTGAGATGTGCGATGTTGCAAAAACTTAAAGTTACAAAAAATGTTGCAGGAACAAAAAAGTTACTAAGAAAATTGTACATACTCTATTTAATGGAGTACGAGAACACTCTTCCTGTGCGTAAAAGGACAGTACACATCACAAACGAGCGTGCGATCTTTGGTAAGACCTTTGACAATGTTTTACTTGATGTGTTTTATGGGCACATATGTGGATAAAATCTTACATCTCCGAATCAGTCTAGTTTTGACACGGAACTGTGCGCATATTTTTATCAATAAAGCAGACTTTCTAAAGTCAGTTTAAAGACAATATAATAACGATCAATGTAAGTAAATTGTACCAGGAAAAATTTTTAAAATAGATAACGACGTTTCGAGCATAGCCCGTTATCAAGTAAAATTGATAAAATTTTACTTGATAACGGGCTATGCTCGAAACTTCGTTATCTATTCTAAAAAATTGTTCCTGGTACAATTTACTCACATTGATCGTTATTATAGCATTATATTGTACTGCATGCAATCTAGTATATTTATGGATCTTCAGTTTAAAGACGTTTCTATTGGCGAAACTAGTCCTGCCTAGAGCATTTGACAGAGTATAACATGTCAGTCTAGTATAGATACTTCGATGTCAAGGCATAGATGGTTATCTTCAAAGACTTCTCCGACACTTCATAAATATTGTATTGTTTTTATGGTATTGCTAGCTACCTAGCTTCCGAAGGTAGTTTTCAGAACACTGAAAAGCTATCCTTATCAAGCAGTGTCTTGGTCCTTCCTCTCGGTGTGACCACACCTCGTGATTCCTGCGCCTGGAATTACAGAGAGCTGGCGACTCTTCTCTCTATGAGAGAAAATGTGTTCATATCCAGGGACCGCACACCAGTCTAAATGCGGGAGGGCTGAAAAGGGCGTGACCGAAATTTTTTGAGACAACGCTTTCTAGAACGCCGAAAAACGCCCCTTTTCGACAATACTTGTTTATTTCTACTGAAGTTTTATAAACAGTCTGGTTCAGAGAAGATATCAATAGCTATAAAAATAGATGAAATTAACTTGGGGATAATAGAACATAAATAAAAACACCAAGAAAATGAACAAAAAGGTTCCCAGTCAATAAGAACTGCTACTTCTTGGGAGTATACTATCCAATATTGCGTTGGAGCAAAGTTAGAGTAGACTTTCCAAAAAGTCTTCTAACATATTATTGCAAAAAAGTGGAGGGGCTATAGCCCCTGCTAGCCCAATGGCAGCGCTGTGCCTGGTCATATCAGGACTTGAATCACCGACCCTTGGGTCTGTAGTCAGCGATCCTAATCACTGAGCCATCCTCGCACCTTAAATCATCTTTAAATGTGACGTGCTGTGTTAAACGGGTAATCTATCCAGTGTATCAGCAGGTGTACCTCAGGCTCAATCATTGGTCCTTTATTCTTTCTCGTAAAAATAAAAGTCTCACTCAATGTATCATGTTAAGTAGTCTATTTGCAGATGACATGTCTCCTTTTTCTGTCGTAAAAACTAACACGGCACTTGCAAAGACCATTACCGTGAACCTGAAAATATAAGTATTTCTCCGTGGCAATGGAAAATGTTAAAAATGCTGTCTGAATAAAGTTATTATTTCAACGAAAAAAAACCTTTTCATTGACTTAAAATTGGAGCTTCCTCACTTTAGTGACCAAACTGAAAACCGTTTCAGACATTAATCTCCAATCTGTTCTCGTGGTTCAGCGATAATAATAACACTGCACTGCCCTCATTACCGAACCCTTCGCCCAAACCTTTTGGTTCGCTCTCAGATGTGCGAGCATTCGTTATTACCTCTGGGCAAGTTCCAATGGAACCTTCAATATGTCCCTGTAATACCTTTATTGAAAATAGATCTAGAGTCCACCAAATTGTTTATCAAAGATATGCGTAAATTGCAAATAAAAATAGCAGGATAATTTTTTTCTGTAAGGTCTTTCTTTGAAAGAAATAACAGTCATCAGTCAATGAGTCAAGCAAAGGGGTTGCTTGAAAAGTGTGTCTGAATTACCAGTTATTGTTAAGAGCTCAAAGAGCTCCCCTTTTGTATACTGTTTATGTTTTTTCTAGAGAATGTGTTACTGAATATTAAAGAATATTAACAGCGATACCAATCAAACTTAAGAACATCTCAAATGATAGCATGTGAGCTGACAGATTTATGCCGCCGAAGTTTTCAAAATAAAAAATACAACAGTATCGTTCCAATAAGTTCAATTTTTGTAACAACATCAAACATTCCTATAAAAGAAAGTCAATTAAAATTTATATCCTTAAAAGCACGATCTACATACAGAAAATCTATAAAAACGATGTATTCTTAGCAGGGGCTATTTCTTAAGCCTGTTAGAGGTGACGTCATTATTCTGAGTGTATCCCACAAAACATTGCGAGTCAGTTGAGCTTCCGCGGGAACAAAACAGCTGATAAATTTAGCAACTAGGGAAAAGGTTTTGATTTCATATAAGGTTTGGTTTGGTTAAGTTAACCTAAATTTTGCCAAGATGGTGGGTTGTAAAGGTAAAATAAGGAAACATTTTAGTTCAAGTCAATACACAGATTGGCAACAAAGTTGACGGTTAAGCTCAATTTTTGACCACAAAATTGTGCTTTTAACAAGGTAAGGAGAGACTTAAAACTATCGAATCATGTTGAATTGGTATTGCCTTACGAATCAGTGGAGCGAAAAATGTCGGAATCCAGTAGGGAGGGTATTAGTATAATAAAGATAAAATAAGTTCTCTTATTCTATCTTGGTAAAATATAGACGCAGAGGCGAGAGTAAGTTTGAGAAAGGAAATATATATAAACAGAAAAAAGAATGGTAGAGTATGGGAGTTAGCTAGGGTTAAACCTGTTGGGTAGGATGGGCATTGGCGCGGAGAGGGAGGGGGGTGTGAGGAAGGTCGGGGTTGGAGGTAACATTGCGGAAGACGTTGAGACCAAGGCATATTTGAAATATCATAAAAGCCACATCGCATGTGAAGGTTCCTACTGTGTAGACGAAGAAAAATTCTCATAATTTGTTGCGTAGAAAGAAAAATCACTATCAGTTTTTCTTAGCAGTCTCGAACAATGCATCTAGGTTTTTCATTTACAACTTATTTTCAACAATTTAAATCCTAAGATAGCCACTGAGGGTTTGGAAACAAATATTCTGAATTATTGGCTCCGTATAAAAACATACTAAAACGCGGAGATAACTGCTATTAAATAACCAAGACAAGAAAACGGAAGATGATCATACTTTAAAAGAATCTTGCAAGAAAAAGATACTTGTAAAAATAAGAGCACAGATAATTATTAATTTGAGAGAAGCTGCGTATTAAAAACAAAAGAATATCGAGTGGCAAAGAGTTTCGCGGCTTAAAAGTTCTTCATGGATCTTCATGAATACATGTTCTTTATGGAAATCAATATTCTATTCCTGGGAAAGTAAGCAATCACATCAGAGGAGGGGGGAGGGGAGATGGGGGAGGGGGTTGTTCAGCAGCTTCTTTTTTAGTGACAAACAGAATGCAAGGGATGTGACAACTTTTAAGATTGCAATCAGCTTTCGTTAAGGCCCCCGGCCAGACATCGTCGAAGATGTCATTTTAACAGTATTGCAAAAAAACAACAAAATTGCCCTTCGGAAATCGTTAGAAAGTTAGAAGAACACACACCCCAAACAAAATGCTTGAAAAAGAGAGAAATCAGGGCTTAAACAAAAGTATTTTGTTTACTCGTGTCACCGGTGTTATGATTAACTAAGAAAGACATTAGTAGGTAGTTGTTACGTACGAAACTAAGTCGACAATAATTCTTTTTCATCTTTATATTCTCCCAACTGCCATCAAATCAAAGAAATTGGCCTTGCCTTTAGCACCTAGACCAATTAAAGTTTGTCTCACTACCAAAAAATTTACGTGGCGCTGCGGGATCTGCGGGCCTTTTGCACTTGCCAGTGTACATGACGGGTCGTGAGTACACAAATCGGCCACACGCGGGTGTCCCTCACTTGTTCCGAGCAACGGTTCCGACTTGAAGCGTTACAAAGATCTCAAATAGCGCCTGAAGCTAATGTCTTCTTGACTTTTCCTCGACACACCATTTATAGGATCCTGCAGCAACCTATAGACAACAACAATCATTTGCCCTGGCGGATCGCAGTTTTAGCGCATTTCCATCCAAACCAATTCTTCAACTTTGAACCGAATCAATTACGCGAACACGTTTACCTAGTGGCCGATACGTTGCTCATCAGGAACGCATACGCTTATAACCCTAGATTCGTCCGTCCGTTCGGCGTTCATCATGCCGTGCTGCGTCATACTAGCGAGCTTAGCAATATTTGGGTCTATTTGCTGGGCGCCAATGTACGATGAAATTGAAGGACCATCGATAAATCCGCTGTATGAATTAACCGCGTTTCCGCACGACATTGGATAGTTACCGTAGGGCTCACTTGAATATCCTATTGGATTATGTAGTCCACTGTAAGTCGAGTAGCCTCCTTCAACGCCTGGAAACGTGTTGGTACTCGAGTGGTATCCGAATTCTTTTCTCGTTGAGTTCTTTGATGTCCTTTCAAGATCTTGCTGCGACTTATTAGTCCTACTCAAGTATTCATTCGAACTAGCAACATTAACTTGTTTTAACTTACTGTCCTGCTTAAGAAGCCGCGGATTATCCGTCGTCTTTTTTTGCCGCGGGCTATCGCAGTCCATACTGATACTGTTTCTAACTGCACCCGTCGTCGGATCCGATGATGGGCGGGAAACAGTCGTTGAACTGTGAGCCCCAGATGACGTTGCAGGAACACGACTGGATCCCCCCAACTGGGTAACCCCAGGCGACGTTGATGAAGTAGTATTGGTACTTTCATCTGTAGTCCTTTTGAAAAATGAATGCTGTAAAGCCTGGAATGGCGTAATACGAGTTTTTGGATCATAGTCTAACATTCTGAGGACAAGGTCTTTGAATTTCAAGTAATCCTGCAACGTATGTCCACTTTCATTTTTCCTCCGTCCCTGTGGTCCGCCTTTTTCACAGCCCAGTATATCGTGTAACTGCCTGGTACCAGGTGGGACATATTGCTGGAAATTGGATATGAATGCATTAGCTAACCTACGCAGAAAAATACCCATCCACAAACCGAGCAAAGCAGAAACAGACTTGGCTAACAGTTTTGTAACTGTGGATGGTAATCATACCACTATTTCAACAATGTTTTGACCTTTAACAAAGGGGTAACAAATCTGCTTGTCTATATGATGAATAGCTAGAGCATTAATGGAAATGTCCAAAAAGGAGATTGCAAATATGATGAAATACACGTCCATCTAGACAACTAGAATGAATAAAACAACAGGCAGACTATATTCGTTAATTCACTCAAAAAACCCATGTTACAAAGGCACAACCTATGTTACAAACCCATGTTAAGGAGAGTAACTGCTACCAACGACGATGGGGTATTATTATCGTTATTACTTAATGCTTTTGGACCACTCGCACAATCTATTCAACAAATCAGTTTCTCTCTATCCGTCATTTGGTTACGCCTGAAACAAAGTGTCAAGCAGGTTTAAATGAAAACAATCAATGACCCCGAATGAAAAACAATCAATATTTGTTGCATACCTTTCGATTATCTTTATACTTGCGGACGATATAAGAGCCATCTGATATCTTTTCAAAATATCGCCGAGCTTTTGGTGCCTTGTCCAAAAGGTAGGCCGGTGGCAGGCCCAGTACTTCGACTATTTTATTCACTTGATCTACCTGCATACAAAAACGAATTTTACATTTTTACATATTTGAATATTACATTTTTCTACAAGGACGGGGGGTTACGGTGGAGGCCTTAAAGCTACGCATTAAGTTTTTATCGCGTTTAACTAAAACTATAAAAACAGTTTGATTTTGGCTGATAATAATTCTGCATCCACGGAAACGAGCTGGCCCAAGTCAGTTCTAAAGACCGATTCATCTCTGGTTTTGAGAAAGACATCAAGGCTGCTGAATCAATTGATGTAAAATACAGTGTAAGCCTTTGTCAGTGACTCTGTGCTACACCCTAGTCGACAGGGCCTAGGTAGAAGAGGAAAACCCAAGAAATGAACATTTTACCATCTCCTTAATAAAGGTCTTACCAAACCAGGTATCTTTGCAAATAAAATTAAGGACAAGAAAAAAAGAAAACAAACCTCATTCGAGCCATTGAATAAAGCCTCGCCTGTATGCATTTCAACGAGGATGCAGCCAAGAGACCACATGTCTATTGCCATGTCGTAGGGAAGACCAAGGAGAACTTCAGGGGAGCGATAAAATCGACTCTGTATGTATTGATATAACTGCAAAAAGAAGAATTCTGCATGTCATTCTATAAAGAGACAACTTTAACTAAATTTTCATCAGAATTGACTGTTTCTTTACTCTTCAAACCCAAACCCGCATACCCGTCCACTTACAAACAAAAAAGGTTCCCAATGATAGTTTTATGCAGTTAGGTAACGTAGTAAGTTATAATACGTAAATTAAACCCCACAACTGTAAAACATTGTCTTGGCATCTGCTTTCGATACAGTGTTCTTTCAGACACAAATGGCAGGATGACAGCTCAAAGGCCTATCATGTCCTCTATAACACAGGTTTTTATTTTAAGTAGTATAGTATCATTCATTTAATAATTTGGACAGCAGTGATATTAGTTCAGCTTAATGAAAACATCGGAGATTGTGCAAATTGGTGCATGAACAAACGCATTTTTGCAAGAAACGTCCAGAAATGTCTTTAGTGCAATTTTAAAATGCTTCATATGTTAGATCTATTTTGTTTCATGGAAAAGCGAATTTCAAATTTCGGATCCGTTGAGGCTAAGCGATTTGATCCAATACTTGGGATAAAGCTCTACCCACTGAAATCCAGACAGGGTAAGATATTCTTAGGTATAAGTTGTTTTTAGGTAACGAATTCTCGGTCCAAAATACTCTTCGTCAAAATTTAAGTTATTCAAGTTATATGGACTTCAAGGCCAAAGAACCTTGTAGATCGAGGTGGGACGGTACACGGTAGCTTTTGTGCATTGAATGAGCTATTTTTTCATACGACATGTAGTTATAAAATGACCAAGAATAAAACTCCTCAACCAACTTCTTCAATGATCATCAATTAATTTTGTTCATCATTTCAAGGCGTTAAATTTTTTCGCGTCTTTTTCAAAAATTTCATCTACAGCAAAATATCATGTCAGATTTAAAAGCAAGTTTGTTACTTAAATTTCTAATATTACATTGTGGCCTGAGTTAGTTTCAAATTTATCTAGACGTTTATATCTGTTTTGAATGATTTATTTCAATGAATTGAAACATGAGGGACTTCATCAGACTTTAACCAGACATTGTACTCATTTGCTTCTATTTCAATGCTCAAAATAATCAGTATTTTTAGCACCGACAGACACGACCTTATCGTCTGCAAAGACACACAGAGACCCATTTCTAAGGTCGCATAAAATATCATTCAGGACCTTAATAACCAGGAGGTGACCCAATGTCGACTCGTGTGGTACACCTTGCTCAATATTTACCCAGGGTCTTTACCCTCCTTTACCTTCCTGAGGAAAGAATTTTCTTGGATGATTATGAATAATTTGCTCTGAATAACACAGGCAGGCAGTTTCGCAAGAGCCAAAGGATTTACACAAATTCGTGAAAATGAAAATAGAATGCATCTAATTGGCTAATTTATATTAGCATATCAGGCACCACGGAGCAGGGGGGGCTGGGGAGGCTTTAGCCCCCCCCCACTTTTTGCAAAAAATGCCCAATATTTAGTACTAAACTACCAGTAAAGCCTCTTTTTATTAGGTTTTAACCCCCCCCCCCCACTTTTTTTAGACCCCCCTTTTTTAGACTTTCCACTTTTTTTAGACCCCCCACTTTTCTCAACGCTCCGCGGTGCCTGCATTTAGGAACGCTAGTATGTTGCAAGTGTTGCCGTGGTTCCTATCTTTATCCTCTGACTTTCCACCGTTTATGCTACTTCGACGAATCTTATTTAACGTGCAGAGAACTCGGATCTGATCTGAACTGAACTTTATACAAATTAAGATACAGAAATCAAATTGCTGACTAAGGATGAGTTAGGATGATGTAATGATGATGTAATGGAGAAGGAAAGATCTAGACTTGGGAAGAAATCAGCATGACATAGATGTGTGACATGTGTACAATGGTGAGGGAATGTCCTGTGCTAGGTGATGCCGTGAATGACGTAAGTGGATGTCATGGTGATGGATTATCGATAAAGAAGCAGGAATATGGCCTATTTCACAATATGAAATCACTGCAATGGAAATTCCTATGCATAGTAGTTTCTGGACATAGCCTGTCGAATTTTTTAGTAATTAATGCTAATTTGCTTATCGCTTCTTTCCTGTTGCCATTCTCTCATTTTTCAATTTTTGCTGGCATTCTATTTCTAGACTTTTGTTGAATTTCAGCCTGTATTTTGTCTTATGTTGTTATTATTTTTCGGGAAAATCTCAGTCTGATGTTTCTTATAAGGGTTGTTCTTTTAAAAAAAGGTGCTTTTAATGATCAAAGGATTTGAGAGAAAACATTTACAACGTTCACACTCTTTTTTATAAGAACATTTTTATTAGAACACGAGCCTCAAAATTGGTCAAAAGTGAAGAAAAAATTAAGAGCAAGTTGAAGCTGAGCAACTGTGAAATGCAATTTTGAACAACGTTTTATCTCATGAACGAGGATTTTAGCCATGTTCGGGTGCTTTTTCGGTGAATATTCAAACTTGGCGGCAAATTAAGGTTGTCGCGCCCACTCTGTTGACAAATGAGGCCTGAACACCTCCCTAGAGCGAAAAAGCTAGCAATCGCACTGCTTACACAATATTAATTTAAAAACAAATTAAGAACAATATAACCTTAGATTTTTGAATTAATTAGGAACAGTCAGCCTGAACTTAAATTTACTGGTTCTTATAAAAAAGAGTGTATTTTCGGTTGGCCAATTATAAGAGCAAAAAGAAGTATCACCCTATTGAAAATTGAATGAAAAAATGCAACGAGGCAATTTGGCCCATACTGACTTATACTGAGCTTTCTTTGTCAAGAATATTTAAGAAAAAATTATTCTTTTTGATAGCTCGTTTTTAGGAACTTCTTTCTTGGTCTTTACAGAATTCGTTATAGTGGGATTCTACTGTAGCTGTAAACTAAAAACTGACATTCGCTGGACTACCCAAAAGCTTGCAGTGCACTGACTTTATCAGGATGTTGTGTTTCATACATTGTAGAGTGCAAAATTGCAGGTAAGGAAATCTCTTTGTTCTCGTCGGCCCCACGTGTTCAGGCTCAGAGAAAGATGAGTCATACATTCAAACACAATTAACATAATATTCAGACGGGGCTTTGCATAATTAATGAGGCGTAGCGAACTTGGAAATAAGGGCAGTTTTATAAGCAACAATTATCTAAAAAGAGATTTGGAGGTGCACATTTCAGTAAAAAAAATTAAAAGCGGTGATAATTTGTATGTTTTTAAAATATTTGACACCGAGAGGATGAGAGAACTTAAAAATCATCAAGCGGGCAAGGTCGCCCACGCGCAACTCATCCAGACTAAACACCCGTTCAACCAGCACGTGGTCGAGTTAGGAGAAAATGCATGTTGATATTTCAAAAAGCACGCTGTTTTGGCCGCTTTAAGGCCAACTAACAAACCAAATTTTGCACAAATATTTCTACAGAATAACTGCACCAAAACATCTTAGACAATTGAGAAATGTATGAAACAAAGACAACTTAAAAGCAAAACATAAAGTGGATAAAGACTAGAGGCTTTTGGATAAAACTTTCTAGGCCATGGACGGCGGCGTCATCGACGATCAAAGAAATCTGCATGCGAAAATCCATGAGATATCGAGCGCGCAGTAATGTAAAATGTAAAGCAAGTTCCCTCCAACAAGTCCGTAGTTCTACACTATGATTCTATTCTTCAATGCATCTAGAGCAGAATGTTTTGTTCCAAACCAGGCCTTAGGTGAACAATTGCTAACAACATTGGCAAAGCGATGGTTCACCTAACAGGTACTCACAAAGAATTGCAAACATGTCACGATTCTTTCTATTATAAGAACACAACCAAAAGAATCGATATGCTTATGCGGAATTATGCGGAGGAGAATGTCTAGGGGGCGAATTGAGTTTCTTTTACAGAAGTCGTTGAAAAGGGGGCAAATAAAGTAACATATCAGAAAAGAAAAAATGAAGTTAATCACACCCCCCTTACCCTCTTTGACAATCGGAAATGGCAGATTTCTTCCTCGTTCCGCATTCATGTCAACATCAATGATTCGTACAACATGACTGGACAAATATATAATTGCTACTTTTTGTTGATTGTTGAGTTCAAGAGCAACAAAAACGCGTACGGAAGCTTCGCGCGGCGCGTTTAGTCAACCTCGTTCCGTTAAATGCAAACCTTTTTCGGGGCTAGACCTAAATACAGGAAAACTGTTTGCGGATAAAGATAACTTTTTTGGAACAGATTGGGAGGGGAAGCGAGAGGTGCTGCTCAATACTTGTCAATTTTTCCAATGTCTTACGAGGAAAAAGCCCCTTTTCCAGCCATGGCAGCCATGGCGTACTTTTGGTACAACTGCGTTAAACAGTTTTGTTCCTGCGTTGAAGCCATTGTTTTGCTTCAGATATGTTTTGCTTGAGACATTCTAAGAAGAGCAAGACATTCACATAAATTTGAAGTTGTGATTACTACAGATGGACCATTTCAATATTTTGGTGGAAAGGGAAAAGGGTTTTTTACCCTAGCTTTGAAATACGCTGCTATAACAGGTCAACATCAGCATAATCACAATCTAGTATCTGAATTTAGATTACGACCTTACGGCCTCGTTTTGGAAACTATGCCAAACTTGCAAACTTCACTGTACGATACGACTCTCTTGAGCCAAAATAAAGGATTTCACGTCATAATTTTAGTCTAGAAACAATCTTTTATATCGTTTGGGCATCTGTTGGAGATTCACGACGATCTAAAGTTTGAAAAAGCTAGACTCATGAAAAATTGGATAAAGACTTAGATTCTGGCCCTCAGTCAGGACATGAATTGAAAAATCTAAAAATAGAGAAGTTTACAGTAATTGTCAAAACGAGACCAGAGACGAATAAATTTCTAGACAAAACGTCCCATTCGAAAACGAAAGGATTTTCCCGTAACTTTCTACCAGATGTGTCTTGGCCTGCCTCTAGCACGTATAGTAGACAATTAAATTCACAACAGGAACATGACGATGCGGTTTTATATTTAGGAGGGAGTTTGTTTGCAAACTGATAGTGAAAATTTTGGAAGTACTTTTTCCAGAATATCATTAAAAAAAGAGACACTAGGAAACAGATAACGAAAAAAAGTTCCGGTGAGTAAATACTTCAACTAACATAAGTAAACACTTAGCAAAATTTGTATAAGAACTTAAGGATAAGAGCCTTTGAATTGCCTCGATTGTCGAAAATATTCACTACGAAAAACAAATGACACCTCGCAATTAAAGGATAATGAAGAGTTGGGAAAAATCACAAATAAAAGAATTCTCTCCAATTTTTACTTTTTTGCCAACAAACAACAGATTCTGCTAGCTTTGTGATAACAGCAATGGTAGTTTCATGCAGTTGTAACGCTTGGGCCTAGGTTGATGGGTCAAAGGCAAATTTTGCTTGGCTTTACAGCCTCAAAACACATGTTAGTATCTATTTAAGCGCAAGCAGGGTTGAAATTAAGCAAAGCTAAAAATCTGGATTCAAGAGAATGTACTTTTATTAAGATGTTTAATTTTGTTTAATAATGATGACAGTCTTGCAGAGGATTATTAGATGATTCTGTAGGGATTCTTAGCGGATAATCAATTGATTTTGAAGCCAAGTTTCGTTTTAACAGGCTTGCTAAAATCGAGAAAGTCCGTGGTGTCGACTTTTAAACGACATGAAATGACATCGGCCTTATTAATTGTATCACATTAAACAGTAAAAGGGTGATCGGCAACTATTAAGAAGTTCAAACACAAGACAAGGCTCATTGAGTTGTTGTATCGCGAAAATCGTTGAGAGCTATAGGGGCTTATCCGGCACTGGTCCAATCATGTTGTGAAATGGGCAGCTCTCATCTTTTTATATACTTAGGCAGTTTAATACAGACATGTTAACTGTACGTTGTTTTGAAATCTGCAAACAAAATGCAAGGTATTTCCAAAAAAATATATTAAACTAAACTACAGCTGTCAACTATCAATGTCACCCAAGGTGAATTTGTTTACTGTAGAAAAGCTCACGGTTCCATACTTTTTTATAAACATCAAAAGCAGAAATCTATGACTTTCGTGAATGCGTTGACAGCATTTGAGCACTTTCATGCATTATTCTTATTCAAAACCCAGTCAAAATCACAAACGGCCAAACGAGGAACTTTTTGCTTTGAAATTGAGACTACGTTTAGGCACTTTATATTAATCGGGGCTATATAATCGTAATTATATATTTAAAGAAAGAAGACAATAATACTTGAATTTGCCTATTTCTTCTCTTCGAACCCAGATACGACATTTTCAGAGAAAAAAATGAAGTAAAGTGGTAGAGGCAATCCTACAGCATTAAAATAAGTGGTTTTATAAAGCCTTCCACCGAAAGTATAAATCATAACCGTATTTTCTTGTATGGCACCATGAATACAATACAGCATGAAATACTAAACAAGATGGAGGATCTTTCAGTATGATGAAACTGTTTGAATCGTTTGCACCTTTTGGGATGGCACAAACGATCATGAGCCAGAACATTGCATCAAGTCGTCACAGAAGCGAAGAAAAGGTGGTTTTTAGTCATAAGGTGAAACTACGTGAGACCCAATTTTACCCTTTTTTAAATTCCATGTTGCTTTGGGTAGTCGCTTCCCAGGACTTTGTCAGAACACATAAACTCTTCCTTTTCTTGAGCAGTTGATATCACAAGTCACTTTCGTCAAAACTGTAATCTAATACTATGTAGCAAATACTTTGCCACTCTAAGTGGATTTTCTACTCCAAAGTTCTGAAGAATTCTTCTCGGTGCCTTTGTCAACTAAATCTTTTACTCAGAAGAATACTTGAGATCAAAAAAACAAAATAACTTACCGTATGACCAAGCTGACAGGAACTCCCAAAATCTACTATCTTGATAGCGCTTCTTTTTGGGTTGCATAAAAGTACATTTTCCGGTTTTAAATCACAGTGGATAATTTGCAGTTCTGGCGCCGAAAGGAAACAGAGGGCCGTGCAGAGCTGCTGAGCGAATTTTCTAGTAAGGTTAAGTGATACTCCACGAAAGTTCGTATTCCGCAAAAGATCGTACAGGTTATAGGAGAGTAATTCAAAAACTAAGCATAGATGATTCCGCCACATAAACTGGTTCTTCAGTCGCACTGTAAAGAAAAAAAACAAGTGATAAAAATTGCATATCAATTGGTCTTGAATGGGCTTAAAACTGGATGTTTTTTTCCTAAGCAATTCAGGGTTCTACGTTGAAAAATCTAGGCAATGCCATTGTCAGAAAATGCCATTTTTCAGCAGAGAACGCTAATTCTCCCAATAACAAGCGCCCATGATAAATATTTGGTTTCATGAAAGCAAATTAAAAATCAAAGAGCCATGTCAAAAAACTATATGCCAAAATATCACCCCTCCCCCAACATTTTCTCATTGTGTTCAGACAAAATACAAAATCGTTCCTTCAGAGAAGTGGGGGGGGGGGTGTCCCCCTCAGTCCCTTCATGGTGCCGCTACTGTGTCAGATGACTGTAACAAATAAGCTTCCCATTAGAACACATGCACAAAACAGAAAGCAATGAAGCACCATTTTGCTGTTGTTCAACCAATGAAGCTGATTATCTTGGTAATGCAAAGAAAAGGTTGTCTAAATGTTAATAAACCAGAATATAAAATACTAATTACTTATATAGGTTATTGGTCATTGCAAAATGTAAGGCAGCCTGAGAACCCTGGTAAGTTTTGTCTTTTGTTTAATTAAACTAAGATAGTGGATTTAAAACTAGAATAGAATGATGGTGGAAAACTTACCAATATAAAATTTTGAATCAGGATCATGGCTGTTCATAAGTTCTAATAGTTGTACTTCTATCTGAGCTTGATTCAAAAATGGTTTCTTGTTTTTTATAATTTTAATTGCTACATCTTCTTTCTCTTGATAATCATACGCTTTGACAACCTTTGATAAAACAGAAAATTTATGTACAGAATCTAGAATGGTTTATGTACAGAAAATAGAATGGTTGCTACTCTAAGTTCCATACAACATGGTTTATAAGGCATCAAGCACAAAAACCATCTAACAGTGATACATATATCATAAGAAGTATACAAGTGCTTTGATGTTTCGAGCAGATGTTTAGAGCAAGGAAGTTCTGGGCTGCAACCTTGAATTCCACAATTTATCCAATCAATTAATTTTTCCCAAATCTAGGTTCTAACTAAAAAACAAAGAAAATTTGACATGGCAAATCTACATCCTTTTCACACATCTTTTAATTTATGCAGGGCACCACCTATTTATTTCAGTTTGGTGAAATCAAAGTTTCAACATTCAGGAGGATTTAACAAGAGCAAGCAACATAAGTTAGAATTATACCCATTTCCTAACATCTTTAGAAAAAAGGTTTTCTTAGTAAACATAAACAAATTAAAAGTTTCATTGTCCAAATAGTCCACACATTTTATATCCTCTTTTAGAAACTCCAAGAAAGGACAAATCCAATGCAACAACTGTTATAAACAAGACGTTGCAAGATATATAAAAATTCTAAAGGGCAAGGAAAAAAATTTGTACCTGTCCAAACGACCCTTTTCCTATTAGTGTATCAATTTCATATCTATCGAGAAATTTTTCGCCATGTCGTATAACATAATCAAAGTTCTCATCATCATATCCATCGTTATACAGTCTGCGTTCCTTTTTAGTCCGGCCCTCTTCTGTTCTTTCCTTTTCTGCTCTTCGTTTCTTTTGTGAGTAGTAGACCTAAGGAGAACAAAAACTCAAATAAAAGTTTTCTCTTGTAATACAAACAAACCAATCCTCCATGAAATGGTGCATGTTTCAAGATATGGAGCCATACTTCCTGCAAACCAAAGAGACAGTGATGACCAGGCAAGAACACTAGGGAGTTTTTTTAGTGTCCAACACAAGTATCAATTTGAGAGGGGGTTGGTTGGGCAATAATGTTTTAGTAAGTAACAGAATGGATGCCTCACAACATATTTTGTTAATGGCAAATAAAATTTATACTTACCATAAATCTCTAAATGAGAACCCCCTCAAATTAGTGCCCTGCTTGAATAAGCATCCCCCCTAAAAATGTCAAATTTAATGACCATTTCCATTCCTTGTTTATGAATGTTAATCCAGATTCCTTGTTCAAAATTGCTTGTACATGGTTTGATTTAACATAGGCTATCAGCAAAAAATGACATCTGTTTTTAACCATATTTAAGCTGATCAGTTTAATTCTATTGATTGCATGAGCTGAGTTATCTTAATTTCATCAGAAACCATTTATTGCAGATGACTTGTGACAACACACCAAAAATTGGAAGCTGTTGGTATTTACCAGAATGAGAGAAAATGTGCCAGACAGCCTTGAGGTAAGTTTAAAACACTTCTTGTCATGGCTGACTTGACTTGAGTTCAGATCACAGCACAAATGTTTTCTTTTAAAAAGGGGTAATAAAAATGTAACCTTAAAAGGACAATACACATCATTCCTGTTGTCTAATTAGCAAAAGGGGTTATCCTTCTCACAAAGACCGGCCATTCAAGAATTACTTTTCAATCATTGATAACTGAATTCAATGGCATATCTTGGGCTAATAATTTACAGGCACTAGAAGATATTTAAAATACAGGCCCATTTCATTGAAATTGTGTTAGCTGAGAAATCCAGGGCCAAGAGATAAAACTACAACAAGATAATGTCAAAATTAAAAAATCAAGAAAATTGACAAGATACATGGAAATAAAGAGGATTTAGTCTGGATGTTTATTTTCACAAGATGCCTATTTTCACCGACATTTATTTGAAGCCTTGAGGAAACTGTTTTCCTTTGGAGTTTGATATAGAGAAAAATCTTCCCATGAATAACCAAACTTATATGAAAATAATCGTTAAAAAAAATTTAAAAAAATTTCTTATATACAATAATAAACATAGAGTGAGTTGAACAATAAACAACTAGATTCATTTACCTCATTGATATGCTTGTAAGTCTTGATAAGATCAACACTAAGTTTTCTGAGCGGTGCTGTTCCGGGCTCACGAAAAGATGTAGGGATTTTTCTAACATAATAATCATAAGCTGATTCTGGATTTGAGTCTGGCATTGTTTGCTCATTGGTTGCCATTGCAAACAATACCAATAACTTTTATTATCTTTGATTGTTTACAATCCACATCATAATTCTAGCAATCCTTCTTCTGATAATACCCCTGAAAAAGAAAAATTCAAGTTACTTGTAATTTCTTGGAATTATATATTTGGAATGGCAACAAAATAAGTGATCTTTAGTTTGCTCTTATTGCATTGAAATTAAACTGACATCATATTTCACCGAAATAGAAAGTATATATGTGAATTGGGACAAAAGATCAATTCAATTCCTCCAATCATTTCAGCTTTTAAATGTGCTTTTATCGATACAGATATAAAGATCAATGGTTCTAACTGATAACAATCTTTTGGTTAAAAGAACAAAAGAAGATGTACAGATATGATTCTTTGATGTAAAGTGAAGTATGAGAGTAAAAATGAAATTGTTGTTTTTAAAGTTTCTAATAAATCAAAACAGCATAGTATTGAGAATGTCATTTAATAATACATTTTAACTATTGAAAAAAACTTGCAAATGACAGTTGGTGAAATAAATGCAGCAACCTAAGCACCAAAACAGGAAAGTGCATTATTTCTCATCAAGGCCTAAGGTAGGAGAATTGAGGCTTGTGTGTAGAAAATGAAAGCTGGACAGAGCAGGGCTGTAACTTTCATTGTTCTTATGGGCTCATGCCCTTTATTAAAATGAAAAAACCCTTAGTTCCATCGAACAATCACTTGTATTTCTATTTATCTTAAATAAAGATGTTCTGCCACTAAATTTATCCTTCCTACCATATAGCTACAGCTACGGCATTATTTTCTTTTAAGTGCACTTCTTTGATTAGACAAGCCGTTGAGAATCAAGAGCAGCAAGATCCTAAAATAGATTTCACTAGCCAAAATTTCAGTGAGAGAAAAAGAGACCAATCTAGGTTGGCTAGTAAAAGCATGACAAAAAATACATTGGATTCAGAAGAGACTCTTTTCAATACTGGCATAGCACCATGATACCTTTATCAAAATATTTTCAAAGAACATGATCAGTGTGAAATTGAAAACATAGCTGTAATCTTTCGAAAAGTTATATAAATCTGTTTTGTATCAGAGATGGTTGGGGCACTAGAGGTTAAATTTTCTGACAAGAATCAAAGTCTAACTCTTGAAAAAGGACATTGACTGTGTTTATTTCTACAATTATTTTATAGCACAGTGAGAAAAGGTGAGCCCAAGCTAAAGCACAGATTTAACTTATTAAGCCATGCTGTGAATTCTGGCATCTCCTGTGGTTGAATCTAGACTTGTGATTGCCAAAATTCCAGACAGGAAAAATTGTTTTTAACAGTTAAGTTTGCTTTAAAACTAATGCCTAGAATTATGTACACTTAATAAGTTGCTGCACTGAAAGAAGGAAAATGGCTGATAACATTCAAATGGTTTATCAAATCTGAAGATTTTGTGTGGCAATAAGCAACATTTTGTGGCATACATGAAACAAATATTATTCTGTCTGAACAGAAATTCTTCATTTTAGATGATCAATTCAATGACTTTGAAGATAAATAATATTGAGCTTGCTGTTGGTTTGCGATCAGCAAATCTGATCATGTGTTTGGATCTATAACATCAAAGCTGAAGTAGCCAGCCACATCACCACTACAGGAAATATTCTGGGCAACAAGATTTGTACTCAAGATTCAAAGATTCCCTAAAAACCTTGAACAATTTAAGCCAGTGGGTATAATTGAAAAGCTCTAATGATAAATAATATAAACAATCGCTGTGGAAATATTCTCTGCTATCATAACTAGCTAACAAAAGCATACTGATATTCTTAATCCACGGCCAAACGTACTTGAAAAAAATATAAAAGGGTTTCAAGGGATTTTGTTAAAAAAACAGCTGCCCTCTTTCTGTCAAAAATTGTAAGATTAGGTTTCTTCATCGTAGCCTAACAAACTAAAACAATACGATAGAATCTTTTAGTATTTTTTGACATCGACTTTCTAAATCAATATATTTGAATTTAGATCACGGAGTGGAAGTCGATGGTATACTTTTTGAGTGAAACGGGAAGAAATTTGTTGATCGCAAATATTAAAAATACCGGCATACAAGAGTGCACAAAAGACATTTTTACAGTCACTTCTTCGATCTGAAATTTGACCCCATACATGACTTTCTCACTTGGCGCATGGCTAGCTATTTCCGTATTTTTCAAATGGGTTAAATTGTGCCATTTTGTTTATTAGCAGACTTCATCTCCCATCGGATATTTTCAAAATGGCGCCTATATACGACCTTCGTCTCGTAGTACAAAAGAAAAAATCAAGATTTCTCACAATAAGTGTTAAGATACATCTTATGAGATACTTATGAGCACAGCCATTTTAAACGATTCAAAACAAAAAGTTACTTAAACTGATTTGAAGATTTTATACAACTGGCCGCCATAAATATTCATTTTGGATTTCGTTACTGCCCTTCAAGCAGAACCAAAGCGCGGCAAAAACTGTTCAGGTGGGAAGTACTTCGCGGCCTGCGACGTGTGAAAATTTAGACATCACATTTTTGTGTTTACTTTCCTGAATGAACTCAGGATCCACTTGATCTACATCCACGATAACAGATGGCGAGGAAGCCCAATTTGATCAAGCATCACCGCAAAATATTGGGAGAGGAAGCTATACTAATTTTCTGATCGTAAATCCGAGTGTACATGAAGCATGGCTCCTTTTGGCCTAATGCCAGATCGCGTTTAATAGCGCCTTTCTAGACGACCTTGACTAGTAACTTACCAAATCAACCACTTCCCCCAGCTCTGTTATCCATCTGCAAGGCACAAAAGGTGGAGGTTTCCTCACTGTTGACTCAGACTTTTATATTCACAAGTTCTTTCCTTCTCCATGGACAAATTGCGACAACAAATGTAGTTCCTATTCGCTCCAGATCCTCTTTATTTCTTTAAGCAAAAGATCCTTTGAACTTTGAGTGAATTCCAGCTAGATTGTCATCGGTAACGCTACCTTTTGGCCTCCAGTAATTTGTCAACTATCAGATCAAAATAAAGTCAGAAAAATCCCTTCAAAATCTTTTTCCTCGAATAACAAATTTCAAAAATATAAAAAAGTTGCGCGCCAGAATGCCGATGACGCGCGCGTTGTTACCATAGATCTGTCAATCAAACTTGAGCTCCGACAGGAGAATTTGCATGTTGATCCAACAATAGACAAAGCGTTCGGAATATGGCGGGACTTTCAATGTTGTAAACAAAGTGCAACGTGACCTGCCGTTGAAGCACTGGTTACGTAGAATTTATAGAACTTACAACAGCATGAAAAGCTCAACGAATCTTATCGTACGCTGGATAAAACTATGAACAAATCTATGGAAACTGGGGCAAATAATGCTGGAAAAGTCATCTGGCGAGAAGAAACATGAGTGGGTTGGTATTGACTTCCCTGGGAATTATTGCGCATGGTACCACAAAATTTATAAAAGGTTCGCAAAAGGATCGTAAATGTCGTGTTAAGTTTTTATTTCATTGTAAGTAAATGATCGGTTGCAGATTTTGAATTTTGGGGCAAAGATAGGTAGTGGCGGCTCTAGGGGGCAACTAGGGACAGTTGCTCCTCCCTCGCGAAGTTGAAGCAAGTCTGGCGCCCCTTTTTTGAAAATTGTGCGCCCTTTTTGAAGTATGAGAATCAGGTGAAATAGTTCCTGAGGCCTATAAGTTCATTTACTTCAAGGATTACTTCAAAGTTAACTTGTTTATTCCGAAAATGGATCATGTTTCGCTAGAAATGTCACGCTTTGAAAGACAATAAACAGACCAGTCAACTATCCCGATTACGCCGGATGATCCAAGGTTTTGGTTGCTTTCTCCTGGCCTACCGATTTTTTTACATTCTTATAACAAAAATGGTTGCAGTGGCGTTCTTCATGACAACATTTTTGTAAGTGTTTACGAATTAATAAAAAAAACTCTAAAAACAATTATGAAGAAGAAACTTTTTTGTCATTAACTGTTTTCCCACATGACTTTTACAGGTATGTTGTTTAAAAATTTAACATAATAATATTTCTATCACTTCATCTTGATCAACAAATTCTTGGGATCTCCCTGTTTTTGGCCAAAGCTCCCTGCTGTATTACGAAAAAAATCTAAATTCTCCAGGTTATGAAAATTTTGGGTTGACATGTCTGCAACAAAGTCTATCCATAAAGTTGCATTCCTTTATTTCTGCTTTCATTCAAAGAAACAATGTTCAATTTCTTGCCTTTCAAAGTTACCCTACGCTTCTCCGCAAGGTTTTTCATTTCCGTGCTCGAAATTTTGTGGCTCTGGCACCCAGGATAAAGATACCCAATCTTAATGTCATAATCAAACCCAAAAGAACTATGGAGTATAATTAAGATAGAATATTTGTCTGTTGTGCCTAGGATCCTTTGTTTTCAGTCGATATTGTAAATCGACCGTTTCAGACCCATTTTCCAGCCATCACTAGAAAATCATAGTTGCAAAACTTTTTCTGCCGCTCACCATAGTGGGCCGCCTTCATCAAACCGCCTTGATCTTCACCAAAAATTTTACCCCAAGGGCATCGTCTTTCCATTTTGCCCCAGAGACTCTGAAATCTCGGCGGCTTTCCAGCCATATTTGCCCTTCAATTCTTATAAAATTCTATAGATTAGAGGACATTTTATAAGCTGAAATTATTGTTATGAGAAGCTCAAAAGAAGCTGTAGTTCATTGTTGCACCCTAAAATTTGCTTTTCGCAAAAAGATGCTCACGAATTCACCCAAAAACGCGAACTCCAGGAATATTAGTTTCCGCAAACTTAATTTCCTTATGCTTTTATGCCATCATTTGCTCTTACTAGTTATCATTAAGTGTGTATATGCTCATCTATTTCATTGTTAATAAATTTTCTATGGAGAAATAGTCGGTCAAACAAGAAAAGTTGGTCACTTTTTTTCTGAACGCCCCCCCCCCCCAAACAAAATTGTCTAGGCACATCACTGTACTCACTTAATGTATAGTACAAGGCTGTTAGCAATTTTTTTCTACCGAGGGAGAGGCTGTGTAATTTTCGCTGAAATTTCAGTATGTTTATTTCATTCGAAATCTAGAGATGCAAATTCTGTCCTGCAAAGGGTGAAGGACTTCAAAGGACACTCTTTGCAGGGAAGCATGGGGAGCCATATCTTTGGAAGGAACTAAACCAGCCATGTTGGATTGGCTTGGATTGTTATTAAGCATTGGCTGTAATAGAAAAAACTGAACAATAAAACTCGAAATAAAATAAAATGGCTTCTAGATTGAATTACGTCAGAGTCGTAAGGGAGTACGCACACACCCAAATTGTCGAAGGAATATTGTGTACATTTTCACAATATTCATTGTATTTTTTGGAAGGTAAGATTGAAGGGAGAAAAATCCTGTGCTCAAGACTACAAGGCTAAGGGGCAGGGACGCCAAAACGACCAAGGGGCAAGGGGGACAGGCTTGAGTAAAAGGGCATTTGAGAGATAACTCCCAGCTTCTAGTAATTCCTTCTCCTAACTGCCATTTTATTTTGATCTTCTGCAGGTATCTTGAAAATTACCTTGAGTACCAGACTCACTTTTTATCAAATAAGAGAGAGTCTGTTTCAGTACGCCCCTCTCCTCATTCTGGTGTGCCGATATTAACCAATCAGGAGCAAGTGTATAGATTTCTGTACGTTCGAAGGTCACATCCAAACAATAAACGTAGCTTTGGTGTAAAACGTTGAACAGAACACAACATAAATTAATGCTGACGACAGTAACGATTTAGTTTGATATGGGGTGATATCTATGCAGGGGCTGATTTAAAGTGCATATGACACGAAAATTTTTATTCGCTTAAATCATCAAAGAAACATCGCTGGTAACGACGGTGAACTTAGTTTTTTCATTTGCGACTTACTTTCCGCAAAAAACGGGGTTTTCCGACACCCACTCGAGCTAAAATGTGTCACAAGAAAAACGCGGTCGAACCTGTGGTCACGTGACCCCTGTGACGTAAAGTGGTTGTGTATCCGTTGAATAGAACAAGGCTTCTGTATGGTTTCACCATGTGCGGGCACTACTGTTGTCGCCCTAAAGATTTTTTTCCTCCATAATTGTAATAAGTTTTATTTAGATAACTCAAGCAATGCCATCAAAGGTCGGAAAGTAATTTAGAAAAATTTTTTGGTTCATTATAAAATTGATAAAAATTGAAATAAAGTGTTGTGCATGACTTTATGGAACGAATACCCCCTTGAGGAAGATACCATTGTGCTTGACTACCATCCTGGAAAACCTGCCCCAACAGAAGTTCGCCGCTTGGCATTACTTATTAAAAATGCAGCGTAAAGATATCGAGCCATCATCTTTTTCAAGATCACCTTTTTTACACCGAAAATACCAAAACATTTTTTCGACGTGATGCTCTACCCTCAGTCCGCAAACCAAAACAAGACAAAGAACGAAGCAAGAATGAAAAAGCATGGTGAGTAATAAGTTTCCTATTGTTTTTTTATAACTGCCTAACAACGTTCTATTGTGTAACAGCTGAGATACGTTATTGGTAATGACTCGACAACACCGGGGGCACTCGCTTTATGGAAAAAAGGGACTCCTTGTCTCTCTGTGTGGAGTCCATATCACCGTTTTTAATACATAAAAATAAACCATTTAAACAAATGTAAACTACTTCAATATTTTATACAAAAGCGAAAAAGGTTTTGGAAACTAAAAAAGCAGGGGGTTGGCAATTCAAGAAATATTTAAGAAGCAGGGAAATGATATTCTATGGGATAAAGATTCAAGATGCAAGTGAGAATCGATTAACAATAAACAGAAGTCACCAAGTAACAAAACATGATATAAAAACTTTCAATTAAATCACGGACTCAGTCGTTTCTGTATAACAGAAATGGTGGTCTTTGACCTGGTCAGCCTTGGTCAAAGACCAAAAAATTAATCTTGGATCATGTTTGTTGTTAAATGTAAACATTGAAATTTGTGTTCCTTGTTCTTCACAGGCAAGCAGCGTTAACGGAAGCTCTGCACAGATGGAGTTGCTTTGGCATCAACAAGGTTTTGAATCTCTCAGAAGTTCTGGAATTGAAGTATCTACGTTTGTCTCTGACAGACACCAAGACTGTATGCCATTGCAGAGAGATATCTATTGAACAAAAACATTGTATGACTTAATATAATGGTTGATTTGAGTTTCTCTTACATTCTTTAGAATCGGCAGGATCATAACATTACATATATATATTATATGTATATGGTATACTCTTTTCTGCCAGATTTAATGAAAATAAAATATTAAATTTACTAATTCTAAGAATTGAAGGTGCCAAACAGAATTTGTATTTCTAGACAGTATAACTTATACAGTATAACAACTAGACAGTATTTGTATAACTTATTCTTCATTCGCCCATACAACGCAATAGGCCAGGTCGCTATGATCAGGGAATGGTGGCCTAAAAACAGCAGAGATGTACAGGGAATACTGAATTTATAACACTGAAAAACCCAATGACAACTTATTTCACTCACCATTGACTCAAAGTAATATTTCCTCGCCATCGATCACGCTGTTGGGATTTTTGTATTCCATCTTCGTCCTCTGCCCGGTCATGAAAGCTTCGAGCCATGCCAGCTATGCCTGGTTCCGCGTCTGAATTATCCGCAGAAAAAAGACTGGTTCGTTCTTGCAAGGCAAAAATAGCCCATCAGCATCAAAAGCTATTCCCCTTCACTTTCGTCAAAAGCTGACGCCCTCGAGCTTGAATATTTGCCGTGAGACATGTTCATAGACTCTCAAGTAAAACTCCGCCGTATAACTTCTTGTTAGTTAGCAATCTAAATTTTCGCTAACACAACCACTTTACGTCACTTCCTGTCAAACTCGACCCAATCCCTTATGACAGAATTTGAAGCAAAAATCGACCTTGAAACAGCTGTAATTACGAAAGTGTTTGTTTTTCGAAAATTTTATGGTGATTTTCGTGATCAGCATACTCGATTACGTGATGGGGGCGAATAAAAATTTTCGTGTCATATGCACTTTAAGCAACAATGTGTTAGACACTAATTTTGGTGCCACACCCTTCAGGTCACTGGTAAATGATGGAAATGCCCATATTTAAAATTTGATCTTTAACTGTGATTGGTAGGCCAAAGAGGAAGATATTTTTGCTGATCACTCCACTAAGAGTTTGGAAAAACACCCATTTTGTAAATGTGTTTGAAAAAGCCATGGCGTTTTTAAGTGGCAATTTCCTTTTATTCAACGTCATAGGTGGCTGACCATACTCTACAACTTGTCTATTTCCTTCACAATTCCACTAACGTTTATATCCTGAATTGTGTAAGGCGAGGAATCTCTACGTGTAAAAAGTGATTTTCCAAAGTTTTAATCAAATATCTAAATAAATTAACAGTATTCAAAAGTTTTAAACCAAGTCCGTTTTCCTTGGAGCAAAGCATTTTAGAATCCAGTTTTTACAAGGATTGGACTGCTTTAGCATTTTATTTTTTATTTTATCAGGAATGTCTAAAGAGCGTAAAAGACTTTTCCATACAAATCCCAAAACGAGGGGATATTACTAAACACAGAGGCTCTCCTGCGGGGGAAGCGAGCAGAAAATCTTTGCGACGACGCCCTTGAGATTAGCTTGAAATACATTTGGGAATATCTCCCCCCCCCCACCCCCGCTACGCTACTGATAAGAAGATAAATACTGATAAATTACTGATTAAATCCGTCCCTGAATTTAGCTGATGTGGTGCCTCATCTCGTGATTTTCTGGATCCCCTTTTAAAATCTTACCCACTCAGTAGCGACGCCATGTAATAGGAATATTCTCCTTTTCAGTATTAGCCTCTTTATCGTGTTTATCACGCACTCAACTTTAGGATATATATTGTTGCACGTAGTCAATTTGTGGACTTTTGATTTTGATGATGAGGCAGAAAACATAAACGAAGTTCTTTTCTCTTCTTCACACTTCTTCGATAAAGATCCTGCTACAGCCATGGGGGGGGGGGGGGGGGGGATGGGGCTGACTGGGGAGACACGTCAATTTTGCAAAAGGTAAGATTGATTACAAGATAGCAAGTTATTTGCAATACACTCTTTTTTGACGAACCAGTGAATTCGAGATCAGGTCAGGTTGACTGTTTTTCCGGATCGTTCTTAATTTGGTTTTAAATTAATAGGCTGTAAGCATTGCGATTGCTAGCTTTTTCGCTTAAGGGGGGTTTTCAGGCCTTATTTGCCAACAAAGTGGAAAACCTTCATTTTCCGAAAAGTTTGAATATTTGCCAAAAGAGCATCCATAAATGGCTAAAAGTCCACGTTTATTAGCTAAAACGTTGTTCAAAATTGCATTTTTCAATAGCTCAGCCTCAGCTTGTTCTTAATTTGTCTTTGACTTTTGACCAATGACCAACCATGGCCAATAAAATGAATGAATTACAGGTTGAAATTTGGTCAAACTTCATAACTAATGCTAAGGTTTCAGCTGCATGACCAACTTACTTGAAGTTTGCAGACATCGGGGGGCGTCCTCCCGCCCACGTCCCCCCAATCGGCACATCCCTGAGTGAGTATGATAGCGATCAACGACGTGAAAAAAACAAAGCTAAATAACGTTGATAGAGAAACTGCCACTTAGCTGATCGCCATCGAACGCTATGCCGTATGGGCTCTGGTTGTTCGAACATTCGGTCTTTGCACCATGAGCAGGGACGCCGGAGTGGCAGCGCCCCCTTGTCTTTGACCAGGAGGGGCAGAGGAGGCAAATGTGCCCTTTTAAAAAAGATAACAATTGATTTCACCAAAACTCTGTCAACAATAAACTTTGAATAATAATAAATCAAATAAAAAATAAAAAAAATAAACAAATCTTCCCAACAATTCCAGTAGGCAGACAGCTGCTTGTCTGGAGCCCACACAAAATAGGGGGAGGGGGTTTAGGAAATCCTAACCTCTCTAATTTGACTACTTTGCTGAAACTCTGGTCGGGAAGCTGAGCTTGTTGGAGATTATTCTCATTTGCTGGCATCTTGAGACAAACACATATCAGGGCCGCCGGAGCAAGGGGGGCCACGGAGGCACAGGCCCCCCTGTTTGCAAAAAGTATAAAGAAGTGCCCCTTTTTGAAAAATATATTGCGTGTATTTTTTCATTGCCAGGTATTCTGCCTTTAGAAGCTAAGTAAAATAACTTGAATCTGGGCGTTGTTGGAGGACCATTCACTGAAATTTCCTTAAACTTTTACTTGGTCTTGATGCAAAAAGTTCAAGCTCCTGCGATGAACAATATTAATTGCAAAGGAGACTGCCAGTTTCGCGAAAAAATATTCTTTAGTATATTGTAAAATAATGTATTTTACAGGACAGGTAAAGCTCATAAATCAGACTCCAGTTCGCAATAACGTTTCTAAAAAACCAAGATTCTTCAATAGCGATATGAACGTATGATAACAAGATGGGATGGTCCTAGCTGTAAATGTAACGTTTGCAAATATAATGATATCAATATCCTGTAATATTTGTCCATTCATGTCCAAGTTGCTTCAAATATTTAGCTTATGTATGTACGTATTTATTTCCTTAGTTATTTCCTCTTCACTTGTTATACAGTAGATTCGATTTAGATTAGTTGTATGTGTATATATCCATATATATATATGTATAGCTAGAAGAAATATCGAATTAAAATAAGGTTACAAACAAACAAACAAAAGCGATCGTATAATTAGCAGCAACCAACAGTTACAAAATAACGACTTCATTCAACGAAAATTTCGACTAGACTGGACTTGCACTGAAAAAATACGTTTTTAACAACATGAGTGAAGCACACAAAACCCTAAGGACATAAATCAACAGCAAATTACTAAAAAAACTAAAATAGCGATGGAACGATGAAAAACAAAATGGACTGAAGCAAACATCGAAAGACATCCTCGTTAACGATACGATAACGAACCATAAACACGATGCACGACAGACAAAACTAGTCGTATAACAATATCTTCATCAACAAATGCATCACTGATATGTCCGCATCAAGTCCTCTGTGGGCACAGGCAAATGGTCCAATGTATATTGTGTGTGTTCCTGAAAGTAGAAACTGGAACACTATCTCTGATTCTGGGTTGCGTTAAATGTACCCTATTCTTTGACTTTGCCAAAATTGTGTAACTCACTGTGAATATTCAAGCTTGAGCAGGAATTTTTGATACCAATTCATGTTTGAATCATTCTTTTTCCTAAACTTATATCTAGGTCTATCAAAAAGCAGAGTTCACTAAATTTGATTTTAACAACAATCCCTTATGGTGCAAAACTATAACTGCATTATATTGCTCACTTTTTATGAAGAAATGAACAAGTTGTGTCCCTGCAATGAGTGCATGCTAGCAAAGACTTAAACAAAGACTTAAATTTCTTATCTAGGATTAGAACAATATACAAGACTAGCTGCTACTGCAAAATTAGTTGTACTTCAATATGCCGTTGGTTTACTTAAAAAATGATCTGTACATCATATCTGTAAATCCCTTTTGTGTTTCCTCTGACTGATTAAAAAAGCAACCCTATTTTCAAGATTCTGTGTCCTAGAAGTCTAGCTTCCAGACTACCCTTTCTCAAAGTTTTCGAAACTCACATGTAATACGTTTGACCAACTGACTGAGCCCGCCGGGATCAAGTCTAAGGAGAGTTAAAAACTTGTTTCGTTCATAAGACTGATGAGACAAACCTAATCAATGTTGCAAATTAATTTTGCTACGGAAGTGAAGAATGTGCTCGCACCTTCAGCCGATTGCGTTAAGATGACTTAAACATAAAATTTGGTAGCTTTCAAAAAAAATTCCACGGAGGCGAACAAGTTTATGTGTTCAAGTGAAGGGGGCGGGGGGCCTTGGCCCCCCCCACTTTTTTGCAAAACAATAGAGTTTTTTTCAAAATCTTTTGTTATGGGTGTTAAATTTTCCCTTGGCCTCCCCACTTTTCAACCTTTTTCGGAGCCCATGTCAAGTGGTGATGGAAAGGCGCGAATGCCAAGGGAGACTTAATTGTTTAAACATAAGAAAAGTGAGAAAATCAAAATCATTATTCGAATGGGCTTTGAAAGTATTTAGAGACTAAGAATTTGAAAATTCCTTTCAGTTCATATTTTGGGTTGGATTCGTTGGTATGTTGCAATAAATCTGAACTTTTGGTGAGCATATTACGCCTGCCACACGTATGAAAGAAGAGTGTGTGCCTGCTTCTTACCCGGGGCCAAATCCACTTACAATGCAAATTATAAGGAAAACAGGTACAGCTATTGTAATAGAGGCCTAAATGATACATGGAAGAAAGATTTACACTCTCAAAAACTTTGGTTGCCATGAGATGGGAAGCTATACAATTAATAATGATCAAGAGTGCGTGGTCCCTAAATGGAGGAGATAGCCATGTCTGCTTTCAGCGAAGATAAATTTCACTATGTCCAACGTGTGTCATTATTTTTATAAATGTCTAAATTACCGTGAAATCTGTACCATTTTGACACTTACTAAAGTTTCGGATAAAAAATATTCGTGCCCTTTTGATTCGTTTTGGCCCTCCTGTTCAAACCTGCGTCCGGCGGCCCTGATATGGGGGCCATATAAATAGGGGGGGGGGCAATCATCCCATTGCACATGACTTGTCTGTTGCGCAGTATTATATAGTTGCAACGCAGCGGCCATCGAGGGAACATTCTAATCGAAGAGGAAGTTTATTTGGAGACATGTACATTTTGAAATCAATATTTCTTGTCGTCCTGGCCACAACGATATGTGAAGGTGTAAAATGGAAAGAATTAAAAAAGACGCTGCGATTTGCAAGAAATGGACCAGAACCAGGCGAGAGGAGGGATGTTATTACTATCGATAGCAGAGAGGAGCTCTCGAACTGGCCTAAGCATGAACCCGATGTCGGTTCATTTCAAAACATTTTCACCGAAGCAAGAAAAAGAGCAAAAAGATCAACTCCAGGAACACCGAGTAAAAACAAGGTATGCTGTCTTTTAGATGTTAGACGGTCTTTTGTTACGTTTACAACTCAAGCGCAGTTGCGTTAAATAATATCGAATGAAAACAAAAACAGCTTTATGCGTATTATTTTACCTCACGACTATGAACTGCGACCAGTCTGTCATTCCTATGTTTGCATGGCAATACCTATCATATTGATAAATGAATTATAGCACAAGACAAGCATCAACTTAGACTGATAGTAGTTATACAGAATGACTCGTTTTCTTTTGGTACTACAACGAAGGAATTGATTTGCAATTAATATCGTCATCCAAAATAATGACTCAATGCTTCCATGTAATGCATCAGCAGAATTCGAAACGTATAGTTCCGCTAGGCGCTGTCGTTTGCGACAATGATGTTTACGTTTTGTTACGTAACAAACATTAGTAGTTTCTAACGTTTCTTTTAATGGGCTGCCATACTTGTTTATTGTTTGCTGCTGTTCAGCCACGGAAATGTGATCTTTATCCTCCCATAAAATGCATTAATATTTACAAAATTTTAATTTTCAAGCATTTGTTGTATATCATAAGTCATTCAACCTGACAATGCCAGCAAAAAAGCCTGACAAATTTAGAAAATATGGCTTGATTAAGTTTTTTGGTTTAATCTATGCCTCATTTCTATAAACAGATCCTTTCTAATAGAACTTCAGTGTACTATTTTTTTCAAAGATTGATCTGGATAAACTTTATCATCAATAAAGTCATTGTCATACCCTTTTGTACCTAAAGAATCAACTGATGTTGATAATTAACTTGTTAGATTTATCGCTCAGTTGTAACCAGTACAATGTGCCTTTTAATGAAAATGAAGAAAATGTGCCTAAATGGGTTTGAAGAATAGTGAACGGTATTTTGGCAACAAATATGTTGAAATCTACAATTTTATATAGCTCCAGCTCAGAGTTGACATCATTGATGTTGCATCTCACTATCAACAGACCTTTGTCAAAAGTAATCATAGAATTGGAATCTTCATGTTGAATTTAATCATATGATGAAAGTTGCCTGTATTTGTGTACTGTCAGGCTGGGAACTATGCAATTTTCAAAGTTAAGCTTTTCTGTACATTGCACTAGAATTTGCTGCTGCAGTGAGAACATTTCACTATAGATGCTATGTTGAAAAAACCCTATTTCCATTTCTTTTGTAAAATCGCTTTATATCAGATAACTTTTTAGGCCAATATTACTTTTAAATAGACATATAAATAACAAGCCTAAACTTATTTATCATTAAATTTAAGCATCCTTTTCTTTTTGCAGTTCCATTTCAATGACAGCCATTATGTTGCAGAAGTTCATTGGGCTGGTTCCAATAGTTCTGTGATGCTTGTATTGATGCGGGATCCAACCCCATCACCAAAGCGACCAAACTATTTTTATGTCTCCACAGATTATGGAAAAAATTTTTTGAACATAACACACAAGTTTATTGTCAATGGGACATTGCCTGTTTTGAATGACTACTATCCAAGTCCCATTAATAATCAACACTACATAATCACTGCCAAGTTCCACAAGTACATATTTATTTCCTCTGATGGCTGCAATACTTTCAGGACTGTTAGAGTCCCGTTCACACCAACCAAAATTAAATTTCACCCAACATACTACAGATATCTCTTGGCCTATGATGAAGATCATCCAATGAACAAGGTACTGAACTCTTTCTGAGTTTACTGATATGGTGAAGCCAACTATATTGCAAGAATCCATTGCATTATAACCTTGAATTTGTTTATGGCTTTTAACCAGTATTAAGAAATAAATTATGATGATATGATATCATGTTTATAGCCAGTAGCCTAGCGAGAAGGAGGCAAAAGAGGGTATATGCCCACCCCCAATGGCAAAAACATTTTAAAGGGTGTGGACCCCCATTTCCCCTTGCTCAATTTGCTGTTGTCCTCTAATTCTTATACCACCCTGGCTATGCTACTGTTTATAGCTGATAGCTATATTTTTGCTTGATTTCTTTACTTGAACTATCACCAAAGTTTTTAGCCAGAAATTATATTTTGTGTGAAGTTTTCCATAGCCAACACAAATCTAAGCAGTGTATTAAACTGAAAATTTCACAAATATGATTCCCCACACTGGGAATCCACCTTGTCTTCATATAGCCATTTGCTAAAGATTTCATTGATACTATAATTAAGTGTTTGCATCAAATTAAAGGTAGTCAAATACACAGGATTGTTGGTTAATTCATTCAGATTCCTTATCTCTTACTTTTTTAGTTGTATGTCTCCAAAAATTTCGGGGCATCCTGGTTGTTTAAATCTAATTATGTCAGATCATTTTACTGGTAAGGAATTTGACTTCTACTTTTCTCAAAACCATTGCTTTTATCTTTTGTTTAAAAAAATTCAGAGAGCTTGATCAAGCAGTACTTGTAATGGAAGCTTACCTCTGTTGTTATTGAAAGCTAAGAACAGTGGTAAAGATCTTGATTTGAAAGTTGCAGGCTAACAATTCAGAGATAGAGAGAATTAGCTGTTCTTTGCCCTAAGCCTTGAATATTTTAAGTGATGTTTGACTTTCTTTCTCTTGACTTTCTACAAGAGACTGATTGACTTTCTTTCTCTTGGTCAAGCAAAATTGTTGATTTAGGTCAGTAAATTTGCTTAAGATATAAATATTTGCTTTTAGTTATTATTAACATGCAGTTAAGTTTTCAACATTAGGCTTTTTTACCTCAAACATGTGGATTGGAAATGAACCACATTGTCTTGCTTTTTCAGGGGGATACAACCATATGACTATTCAAGCCAGTTCTATGTTGAAAGACGTTTACCTGGTAAGCTTAAAAGTAGTATCTGCATTAATTTTTACCATATGCATATCAACTTATGTCAAAAGAAAGAGTTCCTCTTCTCTCTTGGTCTTTTCAACTAGGTGAGAAACTAGGAGCCTCTGATTGGTAAAAAACAAGAAACCAATCAGACATTCTTTCTCTTGCATTATCATTGATGTACATCTGAATATAATTTCTGTTACCACTGGTCATAATCCAACATTGTTTGTTGTATGTATCTCTGAAGAATGTTGTATGTAAAGTACTTTAATATGCTGTTTCTGTTTTCCGTGCTACAATAAAAGCTTATCATTTGACTTATCATTTGATCTCCAAGTTGCCATACTAATTAGCTCATTCCGTATCTTTTCATAAATTTTCTAGTTCATTTCATTTGCATTTTTCCTTAATATTTCTTTCTAAAGTATCAAACCAATGTATAAAATAAAGCACAAAAAGATGTTTCAGTCTAAAATTTGATACTTTGATTTTCTTAGGTGGTCTCTTCATCAATGTCACATTATTTTAGGTTTTTTCATTAGCTGATTTAATGTGTTATCAACCTTGGACTAAAATGGAATATATTTCAGTCTGATCTTGATTAAGCTTCAATGGGGGCTTATTGAAATGCAAAAATTGGCATGTAAAAATTTTTCTTCCTGGGTGAGGGGTTATTCAAGGGGGGCTTATGTGAGGGAGACCAGTTTGAAGATCTATACTTAATAATGTGTTGATAGGTAAGGAGGGCAGAATATATAAGTAGGTTAGTATTTGTGCAGACCTTGACTTTTTTGCACCCTAAATTAGGCAAATACTGAGCAGATTAGGCTTATTACCAGGCTAATAAGTTAGGCTAATAGCTAGGGGTACTTTTGAAGGCGTTTGGGGAAGGCAAGCTTTCTTTATAAATTTCAGACCCCATTAACAAGCCAGTATATGTTTGCTTGGGTAAATGTCTTACTTGGCGATGTAAACTTCCCCTTTTCTTTTACAATGTACAATTTCTATCAGCCTTTTAGAGTCAGTGAATAGTTTGATTGATTTCAAAATGCACTACAGATTGTTTTTAACACAAATGCAAGTTTATTGGTTATAGTAATAGGTGTGTCACTGGCTATGACTTTTAGAAGTTGCCTACAGAATACCCCCATCTAACTTTTTAGGATGGAACCCCTTGAAGCCCTATCTAAATAAACCAGTTAATTGAACCAGTTGGTAAACTACTTTTTCTAAAGTTTACAATTTCTGTTGCTGGTGCCTTTTCCTTTGTTTTGAATTCCACTCAGTTGCCATAAAATTTTATTTTTCAAATTATTGCTAAGCAACTGCAGGTCTTAATGAATGATATTTGTTGTCCTCAAAGGCATTGGATATGGCAGACAGGTACCAGTTGCGGCTTAGCTTCAATTTTTATACAACATGATTTAATCAGATCGTTCTTACTTGTTTATTAAATGATTAAGTAATATCAAGAAGCTTCTTAAGTAAGATTGCTCAGAAGTACCAATATTCGAACCTCCTTAATAACCAAACCTCTTTATAGGAGTATTCTGAACTGAGTCAGATTATCTTAGACTATTCCATCTGCCAAAAGCATTAAGCCAAGTGAATATAATGGCCTCAAACCAATGATTCGCATTTAGACGATGTGGTTTGCTATTATTTTGCGGTTTGCTTCAAATCGCGACGGACATGATCTACAATCGACGATTTTGACACGATTCAGTAAATACTAGCCCTAAACAAACTGCCGTAACATTTTACTGATTAATGTTCAAAATTGATAAAGAGCTAAAGTTCCTCGATGGAACACATCGATGCTTTTTATGTAAACTGTCTCACTTAACAGCACTTTTAGTCACCTGTCTTGAATCAACTTTCTTGAACTATTTCTAAAAGGCGTTTTTATAGAGCAATACATTATTGTGGCCCATGTGTGCAGGGTGATAAGATTGGGAGGGGGAAAAGGCGAGTTGAGCGAAAAAAAATTGGATCCAACACTCTTTGGGAAGCCAAAAACGCCCTTTTTCAAAGAGATGTGGGGGAGGGGGGGGCGTCCGCCCCCTCTTGGTTCCCCCTCACTACGCTACTGCTCGTTCCTTCTTTTTGAGAAAAAGGCTTTCGTTAGAACAGGGGCAAAAAACTTTCAGATGCTTTTAATCCCGGTTTATTCTCAAAGGTCTGAAACTTTTTCACGATAATTGCTTAATATGGCTTTTGAAAATTTGGGTACTCTAAACTTTGGCTTCTATATCATGTAATCTTCTGGTACTGACCGGCATTGCTCAACTCCCCATCCTAAGCTGGACCACCAAGTACATATGCTGTCATATTAAATCCAAACCTAACTGTCTCGATTTTTACATGAGAATTGTCAATTTTTTCTTGATTACTTGTGCAGAAGCATGTTTTTAAGGTATTGCTTGACACTGCTTTTTCAGGTATTTTAGCTGCTTTTACGTCATCACTATGCAGTTTGACAAGTAGTTAAGTCGTTTGTAATTATCACCCTGTCTTTAGGCCAGCGTTCGACAATTATGCGATACAACTACTGGTACTGGTATCCAAGGACACTGATCACCAACGTCGAAGATTTTGACTTGCAAGACAAATACATGTTCGTATCTCAACGCAATGTAAGTCTTATTCGGCATATGCTTAGTAACTAACACGTCGGCTTTCTTGAGGCCAGAAATTTGTACAAAATTATGGAGTTCAGGCTGTTGATATGGATGTCATGATATGATATGATAAGCTTGTCTAGACCTTTTCTAACTTGATTTAGAATACACAATCCAAAAATATATATACTAGATCGGCAAAAGTGGGCATCATGTCAGTCTTAATCTGTATAACTTCTTTTTGTTTATAAAGTGACTTAGTCCCAAGGACATACAAGGTTGTAACACAGACTTAAGATATCCCTGCATAATTTGGATTCAAAATGAAACATTGTATTGATTTTAAACTACATATCAAATTTTGCATACTTTGAATTATGTTTTTTTGTATAACATACCTTTTTGTATTTTAAATAAATCATATGCTATTTTCTATATAATTCCTGCATTTGAACGATCGGAAACTCATCGTTTTCAGACTACAATGGGTGGTGTTCATATACAAATCTCGTACAAACGAAACAGTTTTAGAATGGCCCAAATTCCGCAAGAAAGAAAAGACCCTGCCTTGGTAAGATTGCGATATCTTGCTGTTGTATCTTGAACTCGAAGAGATCTTTCAGTTTCGCACCGTTTTTTTCGATTTGAAGATGCCACGATTTTCACACATTTCTTGATTTCTTGTTTTGAAGATGTATCCTAAAGTAGTCATCAATAATATGTAAGATTGTAGTTGAACGCATGTAACTAAATGGCTTATTATGTCAAAGAAGCTCTACCGATAGTTTTATGAAATTAGCTATTTCTTACATGTTAATTCGGATGCAAGAGTATGCAAGAAAATTGCCAGTAATGCTAAAATATCCAGTTGTAAGTACTAGCAGTCAGCAATGGCATTCATAAAGGCAGTTGCCCTATTAATGAATCTTTGCAGAAGTTGTTGAAGTAATTCACAAAACAAACATTTCTTTTACAGAGCTACGTATTCGGAGATGCATCTGAAGATCAATTGTTTGTGGCAGTCGACCACAATTCTAGTGCCTCGCTCTATATTTCTGATCGAACAGGCCTTGTTTTCAGCGAATCTTTGGAAAGAATTCTGTATCACAACAAAGATTACAACCCAACTTTGCCTGTCAGGTGAAAAACACTTCCTGTTTCAGCTTATTTTGTTATTGAAAACTCATGTGCTGTATATCTCTGATTCCCTTGATTCCTGATTCCCTTGATTCCTGATTCCCTTGATTCCTGATTCCCTTGATACCTGATTCTCTCAGCTTCTCTTTCTCTTGGTTCCTGATTCCTTCATTTTCTGATTCCCTAAATTCCATCTGATTCCCTAAATTCCTTCTGATTCCCTTGATTCCTGATTCCCCAAGTTCCTGATTCCCTTAATTTTTTATTTCCTAAGTTTCTGATTCCTTCACTTCCTGATTCCCTTGATTCCTGATTCCCTTAATTTTTTTATTTCCTAACTTTCTGATTCCTTCACTTCTTGATTCCCTTGATTTCTGATTTCCTTGATTCCAACGATCGCTGCATTTTCTAACCTTAATTTATATATACATAAACAAATTAAGTCACTAAAAGCCATTCTGAATTAAGTAAAAGTCATCGTTTCCTTATTATTTATAGCAAAAGTTCTTACAGTAGCTTGAAAAAAGTTATATTTTAATCATGAAAGTTTACTGCATCTAAAGGTTGAAGCTGTCCAGACAGGATAAATTTCACTTTTGTCTTTAGTTATCAGCTATATGAAGATTCAATCTGTAGAATTCTTCCCTGTTTATGGGCGCTCTGAGATAGCTTTAACCTGTCTAATTTTGCGTAAAGGCAAGATTTGTGGTTTCTTTTCAAAGGTCAAGTCTGAACCAATCGTTTATCGACCTTTACCGCGTCGAGGGTATATATGGAGTGTACATTGCGACCCAGCTGACCAATGCTCGACCGGGTCATCGCAAGCTGAAGACGCTGATTACTTTCGATAAAGGCGGCGAGTGGATGAATGTGTCTGCCCCTAAGGTCGATTCATACGGAAGGCCAACGAATTGCGAATTATCTGTGAGTTTATTTGTTAAAACATTTTTTCATTCTTTTGCCTAATTTTTCAAGTTGACGCATCAGTTTTCCAAGCAACCATGAAATCATATCTAATTAAGCCATCATTGTCAGCCCACTTTTCAAAAGAAAAAATTACCTAGCAGAACGACCCGTTGCGCACGTCAGACACAGACGATCACTTGTTAAAAGCTAGAATACCACGCATCACTCTAATCTGAAACTTTCATTGGCGTTGGCATAAGGCTGCTGTCATGAAATTCTTCTCTGATACACCGAAGCACTACTAATGACCCTAATTCACACCACAGCGTGGCTGTTCACTACACCTCTCTCAAAGTTATGGTACATACAGTATATATTCAACATTCCAACCAATGCTTTCGAAGAAGTCATCACCCGGATTAATCATAGCACAAGGTAAGGTCCTAGTATACTATCCAATATTGTTCTTCTTTAATTACCTTTTCTTTCTGCATATGATCGGGTTATTGCTCAAACTGTATTTAAGACCTTCAGCTTAATCATCTAGTATAGAATCAATACTTCAAAGAGTTTTGTAAACTTTTAAAACATATACATATTGCATATTTATCTACAACTTGCTACTTTTCATAAGCATTTCCATCCAAGAACAAAAATGTTTCATTTAACACCATCTTTCAGCAACGAAGGTTGATAATTGCGTCGTTAACTCGAAAAACTCATAATTGGATATTTACTCTATGGGAAGTCTCTAAAGTTTCTAATTTTCAAAGACAGCTTCTTATTACATGTTGTCATTGCCTCGTTTTCATTAGGGTCTCTTGGACAAAGCCTGCAAACGTATCCAAATGTATATTTGTCAGCGGATGGTGGTGCAAGGTGGAGAGAGGTCAGTATATGCAACGTTTCGAGGCAAAATTAACTTCGCATGCAAGTTGCAGCAAAATATACTGTTTGTTTTGAAGGTAAAAATAGTCGAATAGAGAGAATATACGTGAATGTTCAGTTAATTTAAAGGGCATAACGTTTTCATACTCTTTAAATTACAAAGTGAATACGTTACGTTAGTAAATAAACTAATTGCAACTGACCAGCAGTCACTTAGTACGGTTAGAATCGATGGCAAAGGGACGTGACTGTAATTCCCTTACTTTATCTATCAATTATTCAAATTCTGTACCATTGTATAATCGGTTTCTTTGTACTTTTAAGGTCCTCAAAGGTCACTGGTTTTATCGTTTTGCTGACCATGGTGGTATGATAGTCGCCATCAAACGATATGGGCTTGCTGACTCATTATTGTGAGATTTTCTTTCATATCTTAACCTTCCCTCATCTTTTACATTATTCAGTGTCATTAATACAAAATTTCAATTCTTTACTCCTTTTCGCAAATGTTGAATGTCATTTGTCATTTAAATAAATTGTACGTACAATCACTGCCAAAAGTCTTGGAACACTAATGTCAGTTTTAAAAGGCAAATTCAGCCATCCCCCTCTCCCCCGAAGAACAATGTTGATTTACTTTAGAAAAAAGAGAGGGGTTATGGAGTACGCTTTTTCGTGTGCCTTGTTTGATATCTTCCTATACTTTCAACCTTTATTCAGAAAACAAATGAAAAATAGAAAAGCACAGCGCAAAGTGCTGGGTGTTCCAAGTAATTTTGGCAGTGATTGTATGTTGATTTTTTATAGCTCTGAAAAAGTCATGAAAGTCGGGTCGAAATAACCTATAAATGGCATTCAAGATTTTTCATTTTTCTATTCAATCTAAACGCATTGCTGTGTTCCTAAACTTTAAAATTCTGAAGTAAAAGTCATTCTGCTGGTAGCAGTTCATGTATTTCAGTTGCCTGATAATTGTATTAAGCGTGAAACTCCGAGTAGCAACTTAGAACCGTCCTGTTCAGCGTGTGCGGCTCTGTCTATACGGCATCGAGCACTTAATGAGTGACTGGAAAACAGTAATTTTCATTCTTTGAAATATAGGTACTCATGGGACGATGGAGAGACATGGAACTCCTTCAAATTTTCAAATGTGAAAACTAGAGTTTATGGACTTCTCACCGAGCCAGGAGAGACAACAACTATTTTCACCATCTTTGGGTCCTACTCGCAAAGGCATTCCTGGTTTCTGATTCAAGTGGACATGAAGGATGTCCTAGGTTTGTAGCATTTCTGTTTACCATCCTTTTATTCCAGCGCAGGCAAGGTCGACACAAGAGTACCAACCTTAAGAGGCCGTTGGTCAGGAAAATTTTGTCGACAACGGAGACTATTAAGTTTGGCAATCCCTGTGTTAGTGAGTCTACTGGTTGGCAAAATAAATTAGCTTTTTTATAAACTGAAATATAATGAGCAGTATTAGCAAACTTAATTTTCCTAAAGGGGCCATGCATTTATGACGAAGGGATTGGGTGGACGCAAGCCAAGACTTTTTAGACGTTTTTGTTGGGGTAGGGGGCTTTTATAAAAAATCAGCGAAAAATAATGACCAAGAAGAGTGTGAGGTATCGAAAATGTTAAGTGTCAAAAAGGCGACTAACTAACTAATTGATCAAGAAGTCTAAAGTTTCGAATTAGCCAATTCTGCCGATAGTTCTAGCCTGCCGACAATAAACAAGAAACAAGGTTGGTATGAAAAGCCCTTGACCTTATTCGGCTCGGCATTTAGGTCGGCATTGCCAAATGCCTATACCGAATGCATTTTCTTTTTTCTCGAATGGATTGCATGACAAAATATGTTTATTTATTTCCTTGATGCATAAGACGATTTCATTATACAGCCTGACTTGTAATGAACTGCATCCCTATCTAGAAAAGGGCACCTATCCTCTAAGATATCTCTCCGTAAGATTAACGAAATCGTCACAAAACGTATATTCTAATTTCCTCTCAATGAAACCCTTTATCGATACCATCATCTAACATAAAGTTCACGCTCTTTTATTTTGAGGTCTTGTAAACTTTTGGTCAGTTATAGTGACAAGAAACTTTATACCATGCCCGTGGATGTGTCGCTTCGCAACCACAACCAAGTCTATTGGCCAAACCACACTAAACTGTCGAATACCTAATTGAGATTTTTTGCCCCTGCGAATGTCTCCGATGTGATTTACAATACTATCCCTACAAAATTTTATTGCCCAGCCTTTCTAACCTCTAATGACAACTAATTTTTATATTATTTTATTATTTTATTATTTCATATAATATTTTTTCAGATTTTGAAGGTCTTCAGCTATTCTGAACCGTTATTTTTTCTACAGGCCAACCTTGTACATCAAACCAATATAAAAACTGGACCATGGTTGACCCAGCAAACGATACTGATAATTGTCTTCTTGGAAAAAGACAAATGTTTGAAAAGAGGGCGCCAAAAGAGCTTTGTTTCAATGGGAAAAATTACGATCGACCTGTGTTTACATATAATTGTCCTTGTGTAAGAGAAGACTTTGAATGGTAAGTTGAGTTGAATTGCAGTTTGTCATTAAAGTTGAATTGAATTTATCATTCAGTCTAAGATTAAAGGTAAAAAGACATAGAAGTAGAAGTTATATGCAGCCAATTGAAGCATGGTTTTTGGTAAAACCACTTGAAGTATGGCTGTTAAGCATTTAATGTGGCCATTTCAATCTTGTTTTGTGCTTTTGGATTGTGATGTCAGCTTGTCTCTTTCTTTTTAGCGACTACGGTTACATGGAATCCACAGACTGGTTTAGAACCCGATGTATTGATGATCCTGGTGATTATTATGACCCAGCCAAGCCGCCCTCCAACTGCAGGCCTGGCATGTTTTATAATAGGACGAAAGGGTAAGACCTTTAAGATATCCATTAAGCCCCGTCTCAACTCAGTATATGTCTTGTTCACCATCTCATTACTTTAAACCATAAAGTTGATGCAATGAAAAATTACGAAAAGCAGGTATTCAAAACAGTGCATTACTGCATTCCGGGGATCAAAAAGGAATTTAGATTATGTATAGTTTAAAGCCTTGCATTATTTAACTCTCACTTATCGTTAACATACAGTAGGTCATTCTAACAACAAGGTATCTGCTGTAGGCTAAAATGCTGTGTAAGGATTTGTTGAGTTTTTGTCAAAGGTTGAAAAGACCCCAGCTTCAATACTCCCTGTTGTTAAATTGTTAGCTACCTCTGCCTTTTCCTCTATAAAGCTGAGGCCATGACGCTCCTGGTTCTCGTATCCCTGTAACAGAGGTTATGCTACATGTTTAGCAAAACACGTAGGGTCCTTGCCAAAAGTCATTGGAACACCCCGCGGTTAATAAAAGATTTTGATGAAGTGAAAGTTTCCGGCCGTAAGATACAGAAATATCCCCCTCTCCTCCCAAAACAAAGTTGGTTGTAAAGCCTATAAGTGGCGTGGTGGCCCACCGGGAAGCGGGAAATTCCCCCGTAGGCCCCTCGAAACTCTTCTTGTGGGTCCCTTGGGTTTTTCTTCCTTTTAAGCTTTTATCATTTGTAACATCAGATTCTTGAGAAAAAACAAACGAAGTGAGGCCCCACGTTGCCTCAGCGACACTCTTTGCCATTATATTTTAAGTGATGACAACTAGAAACAATCAGCATCGAAATGGTGTGCCCCTGAAAACTTGATTTTCCTGGTCTATAAAAATTCCAACTACGCCCCTGCTATTACTTACCCGAGCTGAAAGAGTTAGACATTGGTTGAATTTCAAGCTTTGAAACAGTTGTTATTCAAAATTGTTTCAAGGGGGAGAGTGGGATGCTACTGAAGTTATGCGAAATTTTAGCTTGGTGTACCAAGACTGCTAGAAGAAAAGACGTTTGTAGAAAGCCTATGAGCGTTATCAGTATTTACTCTGCTGTCTTTTCAGGCTTTAACGTAAAGATATTTCAAATTTTTGCACTTCAGGTTCCGGAAGATTTCTGGAGACACATGTTCCGGAGGATTAGAAAAGTACTATTCACCAACCCCAACGGCTTGCCCTCTCAACAGTAAGATTTCTATCCATCTGTTGCTTGAATTGTTCTGTCCTAGGCTTCTGCCGCTTGTAATCTTTCTTTCCTTGGCACTTCTACTTCATTTTGCTGTCTTCCTATTTTTTCTACTATTTATGTATCCGTCATACAACTGATGCTCCTGCAATACTGCTCACAGTAGCTTCCTTGTCATATAGATATTTTATTTGCCAAATTGCTCCAACTATTTTCGGGCTTTCATTGCATCCCTGTTAGCTAACTTTTCTACATATTATATCTTGACTAATGTGTAATACTTGCATAAAATTTCATGCCATAACCATTGCTTGCCATGTAGCTTTACAAAATTCACAAAATGCCTGCTTCTGCCATCTTGTTTCCATTACAAGTTTTCCGCCATATCTCTACCATTTATAATATGTTTATAACATTTGTTTGCCCTCCTTGTCGATCATATGAAAACATAAAACGTATCCTTGTTGCAGATTCCCGTATAACATAGCCTTTCATGATTTGGGTTATTTTCTAGCGCGTTCACTGCTTTCGATGAGTTATTTTCGTAACTTTGTAACTTATTTTTGTAACTTATTTTTGTACTTATTTTTGTAACTTATTTTTGTAACTTATTTTTGTAATTTAGATCCTACCAGCTTTATATGGTATGCCAAGCGGATGTCTCTGCATAGACTTGATCTGGGTTTGCCAAACAGAGATATTAGCTTCAATATCCCTGGTCTGAAGAACGCAATTGCATTGGACTACGACTACAAAAGGAATGTTTTGTTCTGGGCTGATATTACAACAGACAAAATCAATCGTATTCATCTTAATGGCTGTAAGTTACACTTTCATTGCAAATAATTTGTTGCAACGCATTCAATTTGTTCTTGCACGAGTATGGTCAAAATAAATTGAAGCATTTGAAGACAACTGAAGCAAATTATTTAACATTTTCATTGTCGAAGCTAAGTAATACAGCATCAAAATAGTTTTCCACAACTTCATGAAATGAAATGCAGATGGTGCAGAAATGTGATGGATGAGTTACTGTCAGTCCATATCACAATCAGCCCTGAAGAGAAAAAAACATGGACTGCCTATTGATTGCCAACTCTCCTTCGACTGAAAAGTTTCAAAACTTTGCTAAAAAGCTAACAACAAAATTTATGTGCATGCCTGTGTTTCCACATCTATGGATCAGAACACACAAGGAAGCTTAATGAGGGCATTTGTTACCAGAGTTTGTATCCAGAATTTACCTTCAATCTAGATGTTTCACAGCAGGCAGTTTGACCAGAAAATAAACATGATACATGAAATGGGCTTGAGATTACTCATTAGAACCCCGAAATCGATGCAAAGAACTTTCATTTATTTGCAACCGAGATGAAATGAATCCCTTATTTATGCATAAGTTTCAAAGCTAAAAATGGCTTAAACTTGTGAGCACATCACATTTTACCTTGGTATCATGGTTTTGGCTGTAGTTTTGACCGTCCTTTGAACACCAACAGAGCGAGGAAGAAAACACTCATATGAAATTATTGTGGAGAATTTGTTAAATAAAGTGTGTATAACTACATCAGAGGAGGTGTAAGCAATCATTTTTATATACATCAAAATTGTGGTGATACTTGCAGACCATCATTACCTGGGTCAGGTAGAAAAGTATGAAGGCAAGGCTAATGCAGAAATGTTAGTTTGAGTTTAGTCTGGCCGGCAGACGTTTCTTTTCAAGCCTTTAACTTCGTCAGACCACATTTACAGGCTCAGTTTCGTTCCTTCCAGAAGCCAGCCCCTCCCAGTTCCATTGCTATCCTTTTTGTTGTTTGTTCCTTGGAACTTTCCTCATCTACTTGTGTTTTTTGTCTTGCAGCTAGCTATGTTCAGGAGATCAGTGGCTTCAACGAATCAAGGTCTCATGTAGAGTCAATCGCGTACGACTGGTTGGGTGAGAATGTTTACTGGACAGACACTGGAATGAAACAAATCGGTGTCGTGAGAGCTTATCCAATCTTAAGCATGCCGGATATGAAAGTCTCTAAAGTGTTGTTTACAGAAAACCTTGGCCGTCCTCGGGGCATTGCTCTGAATCCAGTGAAAGGGTTCGTTTAATGACTTGTATTGATGGCTTTTTGGTGATATTTTAATTTTATGAAAAAAATGCTAGAGTAACACGAAAAAACCTTAAAATCGAATTTTTGCGTGCGCTATCGCAGGCCTTCTACAAAATCGTTTAATCTTTGTTACGTTATAATCCAAACTTTCGGACGATCAAACTTTCCAAAAAAATTTTATCCGAGACTTTAACTGTCCGACTTTAACTGTCCGAAATTCGTATTGTCCGAAAATTGTTTCGTGTCCGAAAATCTTAATGTATGCAAAAAAAGAATAACAGTTTTCCAAACATTTGACAATATCTAGCGTACAGTGGCCTTCAAAGTTTGTTCTTTTCCCGACGAGGACTTTGTTTGATATTTTACAGGAATTCATGAGAAAATTCTGTTTTGAAGTTGAAATAAATTTTTGCAATTTCTGTGGTTTTCATTTTCACGATGTAGATGCGTAGTTACAAATTGTTTAACTATTCTAACCAAATACCGCTCTACAGAATCCTGTTTTGGACGGACTGGGGCAGCTCTGCAAGAATAGAAAGCGCCAACATGGACGGTACCAACCGCAAAGTGGTTGTTGGGTCAGATCTTGTATGGCCTAATGGAGTGACAGTTGACATCACTGGCTCGCGGATATACTGGACGGACGCTGGAAAGGACAGGATTGAAGTAGCTAATTTTGATGGAAGCAACAGGCAGGTTGGTGGAGATTTGTTATTTTACCGCTGTAACTGGGGGTCTTGTTTTAATATGCAGGCATTTGAATATCTATGGATTCTTCTAAATAGAATAATGACATGCTAAACTGTGCCAAAGATTAACGTCGATTTCTCGCCGCGGGGTGCTATAGGAAGAAACTGTCTATTTATGACTGGTTTAGGTTACTTTACTGAAGTGCTACAAGACGGCATATAAGTCCAAATGGTAGTGTTAAAACAGGTACATAAAAAGTTAAATATTAAATGTTGATTGTAAAATGCACCAGAAAGAGTTGTTTCTCGCTCACCCATTTCTGCGTTTAATTATGAGAGAATTTTTGTATGTATAACATGAAATGTTAAATAGGACTGACATAAAGCCAACAAGTTGCTTTCATTCTTAATGCTACCATTTCGCTTGAAGCTCGGAGGCGTTAACCTGCTATCAGCACCATTTCTAGGCTATTTTCCTAAAACTTTTATATATTGAAATGAAAGTGTTGATCTTTTCTCTGCATAGATGTGAGTGCTTTTTAATTCCGTTTTTCTTTACTTGCCAAGGGGTTTTTCTTTATACCTCTTTTGTTTCAGAGATCACTTTTTGTCTTCTAATGATCTCACCTCGCCTTCTAGTGACTACTGTCGTTTGAGAGCCCAACTTTAAATTTAGCAATTTAGCAATATACAAAAGCAATTTATTAGTGTAACTATCTGGAATAGAAATAACCTGATTTAATGTAACATTTTCCACTAGAGTGTGTTTTGCTATTGCTTCAAAGGGTAGAATTCCGGTCAACCAAATGAAGAGTCTAAACAGGCAAGATTAGGACATTTTGTTAACGTGCTAAAGGGCAAGGTTCTCGAATTCATTGATAAAGGACACCCACTTGTTATTACCCTAAGAGCTGTTATGTAGTTGAAAGGCACACTGCATAGATTTTGTTATTTTGATGCCAGCAGCGATAGAATTTACCTCACCAACGTTACTTTAAAGTGAAGTAAAATAACTCACTAATAGGCAATATGTCTTTTGTTCTCGTTCACGCTCTACGACATGATTATCGCAGTAAAGATGGTACTAAATAATCATTTGCAAAGATGGAAAATTTTTATATTCCTGAGCACAACGATTACTCACTTTATGTTCATATTTTTATTTTACTAATTATAACACAATACTGATACTCGTTTGCAGACTCTGTTTAACTACAACGTCAGACACCCGTATGGAATTTCTGTTCTTGGCAATTACATATATTGGGATGACTGGTCTCTCAGCACCATCGAAAGAGGATCAAAGATATCGTCGAATGACAGACGAACAATCCAGTACAATGCTAGAGGCATTATGGAATTAAAGGCATTTGGGCCGTCGTCCCAGCAAGGTAAGGGACAGTTTTAACTGAAGCATGCTACAACTTTGCCGCTGTTTGACTCGATAATGAATTAATAAGTGGATGAATGAATGAATGAATGAATGAATGAATGAATGAATGAACGAACGAACGAACGAACGAACGAACGAACGAACGAACGAACGAACGAACGAACGAACGAACGAACGAACGAACGAACGAACGAACGAACGAACGAACGAACGAACGAACGAACGAACGAACGAACGAACAAACGAACGAACGAACGAACGAACGAACGAACGAACGAACGAACGAACGAACGAATGAATGAATGAGTGAATGAATGAATGAATGAATGAATGAATGAATGAATGAATGAATGAATGAATGAATGAATGAATGAATGAATGAATTAACGAACAAACGAACGGTTATATGAATGAGTGAATGAATGAATTATTTAATTAATCAATTAATTAATTATGAATGAATGAATGAATGAATGAGTGAATGAATGAATGAGTGAATGAGTGAGTGAATGAATGAATGAATCAATCAATCAATCAATCAATCAATCAATCAATCAATCAATCAATCAATCAATCAATCATACCAATCAATTAATCAATTAATATCAATTTGATACTATCCATTTGCTACAGAATATAATTGCACCTCCAGTCAGTTGCAAGCTGGCTTCTTAGTGAATGATGATTATTAATTTCTAACGATGTTAGAATTGAGCCACCTCTACAACATCTCAGTGGTGAAAATCTCCCAAAGAATTCCAACAAATGAGAAGAGGCAAGGCTTAACATCAGCATACGTGGCTTCTGGCAGAAGGAACAAAGTGCATTTTTTTATGTAAGGGTATTCAACCCATTCGCACTGTCGTACAGAAACCAGAAACTAGACAACACTTTTGCAGGGAATTGTTTCAAGCAAATTTTTAAAAATTGTTTTTAATAGTTGTTCCAGTACCGTGTGTGTATTACAGACGTGTCTTATTTCCAGGAACAAGCCAATGTGCCACGGCCAAGTGCGCGTACCTATGCCTACAGTCTCCAAGTGGAGTCAATTGCTCATGCCCTGACAATCTTATTGAGGTTGTCTCGGGGGGCACTCGACACTGTATTTGCCCTGCGGGGACCAGGATGAATAAAGGTGAATGCGTGACAACAGGTGAGCGTCATGGCAACGTTTTATATCTTCAAGACTTGTATGCGAAGGTCTTGAGTCAGAAAAGTGTGATCCTTCTTTTTCTTTCTCCTTCCAAACGTTTTTTCTTTGATAATTTTGTTGATATATCAACTGTCTCTGTAAGCAATTCTTTTCAAAGGGCTCTCTCAAGACTAGCAAGCATTTTGAAAACACTTTCATTCTATCAAGGCCACTGTCAGATCCCCTCGTTCTTCCCATTTTTACATCAGTCCTGAAAGATTCTCCTTTACGTTGTTTGTCTAGATGGAACCTGCAGCCCAAGCGAATTCAAATGTGACAATAATAATTGCATTCCGAAACGCTGGAGATGTGACTATGACAACGATTGCCATGATTTCTCCGACGAAAGAAATTGTGGTATGTCTATAATTGTTTATAACTGTGCTATTATTTCAGGAATTTTTCTTTTTATATGTTTTTATTTTTTCCCCTGCTCAGCCTCTATGTCACTTTTCGTGCTCTGTAGAAAGTGTATTCTTAATATGTCATAAACTGTCACATCTTAACCGAATGTATTGATCAAAAGGGATAAGGGTGGCTAACCAAGTGAAATATTTATTTTTTCAATATTTACTCAATAGTTTTTTTAAACGTAGGCTCTCTTTGACTACCTTCCCAGATCTCAGTCATTCAAGAAGAGGATGAACAATCTGATATTTACAAACAAACTAGGAAGTTAACACTAAGAATCTCCCAAATTTCAAGAATGATGTGTTTTTTACAAGCTTTCGTCCAAAACTCAATATCTTTTGAAATTTGTTAACAATTTCGTGTACGGATTCGTTAACGTCGATTTCGTTAACAATTTAGTTGGAACGCCTTCCCTTGATGGCATACAAAACAGACAAAACCGGTCTAAAACTTTCTTACCAATACTGTTGTTTCCAAAATTTTTCTCATTATTTTCTCAATATCTCTTTATACAACTTTCGGTGAAAATTTTTTTGTCTTAAGCATCAAAACAGCGAAATTGAAAAACATTTGAATGGAGGGGGGGGGGGTTGGGGGGTTGGTAGGGGGAATTTTTTTAAAAAAATATTTAGCTTTACCTAAGTATTTTGCCAACAATTTTGGCAAGGATTGTACGTATACCCTTCGGGACTTTCAAATCAGTGTCAGCTTTACAGTTGATGGCTAGAACTGTAGGCTATTGTGCTCTTTGATATGCAGTATAGAACCCGAGACTTGCAGATGAATCAATCGATGAAAGATGTAAAAAGGCTTTGTCAAAGACAACTCAGATAATGTGGCGTCCATTCCAACTTGCATTAAGGCCGATTTCCATTTGACATTTGTTGTGCGCGCGGGCGTAGTGCCAAAATCTGAGCATGCGTAGTTAAGTGCTGCTGTCAAGTGGCCAAGCACACAAAATGTTGAGACCCTATCAACTTTCTGGCGCTCACAGCGGATGCAAAATTGAGACAACTTGATTCTAACTACGCATGCTCAGATTTGGGCGCTACGCCTGCGTGCACAAAAAATGTCAAATGGGAATCGGCCTTTAGTCGGGTCTCTTCGGGTGGGACAAAGTAGTCCGGTTAACTTTGCTAATTAGAACCGAAATTAGACTTTGAAGAATCCTATCAGACACCAGGACCAGAGAATAAAATGTTTAATGCTTTCAGTTGAAGTTTAGATAGAATAGATATATCATCATATGAACAACATAAATCATATCATTATTGCCGGTAGAGTAGCTGACGACTTTTCTTCTCAAAAAGGCCATTGAAATGAACATATGCAGCAGTATCTTTGTTTTGTTTCAATTGTCCGATGATGCTATTTTTGCTATCCGACTATCTGACTTCTAAAATCCGACTTATTGGATGAAAATTGAAAGTGTTAGCATGCAATCAGTCAATCTTATTCTTCTTACTTAATTTGCATATTGACAAGTCATATGTGTAAATAATCTTGCGTTCTGTTTTTGTAGAATACAGCACATGCTCAGCATCGCAGTTCAAATGCAACAATGGTCGCTGTATTCCTAGAAGGTGGCTTTGTGACGGAGACAAGGACTGTAGCGACGGTTCTGATGAACGAGAATGCAGTGAGTGTCTTTGCTTTACCGTTCCAATGTATCGTTAGCCAAAACGAGGCAAGAGCATATCCGCCATCTACACTTACACCCTTTGAAATATTATCCCCTAGAAAATATATTGAGATGATTTTGCATGAATGTAGAGTATTTGTGAAGCAGCAAAACAATTAAAATGAATATCGGAAGACCAAGTCAGTTCTTTGTTCAATTAACCTGCCCGGTCATTTCTTACATCCAACCATTATCAAATTTGTTGAGAAGGAGAACATTTCCATCGCGGGAGGCTTTTTCCATAGCAGGGGGGCTTTTTCCATAGCAGGGGGGCTTTTTCCGACAGGAGAGTGCTTTGTTAATCGCGAGAAATCTTTTCCCAACGTGTAAGGGGTTTTTCCAACGCGAACTTCAGGAGGGTATGTATATAATACACGTGCACGCTAGTAAAAAACTATGAGTTTGCTGGCTAGGCTCGACAAGTCTTTATATATATATTTCATGAAATTTGTTGTTTACCGGTCTGTCATAGAGTGCAGGGTGCCATATAGGCAGCGCTGTACACACTATTTGGCGTATAAAACAGGACGGTTTTAATTTGATACTCAGTAGTTCACGTTAATGCGATCACCAGGTGACTATATGTATAAATTTACTCCCTTTCAGAGGATCATTAGTGTTTGATGTTATTTCTTTTTCAGACAGTACCTGTCGTGCAAGTGAGTTCAGATGTCGCAATGGTCGCTGTATAGCTAGAATTTGGCGTTGTGACGGGGATAACGACTGTCATGATTGGTCGGATGAAGTCAATTGCCTTAACTGTAGGTTCTTAACGAAAACTACCATATGTCGTATGACGTTCTTTAGATCAGTTTACCGTGACCAGTTTACTGCTGTCTCCCTTTTGAACAGGTCTGGCCAACATCGACATAAAGATATCTTTCTGGTATTTTTGGATTTAGACCAAATAACCTGAAAGAGCGTCATGAAATACCTTTGAATGTGCAATATAAGTTAAATCTGCTACCAATTGTTTGAGTAATAGCTACATGCACAAAGGCTGTTTCCCCATCAAATCATCGCAAATTGTTATCGGTTCTAAACTTGAAAAACCACTCCAAAATAACAAAATACCATTGGCAAATGTCAAATCTTTTATTGACCATATTTCAATCAACTTCTAGTATACTTAACTGATTATACACTTTTTCTGGGTAATTCTTGGTGTCTTTTTCAGGCCAAACGGTAGAAGTAGAAAATTCTGAAAATGTTAAAACTTTTTATGACGTTTTTATGAGGTTTTTTGAAAGCTGGCTACTAAGTTCTCAGCCTACTGAGCTCATAGCAAAGAATTGTGAAAATTGAACGATTAATTATCTGTGGAGTTGTGGGTTTTGATGGTAGATTATTTGTTGTAATGAATGCCTAGCGTTTGTGTTTGGTGACGTGCATCCAGTAACTCGCTGAACAAAGCATTGAAAACCCAGCCGTTGAGGTCAATGTCTTGAGCAATGCCTTACCTTGACAAATTCATTCATTTATTTTTGCCCTCTCATCGCCAAAAAGGGGATTCATATAAGACGATTATTTCTTCTCTATTTTTGCAAAGTTGCCGTAATTTACAGTAACACATCGGTTTGGCATTTCTCGATAAAAAATTTGCATTTTCCTTTACATGAAGCAGATTAAAGATAGGAGGTTACTTGATAAATGCTATCGACCATCTAGCGCCTGCGCAGTAACGGAAGCAAATTGTCCACGAATCATGGAACAGTAGGCTTTAAATTCAAAAATATGAAAAAAGTAATTTTTAAGTTATCATTTAAAATCTTTTATAATTGTGAGCAATAATTAGAATCAGGTTCTTGAATGTAGTCGAACATTAAGTATTTCAATTTATATTTTTTGCAGCTCATAGCAATCGCTTCTACCTTAAATTTTGTTTTGCTTTCCTCAGACACAACGCAGAGAACTCCACTCTCCACGACACCACTCAGGTGCTCTTCGGGTCTTTCACCATGCAAAGACAACAGTGGATGCTATCCAAGCTCTCACTATTGTGATGGTAGAAACGATTGCTTCGACGGTTCGGATGAGCCTAGACACTGCAGTAAGGATTTGCCCTAACATTGTTTTGCAACTGAATCATCCCGAGATATATTTTGACTTGTAAACAAATTAGACAACTCGAGACATTGTGATTTGTAAACAAATTTTGATTATTCGGAGTGCAAAATAGATAGCAAAATAAACTTTTAAAAACTCTATCGGAACAAAACTATTTTTGCACATTGTTTGAGACATTTTTGTAGGATGTAGAGCTCTCCCAAGTTTTATCCGCTGACATTGCCCAGAAGATTTAGATAGAAAAAGAACTGGAATAGCTAGAAGAGGGGGAGGGGGGGGAGGGGTGTAATTAAAACACCAACTCAACATTCAGTCTCTCCCATCTTTTTGCCATCGTCATTGTGAAGACCTATTACCCCAGATTGCTGGTAGTGCAATGCTTATATATGTTGCAATATTTTCAGCTCTTCATTGTCGGGCAGACCAATTCAAATGCAGATCAGTTGCCAAATGTATACTGTCCATGCAGAAATGCGACGGGAAAAATGATTGCGGTGATAACTCAGATGAAATGAATTGTAAGTTATGTGAATTGTGAAAGTGAATTGTAATGATGGATTTAGAGCTTGAAGAATAATGTGTTTGATAAATATCTAAATATCTTCTTGTCGAAGATAGGTATGAGAAAATAGAAATATTATGTAAGTTATTATGAAAGTGCCTTCAGTTTGTTTTATAAAGCTCCTTTGTGATTTGCAGCCCCACTTTCTATGCTATTGCCTGCTCTCTATACTCTTCCATCAAAGAAGTTTCTCCACTGCATTCGAACCGAGCCGAGCCGAGAACACGCATCGAACCGAGGCATGGCATACTGAATGCAGAGGCGCATTTCTCATTCTTCATACATCTTTGCTTTGCAGGTTTGACAACTAAACGCCCTTGGATAATATCAACACGCTGCGAATTTCGTTGCTCCGATGGCAGCTGTATTCCACGGAGTTTCGTTTGTGATGGCAAAAGGGATTGTCTTTCGCCGCGAGAAAGCCCAGTCGGAGATGATGAGAAAATCTGCCCAACAAGTATGCTTTGGTTAACACCTTTGATCCTTTATTTTTCAAGAAGTCAAGCAAACATTTTTTCCATTGTATATTTACGCTTCTCAAGCCCCGCCTCAGTCTTTGTTATGGTAGCTACCTAAAGAGAATCGTTGCTTTAAAGATTTTCACAACCCCATTTCAGTCCATTTTCCTGGCGAAAATTAAGGTTAAAAAATTAAGGTTAAAGACATTGCTTTTTTAGATTGAGTGGATTTCATGCTATGCTCCCCATAGTGTTGTATACTTTTGTTGAAAAAGCGCTTACCACTTGCTTCACAAATTGTTTTTTGGTCATATGCAAATTAACAAGCAACTCCACAAAATGATCGTTTGTTTATTCATTTATTTGGTTTGCATGCTGAGGTATCGAAAGCTAAAATTGTTTAAGGGGGGAGGAGATGAATGGAGAAAAATGACAGTTGATAACAAACCAATTGCAAAGGAACGGCAGTGAAATTCGCTTTGTGAACAATTGCAAAATGGATAGAGGATCTTAACAAGCTCTTTAGTTTGACAGATCTAAAAAGGCCCAGAGTTCGTTTGAAATTTGTGCGAGCGTGTATAATTACATGGAGTATTAGTTCATTTTGCTGTTTGTCTTGTAAATTACCAGGTTACGATTTGAATAACTACTTCTTGCAAGGTGGACGCTGAATAAACGTGTTTGTAAGAAGTAAAATGTCGAGATTTTAATAAATTGACACTAGGCTTGTGAAAATTCTGTAACTTTTTATTTTTAGATCTTGTTTTGCCATTTTATCAATATGTTATCTTCCCTCTCAATGAAGCTGCTCCATTTGTCTGCCCTGGTGAGTTCAGATGCAAGTCGTACCCGACTTGTGTGCCTTTAGGCTCTGTCTGCGATGGTTTCAACGACTGCACTGATGCCAGCGATGAAATGAATTGTCGTAAGTCTGTTCAATGCCTTGTTCACTTATATACTTGTTACATCTGTCTGCATACAGCGTCATACTCTTCGTCCATTTACATCTTTTTTACAACTGTGCAAGAAATGAATTCATAAGCAGATTGAGAGAAGCAGCCTTTTAATGAATTTTATTACTTCGCAAGCTGGCTTATTGATGGATTCATTTTCACCACTTAGTCTTCTTACATATTGTCGTTATTTTTGCTATCTAATTTGGTCCTATTTTTAGGTTTTAATTATTATAGAAATTATCACTTAAAGTAGGCATGTGCATTAGTAGCTAAAGAGTAAAAGCAAATTCAAGCTTACAATAGAGAAAATTTGTTTTTAAAGAAGAAATAACTTATTTATACCAATAATTTATGAAAATTACACGGAATAATTGGCTAAAGATACATATATGGAGATCATACAGTGTCTACATTAGTTCCTTTTCGGTATTTTCAATGCAACACGTTCAGGCTTTTCCTAGACATACCACAAGACACAACCGATATACCTAAATTGCAATTATTCTATCAATTCCGCAGGCCAGTTTTTGTGAGTTAGGTATACTACACTTATACGTGTATTTTTGACTAATTGTTTATGCACCCCGGTCGTTCATCGTATCTCGTTTCTGTTGCTTTTCAGCCACCGGAAAGCCTGACTTCTCATGTTACGATTTCCCATTCGGCTTCAACTGCACGAATGGCGAAGTGTGCTTGTCTGCGGATATGAGATGCGATGGTAGACTAGCTTGCTCAGACCGTTCTGATGAGAATAAGACCATATGTGGTAAGTCGCTAATGCAACAACAAAGTTCCAAAGCGTATTATCAAATTCTAAAGCCTATCTCTGATCTATAAAAAAGACTGGATCGTGCTTCTGTTGTAACAAGTGTGTCGCCATCCGAGAAGATGGCCCCAGGGCAGCCCATGTGAGTGGAGGACCTTCACTCACACGTCACGCTTCTGTGGCCTTTTTGCTTGTCAGTGCTCATAGCATTGCAGCTCTTGTGTTTCCATATCATTCAATTATTGCTTTTGAGGAATGGCTTCCTTCAAGTATTGCTTTTGGGACCCTCTTTCTTTTAAAATTGATCGGCTTCAAACTTTGGTGTTTCAAGACAATAGGAGGCTCGATCCAGAATTTTTATAGCGCATTGGTTATCATTCCCAAATGGTGGAACTGCGCAGCAGCAAACTCTCTTCTTGTACGTTACTCTGTTGTATTTTATGCGATTATCTGTGAAACTTGAAATTGCCACTAAGGACTGTGGGGGTTTATAAACTAGATCTTGGAGGTCATGGAGCACTACCCAACATGCCTATCAAGAGCAATCTTCTTTACCTAAAGCGTTCAATGCTTGCTCAATATGTTCGGTAATGAAGACAATGTTTTCTCAATCTGTATACAAAACAGTCTCTTTAGTAATATTGTTTTGCAAAGACGCTGGATCGTTGAATGTTTCTGAAAAAAGAGTAGTGCAACAACAGTAGATCATTGTTGCTGTGCATCAAACCAGCTGCAGGAGATTTCGCTTCTAGACGACCATTTATAAATGCAATCCTTGACAAAAGTCCTTGGAACACCCTGCGGTCAATGAAAGATTTTGATGAAATAAAGTTTCCAATCTTGAGATACAGAAATATCCCCCTCCCCCTAAAACAATGTTTGTTGAAAGCCTATTACTTACCCTTGCTGAAAAAATGACATTAGATGAATTTCAAGCTTTGAAACTGTTGTTATTCAACATTTTTTCAAGGGGGAGAGTGAGATGTTACTGAAGTTATGCGATATTTTAGTGACAAGAATTGTAGATGCAAAATGATTTAGCAATACTAGATGCAGGATAGGTAACCAAGAATACCGCTTGCTTCATCAGGTGCAGCTGTAAGAGCGGAAGGTTTAGTTGCGACAGCAGAAGCCGATCACGTGCATCTACAGTGGAAGGAGCTGAAGAAGATAAAAAATGTGAAGGGCTACACTCTCATTTATAGGTCTGTTCCTCAGCATTTTGTTGATTGCGATGCTTTGACAGTGATTATGTGATTATTCATTCTTTTCCTCAATTTCATGGTCACATTATCGCAGCATTAGGTTACAAGCCATCGAGTTGCATTATAAAGAAAATTTTTCTATTCTCACGTTAAAAAGAGGTATAAACTTGTCAATCAGAGCCGTTTTTGATAATTTTAAAGGCCTCTCTGTCTATATGTAATTTATGTAGCAACTTCCAGTTTCGGGATATTGAAACGCGCAGAAATAGGAAAAAGAAAAGCCAATGTGTTTTTGCCCTTGGCAGCATGAGAATATTGAAAGTGTGGAATCCCCCTGTACCTGAAAGCGCCTGCCGATGACTTATTGTATGCTTTTTTCATAGAAATGACGAGAATCACCGAGGCAAACTTGCAGTTAACGTTGCCACTGGAACGTATGAATATAAACTAGCAAAGATGTTACACGGCTGCAGCAAGTATATGCTTGCACTTGGCGTTAGAATAAAGGGTTTGCCTGAGCGAAATTGGCTATACAGTGTTACTCGTGTGCTTACTCAGCCAAATGAAGGTATGTACTGATTCATCTGCATGCTCTAAGACCGAATAAGGGGGCTGGAAGGGAAGCAGGTTGCACACAGGACAAAGGTTTTTTATCAACCCTTGTTTCAGAAACAGCTGTAACACAGGCAGCTTACAGATTTATGGAGAAAACAGAAAAGAGGTTGAAGAAACAGAAAAGAGATTAATTTACGCTGCTAACTAAGTGCCTTGATAGAAAATTGAGGATTTTTCGAAAGAACGATTGCGATGTGATAGGATATAAAGTTGAATTAATATGAGCTAGCAGGTGAATAACAGAAACAGAAAGAGTATTTATTTGTCAGTGTTAAAATTACACAGTATTTATAGACTGTTTAATTCTTCATATTTTGAACCAATACTTCTTTTCAGCTTTGGTGAAGCCAAGAAGTTTGAAATTTGAGCAAACACTACACGGGCATCTTGGCTTTTTATCTTGGACAGAAGGAAAGTATTGCAAACCGGAAGAACGAGAGGTACGACTTCATCTGGTTGCAATTAAATGTGAGACTCTGATTCGATGAAAGAAACTTCAAATGTACGGCATTATTATATAACAAAGTAGCGGTCATGTCAGCAACTTGGCGGACATGAATAATCCGGAGAGGTACCATGTTTTGCCTGATGTCATATTTCTAGGAGAGCGTTCCCTGACCCTAGGCGACCTGTGACTCGTTGATGCAGTCAAAAACTCCTCGACGTGTATGACACAAGATGCATCGGATTATCCGAACCGGATTCTTCACCTTCGCCAGCAACTTGAGTTTAGGCAACAGATTTCTTCCTCTTAGTAATTTTAACATTTCAATTCACAACCTTATAAGCTGCTGATGCATTAAACCGGCGGATGACGCTTTTAACAACCCCTTGTTGCAAATGCTTTAGGAAATTGAACTTTTTTGATAATCTTCATGCCTTCTTTTTCAGGTTCACTGTGAGTATACCAAGCCTAAGAGCACAGATACGGAACAAATTGTCTATCCTGTAGCCTCCGGAACATCAGTGCAGCTTAACAATTTAACAATTGGTGGTAATTATACATGCAGGGTAAGCGATGTTAATGTTTATAGGGCAACCAAATGATGCATACCCCTGCTTTTCTTACTAGTGTTCGGAATCGTAGTTCAATAGTAACGACTGCTGTGAAATTATGCATGCAAAAAGTAGTGAAGTTATGCATGCAAAATGTGAAAGTATTTCTAGAGAGATGTTTTGGCTCAGTTGGAATCTGAGTAGAGAAGTACCAGAATATAATATCAGCCATCCTACTTTCTTGACCAAATCTGCTTCCCGTTTTCTTCGCTGTTTAAAAGTGAGTGGATTTTATAGGATGGTTTTCCCATTTATTTTATTTACCTTTAACAGATTCGTGTGTGGATCTTGCTTAAAGACGAGAGGAAACTGCTGGATTCAGAAGCTATAACTTTTATTCCAGGTGCGTAGAAGGTTGACAGGCAGGGCTGAAAAGCTGATATGCCCTTCAGAGTATTTTGTTTTATTCAAATGATGAAAATTTTTTCTTTTTTTCGAATGGAAGTTTCATTTTAACACTGTTACACCAGTCTTTTCTGTATTTGTATAAGTCGTCATCTTTGATTTTGTGATGACATCATAACAAGGACTGCTCTTGTAAAGCGAATGGCTGTTTATGTTTCATATTTTTTTATATCCTGAAAGGAGCCTCACATTTTGAGACAATATATATATATTTGTGTAAATTTCATAAACAGCACAGTTTTAGTACCAAGATATAGTGTTATTTCAATACACATAAAAGTCTTGCTACAACCACAAGCGACACAATAAAAACACATGAAACATGGTGTTCGTGATTGCTTTTCATGGCTTTATAGAAGTCCCCAGTTTTAGCATGGTACTTCTATTAATGTTCTGATGAAGGATTTAAGATTATGCTAGAATGGGAATGAGCTTTCTTAGGTCTTAATTAACTATAAATACTATTCGAATATTGGATATCCAATTTGTTGTTGTTATAATAGACATAATATAAGTATCAATATTCTAGAGGCCGGAGCCCAGCCTCAGCCACATAAAGCGGGCAAAAGCACATCTTCTTCGAGTACTAAAAGAACCCTTGTGTGGGCGATACCTGTTGGGCTGATGGTTCTGGTTCTGTTCGTTGCATTCGTCGTCATGCTGGTCAAATACAGAAATTTACAGAGAAGTTTCATGGCTTTTGCCAACAGAGGCTACAATAGAGCGGATGATGACGACGATGAGGTTGCTGTCACTTTTCACCAAGGTCAGCTTTCAGAATTGCTTATCAGACCCGTACTTTTAAATTTTTCATAGGATCCAACACCATGGAACTGCCCTGGGGAGATTTTTGACCGTACATACAACATCCTTAATGGCATGGCAGAGACTACTATTTGTAGTGAAAATTCTCTCCTTGATATTAAGTATTCTGTGAATTTTGAAACCTAGACGGTCACCCAGAAGTCTTTTCTAAAAAGTCTATAATTTTGGCCAAGGCTACCTTAAGCGTTTGTTTTTTGGCTTTACTTGCACCTTTAAAGCCATTGCAACTCTGTATGATCTAAGTAATCACAATGATTTTCACGCTTAATCTGATAAACTGCCAATAGATTAGCTATTGGGTTTAGTTACTTGGGTATTGCGATAATGCGGCCTATTGAGATATCTTTAGCTAGCAATGAGACGAGAGGTTGCTCGCAGAAACATTAACAAAGATTTGGTTATTTATTGTTTTTGATAACAAACCACTGTAGTAGCTCCTAATGCACATACCTGATAATGGCATTTACTCTTCCAGGTGAAGATTCTGCAATGATTAATCGCTTCTCAGATGATGAGCCTCTTGTTAGCTGAATTCTGAATTCCAAGCACAACACAGGTGAAGCTCACTGAACTGAGTAAATCTAATTGCATGTTCCATCTTCGAACCTTCTACTTGAGGACATACTTCGTTTATTAAATTAGGCATTTGCACTCGTTGATCAATAAATGTTCACAATTTGTATGTAATGCGCAAACTGGAAGATAAATCGTTCTAGTTCGATATCAGTAAAGAGGGAAGCTTTGCTTTATTGGGCCTAGCTCCAGAGACCCTCTAATCAAGTAAATTTATTTCTTTTCTTGGAATGTGATTCACGTGTCACTTTTTGTTTCTTAGATCATCCCCACACACTAGATTTATACCGTAGTATTAATAACAGATATCTATTGAGTTTTTCTAGGCACTTGTATACGTCTTTCAGATCCAGTTTTCTGAGAGAAAGGGCTGCCCTAGGATCGCAGCGACCTTCGTGATGAGTCAATATTTAGCTAACCTATACGTCTTGGTCTGTTTGGCTTCCTTCTGCTGATTGGCTGATTTTTTTCATCCCATAAGGTAATTCATATCCAAAAAGTGATGCGTGTTGATCACCTTTTTTGTAGTGTTTGCTTGCTTGCTTGAGCGATTGGGAATTCTGATAATCATCTTTGATAAATCACTTTGCGTTTGATTATTAAGCCGATTTTTGCTGTAAAGATAGGATGTGGTATTTAAATTTGGTCAGTAAAGCCAGAACTGTAAGTATTGAGATTGTACCATTTGCTTCATATTTGATAAATGGGCGACTGAACAATTTTGTCATCGTCGTCTCTTGAGATTGCCATGTTTAATTTCATTGATTGGTTCGTTAAGCTGTGAATGGGCGCAGAGAGCGACAGCTTTCCACTATCTGCGTTAAAGACCCCGTTTACACTGTGCCGGATAAAATTTATCCGCATAAAACTTGTCCGGATTTATTTGCGTTTACACTGTGCCGGATAAAATTTATCCACTTTGCCATCCCGTTCACACTGTGCCGGATAACTGCAGTCACATGAGCTAAATCATGCACAGAACGCCCAAAATGAAGTCTTCTCTGGGCAACAAAATAATAACAAAATCTCGGCCAACGTAAAAAGACTTCATTCTCTCTTCAGAATCATCTGCTCCTCTTTTAGACCAAATCCAAAGATATTTTCAATACAAATTAGGCCTAGTTTGTTTTAATAGTTTGTTCTTGAAATAAAATGACACTGAACTAGCAACAAAAGTAAGGAAAGCTGAGAAGGATGCCAATTTTACGTGGACTGGCAAGATACTGCACTTTTAACACGAGTATTTATCGACAACAAGGCAGCCAAGATGGCGAAAGGTCTTGATTGGGAAACATGAAAAACTAAATTGGATGAAATAGCCAATCGCTTTCGAGCAAGATACGATGTGGATAAAATTTATCCGGATAAAAGCGTTTACACTGTACCACATAGCTATCCGAAATAATTTAATCCACTTTCCTAGGTGAACTAATTTTGTTCGGATAGCCGCTCTCAAATTCTTGCGGATAGCGTGGGTCTAGTGTAAACGCGACGCCTACAGTAGAAACCCGCATAAAAGAACCTGTTTTTATAAGAACCTTGAGCCTGAAATTTAATCTTTTAAACCCCCTAAATAAGAACCCACAGGAGGCTGAAACTGGGAAGGTTCTTATATGCATAATAGCTTTTATGTCAATTTATCTAAAAATTCCAGATGAGAAAAGAAACATTCATAGGCTGTTGATTTACTGATCAATTTTTTCTAAAAATAAAGCCATGTAAAGTTAATTTTCAAACTAAAGAATGTAAGGAAAACTACTTAATGGTTCTACTGCAATGCACTTGATAGACAAACTGAAATCGGCTTTTATTTCCTTTTTAACTCTGATCAGGTAATTGTAAGTTCCAACCAGTCTGTAGTCTACAGGTAATTCCAGTCCCTTTCCAGCGCCTGCATTTTACCTGTTTACAATACATCTCACCATAATCCTTCAAAAAGTTGCAAAAAATCTTTGAAAATTCAATTGGTACATGACCAACCATTTTGCCATTTTCCTTCCAAACCAACACTGCACATTCATCATAGCCATTGTCTTCTTCAGGTTCACACATCATTACTTCACCAACAAATACCTCTGTCTCTTTATAAGCATGGTATCCACGAATACTTGAATGTACAAACATCTCATACACATGATGAAACGCCATTGAAAGATTATTTTCAAAATTAGATTAAGCTTTCAATTTTGGCTTTTCAATTTTGGCTTTTCATTTTTGGCCTAAAACCTCTTTCTGAAACAGAGGCAACCAAGATGCATAGCGTTCTTTAATGATTAGCCATTGAACTCTTAACATATTAAACAAGTTCAATTCAAATTAAGTCAACTTTATTACTTGCGCCAAAGTCAGAAAATGAATAAAACATTGTTTAGCTGTGGCTTCAAGAAGCAAGTAGAAACGAGAACTGGTCGAAAATATGATGTAACACGAAGCCAGGTACAGAATATCAAACTCTAAACAAAGAATGTTCCATGCAAATCTGGACAGCAACTTTCACTGTTGAGCAGTACATCAACATACACATTCAGTTCAAGCAAGTGATGTCACCCCAACAATGTTGCCAAATTTGGAAACAGTTAAAGAACAGGACAGCGTTGGGGATGGTGTTGATTTGGTAAGAGATGATGCTTGTGTCAATGTTGAAAGTGATCCTGGTATTGAAGTTCCAACAAAAAGCTTTGAGAAAGCAACTGAGATCAGCAGTAGGAGTGGCAGGAGGGTTCAAAATCGAAGAAGTCTTACACCATTGAATTTAAAGTGCAAACATTAAAGTTACTGGATACACTCACTCAAACGAAGTGAGTGTATCCAGTGGCATAAATGGTGATAAAGTGGAACATGGAACTGAGCAAAATCTTTGCTGAGGCATAAAAAAATAACCAAAAGAAAACAGTGGTAACATCAAGGTATCAAAACGAAGAGGGTTGCCATCCAAGAGGTCAAGCAGGAATGAACATTTTCCACTGGCAGCAAGATTAGTTGTCGAAGAATTTAAGCTCAGAAGAGCAAGAGGTGCTAAGGTTTCAAAACTTTGGTTCTGTAAAGCAATGAAGTCCAAGATTAGCCATAAGTATGGAAGCCATGAGTTTCAAAGCAAGTGGAAACTGGTTCAAAAGATTTAAACAACGTCATAAAATCTCACTAAGACGAAGAACTAATTAAAAGAAAGATTCTGCTGATGATGGTAGAAGTGCTATTCAAGCTTTTCATAGGAATCTAACAAGAGCTGTCCAGAGCAAAAGAAGGAGGTGGTAGCTTTGTTGAAAAATATGGCAGATGGCAATGTTGATCAGGTTCCTTTACCATTCGTTGTTGGGCAAGATACGACTTATGCTACAACTGGTTCTGAACAAGTATGGGTGTCCCAGCCATCAAGTGGCTTAGGAAATCATCAGGCTACCTTACAGCTATGTAAAAGTGCATCAGGGGAACAGACTGTGAAGCCATCATTTTTAAAGGAAAAAGGAACATTAAGGATGATGAAAGAACAGAATATGACAACAGAGTAGGTGCCTACTTTCAAAAGCATGCCTGGTTGGATGAAGAGATGAACATGAGATGGCTCAGGAATACACTTGTTCCTGAAGTGAAAGAAAAGAGGAAAGAAATTGTGCTGTTTGCTGATAATATCAGCTTTCAACTTGCTGAAACTTTCCGTAAAGAATGCAGAGAAAAAATCAATACAATCGATACCTTCTCCCTGCCAATTATACAGACAAAGTCCAACCTATAGATGCAGGTTTTGGCAAAATATTTAAGGGGAAGATTGTAGAAAGTATGGAGAGATGTCTAAAGGAGGATGATAATATAATTAAATGGCATGGAAAAATTAGTGCCAGGGAAAGGAGAGACCTGATGACCAAGTAGGTGGAGCAAGTCAAGAGAGCATTTTATTTCTAGGCTGTTTCAGAAAACAGGCTGTCTGATGACAGCAGACAAATCAGAAGATGTACAAATCAACCCCCAGGGGCTAGAAAATTACACTTTTTAAACAGCCTGCAGCATGACAATGTTTGAATAAAAAATTCCATAATCATTTTTTTATTTTAGGAAACGATATAGCTCATTGCCCTTCCTAGTCATTTTTAAACTAGTTGTGTTATGGTACATAAACGTAAAATTAGAGGAATGTACAGGCCATGCGCACATTTTCATGCCAAAAAATCTGATCAGACTTATTCATTGGTACAAAAGAATGAATGATTTTTGGACAGGTATTCTTATACCCCATTCACATTGGCAAATCAAACCATCTAAAAATAAAATAGATTATGGTATGTTGCATTGAAATTGGTTGAAATTTAACATGAAAAATAAAGCTGGTTTAACTTTGTCAGTGAGAGTTCTTGCTGTGGAAAACAGTGTTAATGTGTGCAAGGCTTGTCGTATATAAGAACCTTTTTAAGAAAAATAGCCTGTTGGGGCACTTCACTCTTGCAAATAGCGCACGAGATTTTCTGGGGATTTTCATAAAAAACAATAGGATTTTCACAAAAAGTGCACGAGATTTTCTGGAGTCCCCTCCCCCGTGCCCGCCCTTGGCTTCGTGCCTGTTTGCACCCGCTTAACACGTTTTACTATTTTCATGCATACCATAATAAGAATGGGATTGATAAATGTAACATAATGTGTGCAGGAAATTTTTTGCCAAGGTCTTTTTTTGATAAAAACATTCAAGAAAAAATCCAACGCACTAAAGATTTCCCAAAAATTTTCGAGAATGATCCTAAGAATTGCAACACTGCCTCCAAGCCGTGACCTGATATATCCCCACGGATATCTACAAACATAAGTTCAATAAGTGACATAGCAACCAAGCTAAAGCTAAAGGCATATGTAAGGGATTACTAGGCACAGTTACAGAATCATATACTACATTTATTCTCACTTTTGGCTAAAATTTTCCTTTAGCTCTCATGGCTTATTCTTTGCATTAGGCCGGTTCTTTGAATTATGATCGCAAAGCGTACCGGTTGCGAATTCCGAACATGGGTGTAACGTGGACCAGATTTTCAATGGAAGAGAGGTGGATCTAAAATCTTCTTAAACGGCAAAATATGTCTCGAGCAGGATTATAGAAAAAATTGGTTGAACAAAAAGCATAAAAGCAACAACGACAAGAGTCCTTCGACTGCCTTTGACGAAGCTTTGGCTTTGTCCTCACATTTTTGAGGCTTTGTCCCAGCCATAATCTGTGGCACAACTTTGTTCCAGAAAGCCATTCTGTCAGGCCATAGTTGACTTTCTATAGTCAAAGGGTTTTTTATGTTTAAGTAATTCCTCGTGTCCGAACGGTACTTGGGCCAACCTTTGCCTGGAAACCCGTGTTTTGCAAAAGACACCCACATCTCCATGCATTGAACACTTACGTTACGGTCGATAGCTGTGTAGTTTTTCTGATACAACCATCCAGATCCTACAGTCGCATAGCCAAAGACATACGGTCTTTCGAATCCATGGGCTACTTTTTGTTGGGGGAATACCAAGTTTTCTGGCAAATGAGAAAATAAATACATGTAAACAGCGTTCCCCGATCTAAACCACGAGTCTGCAAAGTTTATAGTATCAACATAAAAGGCGGAATCACCATAAATGTCAGAGGTGCTGTCGAACCATTTTAGGGCCAGGTTACCCGCAAGGTATCTCGTATACTCGTGGATAACGGTCGTCTCCAAGATTCTATTTTCATTACCAAAGATACGTTTTAATAAGAATTTAACAGTTTGCTCGTAAGACTGTTTGCTGCAACCCCGTGGATCCCCAGCAAAATATGTCCCTTCGTTCTTTGTAAACCCAACCATAAGTGGTACATGGGACTTGGGTAAGGTATTTTTTGCAACCTGTTTTAAAGGAAGCTCTGTCAGGAAATGGCCATCTACAACCGGTGATGTAAGAAGCGTCGTGTTTGCCACCAGCTCTTGTTTCAGTATAATTTCTCTGGTTGTCTTACCTTTCAGACAGGTTACCAACTTTTCAACGTCGTTACATTGCAGCAGCCTGCCAAAATGTCTTGCTATTTTGTCGTTCGTAACCTTTTTTACAGCCCAGAAATTACTTGCAACTCCACTCTGGGCGATAGCTCGAGCAAACAGACCCTCATCTTTTATCATAGGCGATAGTGTGAGCAATGAGACACTCGTTCCCCCAGCGCTTACTCCAAATATCGTAACTTTTGTTGGGTTGCCATCAAAGTTAGCAATGTGCTTTTTAACCCATCTCAACGCTTCAATTTGATCCAACATGCCAAAGTTTCCTTTCATGTCCGTATTTGGAATGTTAAAGAAGCCGAGAACACCAAGTCGATACTGGATCGTTACGACAATGACACCATTACGCGCAGCTAATGTTTCCCCGTCGTAATCACTTGCACTGCCGTAAATATAGCTTCCTCCATGAATCCAAACCAAAACGGCTAGTTTTCCGTTTCTTTTTGCGGGCCGATAGATATTTAGATAAAGACAGTCTTCGTTCAATACAAGTCTGCTTGACGAATATTCTCTTTGTGGACACACATTGCCAAACCGAGTAGCATTTCTAAAACCACTCCATCTTGCAGGTTTTGGCGGCTTGAAGCGTAGATCACCGGTTGGTGCCTCGGCAAATGGAATCCCTTTGAAAATCTCAGCATTGTTGTTCCTTGTGCCTTGCACAATACCAAGGCCTGTGACGGAGACATTGACAAACAAACTTGCAGAGGCGACGCTGAAATTTGCCATCACGGCCACTATTGTGATGGATATTCCAAATGACTTAACGTTATCCATTTTTCAAGGCACTTACGACGAATGATCAACTGAACCCCAAAGCAGCGTGCGTGATCCAGGATAGAGGCCAGTTGGACAGGGGGGTGTGTTGTTAAAGACTCGTTGCTAACAATGGGCTTTTGCTAACGTGGCGACGATCCAAACAATGGCAGTAAATTGTCTTCAATGGCAGTAAATTGATTTCAGACTGTCTAAAAATGCATTATGGGATGCTTGCGTAGCGCAATGGCTCATTGTTAGTAATGAGTCTTTAAGCAACTAGTCTTGTATGTCGTGCATCATCGTGACATCTCTATTTTTGTTGTTATTAGTTAACTGGACAGATATAGAGGAAGAGAAGCAGGGGAATGCAGAGAATACTGTGGATGAATAGCCTAGCTGGATGGATCCAAACAAATGGTATAACAATCAAGGAGATGGATCTAATACACATGACTAAGAACAGAGAATTGTGGCAAAGCATGATCGCCAAATTCTCATGATATGGCACCAAAGAGAGTATCGTAACAGTCCGAACAAATCAACAAAGTGTGTTGCAGTAAGGCAATCAACAATCAATACAACATTTTGTATTTATCATTTTATAAGTAAAAATATATGATATACATTACACGCTCATTTCAAACACACTCTGACTTCATTAAACCATAAGCAATTAGTTTTTAGTTATCGGTCCCATTAGAAAATATAATTACAAAAGATACGTGTAAACGTTCCAAGTCAATTAACCAACCGGCAAATACAAAAGATATTACCAACAATAAATGTGTTAACGATTAAACCTATGTAGAGCTATTACGAGACAAAAGAAATAGTAAGAATACTGAAAACACGACCTTGATTAATAACACGCTGGTTAATTACGCAAGAATACCGTGGGAAAAGCGTTTGCGCAGCAAACTTCCTGCTTTCCGCGACAGAGAGAGACAGAGTCCATTTGTCTTTTTTGTGTCATTAGGGTTGTTACCCTGGAGAGACTCTCCCCTTTCCTCTTCCGTTCTCCTTCGCAATAAATGGATAGAAAGAGACTTGTAGCAAGTCCAGTCGGATCAGATTTTGTGTTGCGCACGCGCTTTGGTTGCAAAAATAGTCACATGACTGATCCGCGACGGATCGAAACCACAGACGGATGAAAAAAAGTTGAAATCATTTTAACTTTTTTTAGCACTTGCGTCATGAGGCAAGGATCCTGTGGAAATAAATGTCAACGTGCATTCCAATCTGAAACGATCCGCGGAATGCACGGAACTGATCAGAACAACACGATCCGCGGATCATTTCCCCGAGTGGGTTGTCGTCGAACCAAGTCGTTGTTTTCTAATTGCTGGTTGCCGCTAATTCATACGATAGCTATAGACCAATTCGACTTACGGCCTCGTTTTAGAAATTTCTCCAAATTTAATTATACGACTTTTTTAAGCTCAGATTTGGTTTTGTCGCAATAGATTTAGGCTGGATACAATTTTTAATTTTGTTTGTGCTTGTAATTTAGATTTTATGGAAAAAGGAAATTTGGAAACTTGCAAGGGATTTGACAGCAAAAATCATTCCGGGTGAAACTTTACCCCCTTAGTCGCCAATCACGGTCAAATCTCTTATAAAATTTTTATCTTTATGTCGTCATAAAATCAATAGAACCCAACTTCAAATATCCAGGGCCACTTAATTTCCACCTAAAGTTTGGGGTTTAGGGAAGGATTAAAGTTTATTGAAAAACTCTCAACGTTGATCCTGGAGGTACTGGAAGGTACTGGGATTTCTGCTCTCTCCGCTCGCAGGGGGGGGGGGGCTGGTCTTTCGGTGTTGCTTCAAGGCCTCCGAAGCCTCACGGGGGTCCTGTCAGAAAAATTTCAATGTGCTGAACTATTCTAATTAATGAGGGTATTTATCGATTCAATCAATATTTATTTTACACGAGATACCTTACAGCAAAAAATATCTATTTACAATATTTGTTTAGAATAATAAGAGAAAAAAAGAATAAATAAAAATAAAAATAAATAAAATAAAATAATGAGAATTTCTGCTTTACCAAGGGGTCGTGTTTGGGTCCTGTGGAAGGTTCAACCCTGGTCAAAACAACTGAATTTTAGTTTAACCCAACCTCAATTATCCATCAGCAAAAGCACTAGAGATAGGATGAAGAAGCAAAACGGCGGAAGCATTCTGTTTTTGGAAACCATAGCATAAAAGCTCGGTCTCGTTTTTCTTGCAGGTTCTGAACATGCCTGGGTACCGAGTGTTAAAAACGGAAGTGGAAGATACTGTTTCTCTGAAGCGCCTTTTCATGTAAATATAAATCCTTTTATTCAAGCTTCTGTCGTAGCTTAAGTCAAAATTATCAATATCGATCAGGAATTTAGCAACTTTGCAACCTCGTATGGAGGTCAATAGCATCTTATTTGTAGTAATTTTTCTCTAGAAAGACAAACGTTGGTGTTGATCTGATTTTTCAATTGAATTGACTCAGATATGATCAATGAGAGGTGGTTTTCTATTACATACGTAAATAGTAAGCTGCAATATAAGTCGCTGTAAGAGGTTTGCAAATATTGTCTTTGAGACGGTTTTCATTATGGGATTATAATCGTATCTTAAAAGATCAAGGTTGAAATTTAATACACTCTTTTTTATAAGAACCAGTAAAATTAAGTTCAGGCTGACTGTTCTTAATTTTTTCGAAAATCTGAGGCTGGATTGTTCTTAATTTATTCTTAAATTAAGAGGGTGTAAGCAGTGCTATTGCTAGCTTTTTCACTCTAAGGAGGTGTTCAGGCCTCATTTGCCAACAAAGTGAGTGAGACGACCTTGAATTGCTGACAAATTTGAACATTCACCGAAAAAGCACCCACACATCGCTAAAAATCCTCGATTTTGAGAAAAAACGTTGTTCAAAATTGCACTTTGCAGAAGTTCAGCCTCAGCTTGTTCTTAATTTGTTCTTAACTTTCGACCAGTTTTGAGGCTCGTGTTCTTATAGAATTGTTCTTATAAAAAAGGAGTGTATATGTGTTGCTAGCCTGTGCTTCAGACCTGCCTTCAGGTTAAGGGTCTGGAGCACAGGCTAATGTGGTGCCTGCAACTTTTATATGCATATAGGGTGTGGCAGTAGGTGTGGTCTTGGGGTGGCTTCTAGATGTTAACGTTTGCTTAGCCCCCCTTACTAACATTTTTGCACGGCTCCCCTTTTTTTATTTTTTATTTTTCTTTATTCAAAGTTGGTATAATTTCTAGCTATGCATACTCAAGCTAATTGAAACCAACTAATTTAAATTACCAACGCTAAATATAATGTAAATCAAATGTAACCGATGTTGCTAACGTATTCCTTGCAAAGATTACAAGTACAATCCTGGGCTAGAGGTCAGAAGCGGACTGGCCCACCGGGACACCGGGAAATTTCCCGGTGCACCCTCTGCCCCAAGTTAATTTTTTTCAAAAACATGAAAACATGAAATCTTCGCAGAGAACTAAAATTGATTACAATCATCAATTGTCCAAAGTACGTTAGCATAAAAAGTTTAGCTTCACCTTTAAGTTGAGCAATATTCAGATTGATTGCAAAGTTTCCCAATCTGCAAATTCTGCCAGATTTTCTGAAAACCTTGTAAAGAACATATTTTTCTTTGGAAATGACTTTGAAAAAAGAAAATATTTTAAACATTCTAGAAGCTTTTTAATCTGAAACTCCTCAGAGTATGAAACGTCTTATAATTTTGGTTAGCTTGCAATTTTTTCAAGCAAGTGAACAATATATGAATTAATTCGATTTCTATTGAGGGGGTAGTAGGGATTTTCACTAGCTTACTAGCAGACTATTTGCCAATTGATTGTTGACTAATAATTTTGTGAAACCAATGAATTCTGTCTAACCATATTAGTTTTTGAATTATGGCTAATCTTCTGGCGGTTGCAAATTGATCCTAGTGCCAGACACTTAATTGAGGGCTTTCACTTTGGAAAAAAAATTAGCTGAGCACTACCCTATGTTCTTTCTAATCAGAATGGCTGTTACTGGATGTGTTGGCTATTGGCAATGGGAACGGTCACATATTATGTAATCAGAGATGGGGAGAGGGGATTTACACAAACGTTATGCCAATTACGCTTATTATGGCTATTTGTTAAAGTTTGTTAAAATAGTTGTTTAGGGAGAAGGGGATTTTTCAAATATTGCCGTAATATGTGCATATTCCTTGTGTTGTCTCTCTTGAATAATAGTCCTTTTTCTTTGGGCCATCAACTATCCCTTGATAGTGAAAACTGCTCTATGAATGATAGAGGACAATATTTCCTGTCCGTGACAAGCCATTATGTTTTGCAATTCAACTAACAACTCATAGGCATCCTGTTTTTGTACGTTAAAACCAGGAGTTTTGCACCAAAAGAAATTATCACTAACTGAAGTCAAAAATCTTGACCATTTTTTAAAAAAATTTATACAGAATTTGTTGAGGATTGATACCCTCATGTAAGAACCTTCTAGGAAACTTAATGGAAAGTTAAACCTGCTGTTTTGAAAAATTTGGTTTCAAATTTACAACTAGCTATTAAAGATCTTTCTTCAAATTTTTGTCCCGGAAAGGAACTGTGCCTTTTCCTAAGAAATTTTATTCCTTTTACCATTTCTACGCACAGTCTCTCATAGAGAGGGAGCCTATCAATCTGTAAAATCATCAATTTGCACAAAAAGGATGGCAGCAAGATCCCTTAAAATCCATTGGTCCAAGATATGTTATCAGATATCTTTCAGACAAGTCTACGATTTTGAGCACATGTTCAATACCTGATCATAATTCCGCACGCTGATGAACTGGAATCATACCTTTCTAAATGATATTATGTAACTGTAGCATGGAGGCAGGAGCATGGAGCAACATAGTCATTAGGCTAGCAGGTGCTGTGGCACCCCTTTACATTTCTCAATGATATGCTCTAAAACTTTCAAATTTTATGTTACCGTTTGATGAGAACGAAGTCATATATTTCGTCAAATTTTCTAAAGATTTTGAGATCGAGTTTAATTGAAAATAATCTCGTCTCCTAGGCCAGAGAAGCTGCTTTCTTTATAAAATCTTGGAAGGGAGTGTCTCGCTAACTGAAAACGGGCTTTGAGTTTTAGTCCAACTTTCAAAATCTATCATTTGATATCTTCATTTGATACATAAAATTGTGGACAATACGTCACTTGATACCTACAAATTTGACCAGCCGTGTAGACGTTTCAAATACAGTGAATTTGACAGAGAGTCTTCTTCATGCCAATGCCAATTGTTCCGACATTCTAAATAGGAAGTTTTCAATTGCAAAGGATTTTGAGGGTGAAGTATGGCAAAATTTTTCCGGGCCCGTTTTACAACTTTAACACCTATTGGCGCCCTTTGTTTGTATTTCCCGGTGGGTCAAAGGGTAGCCAGTCCGCCACTGCTAGAGGTGTTTGTAATCGATGCCTAAATCTAATACAACTTTTGTCTTTTTGCAGATTTTTTGCAGAGTTCCTGTTTTCATGGTTTTAAATTAATGCTATGGCTACATTACATAGGTTTTGGGCCAATTGAGAAAACTGGATAGAGCCACTAGACATAATCTGAGTTCAGAAAATTCCTGCTTTAGGTCATTCTATGAATCTATGATAACATTATAATTTTTCATTCTGATGTTGCTTTAAACTGCTATTACCTCGAAATCACTAGATAACATATAGTGTGATACTCAAAAGTTGGAAAAAACCGAGGGGCTTCAAAAAGCAGACTGACCTTCAAAATAATTGAAATATCAAAACTTTTGTTTATAATGACATTAATAAATTTGTTCATGAATAAACAAACAAAAGTATTGAACCTTAAATGACGTTCATTGAGCTGCAGGCATGTTTTCGAAAATTGATAAACGGGGGAAAGGTCCCTTCTAGTGTCGATATCAGAGCATGCCTTCATTTTATTTGAGTTCTTCTGCCTTCTTGACATCCCCTAAGAAATTTCGCTAGCGCCATCCCTGAGCTTACATAAGGGTGGGGGTTTGTTTGAGAATTTACAGTATTAGAATATTTTTTACCCTTGGTACCAGAGTCTCTTGATGGATTCGGGGATAGATGACTGCGGTGGCAAAGAATGAGTGGATGCGGAGGAGGGGAAGGAAAGTGGATGCTTCATTTCCAATCCTTGCTCAAGAAATTTTTCTGGAAATAGTTTCGAATTGTATTTTGGATACTGAATAATGGAGACTATGGTAACCAGGGCAAAGAACTTTTTAACGATCTGCTATTACTGATTCTCTTTGAATCCTAACACATGCCTGTCAAACTGTGGTGGCTCAGGCAAAGATCATCTATACAACCAAATGAAAAGTTTATTTAATTGAAAAAACATTTTAATTCTAAACTCTTTATCTTGATTGTATCGATAATAATAAAGTACAAAACTCAAATATTGATTGTATCGATAATATATGATATACATTCAAAACTGTTTTGTATTGTCACAAGGTGCAGTTATACAGCAGGTACACAAAATGGAATGTTTGCGTTGTGCGCTACGCTGTGTTTAAAAGGTGTCCACTTTAAAGATGCATTTGCAGGTCCTTTTACATATCGTTTTAACATTTATCGAAAAAGCATTTGTGGTTTACACAGATGCTTTGAACAAATTATTTCCCCGTTCCATACTGTTGTTGCTGCTGCTGCTTTCACTTTCATTCTTCTATCATTTCTCATCGGCAACGTCACACAACACGATATCAGTAGGATGCATCGGTGAGTCAATTATTTGTATAACTGATTTCTTTACTTTTATGTCTTTTATGACCCAGCTGTATATAATAAAGTGTTTTCAGTAACTGCTTGCTCAAGGGTTTATTGTCGATGAGCTTATTTTCGAAACAAAGGCACGAAACTACTATAAACAACATTCACTGTTTTGCATTATGTAGCCAATGATTCCATCACTGTTTTATCTATGACCATGACAACAGACCAAAACTCAGATTTGGGATAGTTAGAGGGTCATGGTAGATATGGTAGATACATTCTGATTGAAGATGGTATCTGATGAAGCCAATGATTAAAAAATATTATTCATTAAATGTGTTCTGTATATAAAACTTGTTCTGCTTTGTAAACACGTTATGAAGCACCACTTTCGCCACTTCAACTACGGTTGTATGGGAAAGGGAGCTGCAATAACGTCACAAAATAATATTTCTTCAGTATCCATGTTCCGGAAGTAGTTATCACCAGCAAAGGTAGTTTTACGGAAGCTAAATCACGTTACACCACTAGCAAAAACCGCTGAGCATAAAGCGGATGTAGGGGGTTTGATTTCTTTTTTTTGGGGGGGGGGGGGTTTGAAATGATTAACACCAAGAACAGTGTGATTTTTTATATTCTCGCAAAATCTGTACAAGTAAAGACACGTTTACCACCACTGGGAGCATGGGAATATATAGCAACCCTGTGGCAATTTACGATCAACATATAAAGCTAAATTAACTACAATTTAAAAATAAAAAATGAACGAGAAAGAATTGCAAAAAACTATTTCAAGAAAGAGGAGAGAGGAAATATGTTGTTTGTATTACCAATTTAATCAAAACGTTTAGACTTAGTGGCCTGGATGTATTTTAGCGTTGCAGCGAGAATTTTAGAATTTGATTGAGTGGTAATTCATAGTGATAAAGGATGATATTTAGCAAATCTTCATCTAAAAGATTCATCAGACCATGAGACAACAATGTATATGGCGATTTTTTGTTTGGTTTTAAGTACAATTTGGAAATTTTGGGAGGTATTAGCCCCCAGCCCCCCCCTGCTTCCGCGGTGCCTGTTCACAAATAGTGGTTCCGTAGAAGGGTCGGATCCCTTGTCAAAATTGAGAGAAATTTTTTAGGGGGGGGGGGGCTCAGCCCTCTTTTACAAGCCAGTTTATGTTCGGTTAAATCGAAGTACAGAAGTGTAGTGAAGAGTGTGACAATAGGTATGGTATTGGATGTGGCTTCTATAGATGTTAACTTTAACTTAGCCCCCGAGTTAGAGGTGTTTGTAATCGAAATAAGCATAAAGGTAATCTTATTGAAAAGGTCATAAATGTTAAGTCTAAAGACTGTGGATAAAAAATACAGGACACCATAACATATTTGAAAAGATCATGTAAATAAGAGGTGTGTTTCAGGTTGAGTACAAGTTTGACTTATCTCAGATATAATTATAGCCTAAAAAACATGTCTCCTTGACTACCATGGCAATTCACATCCCACGTCCATTTTCCTATTGTCCCTACTGTTTATTTACGACAAAACAGCCTGTATTTGATTACAGCAATTGAATAAAAGCGCTATTGTCTTTTGATTGTATCATTCGACAATGACAAACGAAATTGCTCAGTTGAGTGTGGAAGCAAAGGCCATACATAATGCAGCATAATTCAGCGATAAGTATATGATTTTTCTGGTTATCAAACAATAAGTCAAGATGTCTTCGTAACCCGCTTTCTCTTAAAGTTTAAGCTCACCTCAAGGAGCCATGGGAAAGATCAAGGACAAGATTGCTGGAATCCTCTATCCACCTGGCACAACTCGACTTGAGCCGAAAGTTTCATGTGCGTTGGTCCTCATCCTGGTATGTTTTCGATCTAGTATTATCAGTTGTGTTATCATCGATCGTTATTTCAATCAAGAACTTTATGCAGTGTTTAGGATAACCTTTATAGAACTCAATGCCACGGACTTCAATTTAAAATCATCATTTTGCATCTATTTAATTAGGCAAGTGAACTTCGCCTAGTGAACAGTTTGACCCTAGATGTGGCCTATGACGCTTGGTTTCTGTCTTTGCAAGCCGTTTAGTTAATTTAACGACGCCACTCTTTACTTTTTTCATGTTTCTCATGCCTACTTAAAGGCACAGAACTTTGGGTTTTCCCCGATGAATCTACAAGGGACCGAAATCTTGCAAAAAATCGCGGGGTGGCCAACAAAACAGGAAGAATTTTATGGCCGCTCTTTAAAAGAGCAAAAAAGAAAATGAATAGTTGCACAATGCAGAAATAAATGTAATCTACTCTTATTCGTTTAATGGCAGTAGAAAGTTCAAGACGGCAGGCAGGGCCTTCGCTCGTCTTGTTGTTGTGCCCTAGAGTGGTGGCCGGGCTCCATTTGCTGACAAGTTGATAAGTCATCCTTTATTTGCCGACAGGTTTTAAATTTCGCTGACTAAGCACCCATAGATAGCAAAAACTTCACATTTTTGAAGCAGAATTTTTTATGAGGGAGTAAGGGTGCCTTTTGGTGGTGGTGGTGGCACCTTTTTTCGGTATATATCGTCATGCTGTATCTCTCTGCCATACCCAGTGGCGGCACCAAGGAGTGGTATGGGAGGAAAGGGGTAATTACTTTGTCGAAACATGGCCTACATATTTCGTCTAAAAACAGATGAAAAAGCACTATAGTCTGGCTGAATTAGATGAAAATTATGGTTAACCTAGAATTAAATGCTACATTAGGAAACTTTACACCATTCGAATCGAAATTTAATGAAGAATAACATACTGAGAGCCACATGCTGAGGTTATTGGACAAAAAAAGTTATAACCGCTAGTTTGGAAGGGGGTTTTGTCAACAATTTGTATGACTTTCGATATTTAGCTGCGAACCCTTCTGTTGAAAAGACATTATATACCTTAAACTGCATATTGTAGACGGTTCAAACTTTGCACCAATACTTTGAAATATGTCACGCTTGATCCGATAAGTTTAAAAACAACATGATGACGTCATCAGTGACGTCACCACTATCGAACATATCGGGGCTAGTACTAATGAAAAGTAGAAATCGTAAAGCCAAGGTTTTCAACGCTGGAAATGTAGCCTAATAAGTAGCTACTGATAAAAAATATCATAAAATTTCAAAGATGTCTGTGGCATCATCATTGTCATGATCTTCTAACTCGGATATGGGTTTTGCTGAATTTTAACAATCTTCACCGTGGCAGCTTCCGCATGCTGTTACACAAGTCAGGCCGTTCTTCTGGCAAGAGCACGAAAGGGTTCCACATGGATGCTTCGTATTCGTTTTGCATCTGCAACGAACAACCTGAAGCAGCCATTCTGGAGCAGGATCAAGGTCGGTTTTGATTGGTGTCATAATACCGTCTTCCATTTTCCATCCCTAGTCTTGCGGGTTTAAACAGTAAAGATCTAAATGCTTCCACTGTGCTACCTGGAAGTTAAAACAATTTTTGGGAATTGATTTCATATTGTGAATGTTTCATCATGAGAACCAATATATCCGTATCTTCTGCCATCACAACAACACATCTACCAGTTTCTGTGTACTCACGGGCAGTCTTCACAATTGAGATATCCGCGTCTCCATTACTTTGAACTGCGACAAACCTTTCCCTCTCTAACCGAGTACAAAGCAACTTAATCAACCTTTCCTTGTTATCTATGTTCGCCAGAAATGCTTCCCTGCTACAAGTAACTTTTGAGCTTTCAGTGATTTCAATGCTAGCTGACGCTTTGCTCATTCGACGAAGATGCTCCTGACCTTTTGTTGACTTTCTGTCTGAGTATCCATCAAAAACAACGCTTACGCAAGTGTACTTCCCAAATCTTTGCTTTACAAATGCAGTGTACTGTTCAAGCACTTCAGAATACGTTGATTTTGGCCAGTGGACTTTGTGGAGCAATGCACCACCATCAACCACGCAAACGTCATTTGTAGTCGGGATAATTGCATTCTCTGTACCCAGTAAGTGATTTCTTAGAACAGCTTTAGTCGATTTTCTCATCATACCTTGTTTAAAGAGAGACGTCGGCTCTGGAGTTAGCTCATAGCAGAAGTTTTCAAAAACGTTATTTTGGAAGTTAGCCAAGGCAGTCAAACGACTAAATTTTCGTCTTAGGTAAGAGGACTTCAAATGTTTGAACTCTTTCTTTTCACTTGATGCTCGCATCTTCCATGTTCCTATTACCAAGTTGGTTTTGAATATTTCGTCCAACATTCTAGCAATCAAGCCAGTTGAAAGACTTTTAAGATGTTGCCCGTCTTCACCAAAAGGGTTGTGGCGATCAAACCATTCTTTGATTAACGTAAGATCTTTATTGTCTCGAGACACTCTGCTTGGGCCTAACTGAACATGCTGTTCACTTGTTTTCCTATATGCGCCAGTCAATTCACTCATTGCATTGTATGTCTGCACACCTATGGATACTTCCGATCCATAACTGGCGAGTAGATTCCGAAATACCTCTTCCTCGTGTCAGGCCACCGTTGCTCTTCAATGCTCTCATCATCACTTGTTCAATGACCAAATCCGTCCATAAGCCTGACCAAAATCGCTCACTGCGCCTGACAGTGTGCAGATTGCCTCTTGCAAACTGATCATAGACCCAAGGATGAGAGCTTTCCAAATCAAGCATGTCATGTAGATGCAATCTTGCACATTTAGCATAGTTAACATGGGCTGTAGCAGCGAATAAGTTCAGCATTTTGTTCAAAGACACCAAATGCAAATTCCAGTCACCAGTTCTCTCCGCACGAATAAACATTTTTACCACGGCGATGTTATCCAAATATTGCAACCATAACTTTGATGTCCGAAACGTTTTAGCGAGGTCCTTTTTGTACTCTTCGAGATTGAACGTAAGCTTTGAGAGGGTTGGGCATCGTTGCATATTGATGTCACAGTGATGCTTTTCTCTGAATTCATTTTTCAATTTTTCCAAATCAGAGCACAAGTCCTCAATCTTTACAGTCGCTTCTTCAAAAGTAGGACGATCCATCTCTTCACAACTATCACCATTTTCTTGTCCAGATGCAATCAATGGTGTCATTAATTTGCAAACCAATGCAGACTCGATAAGGAAATGCCCTCTAAGCGCTCTCGGCACAGCCTTCCCAGAAAGGATATGAGGAAATGTGGTCTTCCCATTAATTTCCCCTCCGAAATTAGACCCAGGCCCCTTGTATTTGTAAAGCTTTATAGCTATTCAAAGTGTCATATCATTTTTACAGGTCCCTAACAAGCCCCGATGTGTTCGATAGTGATGACGTCACTGATGACGTCATCATGTTATTTTTAAACTTTGCTGGATTAAGCGTGACATATTTCAAAGTATTGGTGCAAAGTTTGAACCGTCTACAATATGCAGTTTAAGGTATATAATGTCTTTTCAACAGAAGGGTTCGCAGCTAAATATCGAAAGTCATACAAATTGTTGACAAAACCCCCTTCCAAACTAGCGGTTATAACTTTTTTTGCCCAAAGACCTAAGCATGAGGCTCTCAGTATGTTATTCTTCATTAAATTTCGATTCGAATGGTATAAAGTTTGCTAATGTAGCATTTAATTCTAGGTCGGGCCACAATTCGACCAGACTACTAGTTAGGGGTAGATTATATTTCCTAAGGAAATTTGACCTGATACAAAACACTGAAACGAGGCAAATGGGGCATGGCCTCACGGGCAACACCCATTACCCTCCCACTCTGCAGTAGCTGGCGCCGCCGCTGGCCATACCTCTTTTGGTCGTCAATTCCATTTCTCATAATATCAGATATTAACGCTGATTATTTAAGTGTTTTCGATGTTGCTATTTTGTTGGTGTAGTTTTATTTTGATGTAAACTTAAAAACTGTGTTGTATATAGTAGATAACTCTTGATTTACTTGAGAAAATATAAGAAATGTTCCAGGCTAGGAGGCTTGGGGAACGACAGTGAAGCCATAAGTAGGCTACAACCAGTTAGCGCTGGTGAAATGTGCAAAAATGATCGAAAAAATTGAAGAAGTAACTATTAATCCCTTTTCAATCCGTCCTATAAAAATTCAGAAGAATACTTATTGAGATAGAACTAGGTCATCAATTTTCATGTTATAGTCAAACCTATTTATGTCCAGAAAAACTGGTTTCGGCCATAACCAGTTTCTGGCAAACTTGCCTTTTCTGGCATTTAGCCAAAGGTATGTCGCTAGAAGTTTTGAAAAAAGATTGAACCCAACATGACTAGCCGAAATGAAAAGTATCAGAAATACGGTTTGGCAACCAAAACAGCAATAACCTGTGTTAAATGTTGAAAGTTATGAATAAACTCGCTTTTTAATCATATATATCTTAAAAATTATCAGATTTGCCACATTTGCAGGAAAAAAACAAGGAAACATATTAAAACTGATTAGTTCGTTGCTTCAAATATTTCGCCTTTATTTTATAAACAAACGAATTTAATTTTATCGAAATTGTTGATTAAAAATTTTAGCAGGGTCAATGGTTACGCTCAGTTTGAATTGCTACAGGTAGCAATTCAAAACACTTACGTGACAGCTAACTACACTTGCGTGACAAAAGTATTAGGACGATCGCGTCAAAGCAATATGTGGTTAACCTTTTGCTCAAAAACAACATAAAAACCAGTGGAACATAACGAGATTGCTGGTTGAGATTCAATGTGTTTTATCCTATCTTTTGTCGGATGACCTCCAGAAATCTGGCAGCCGCCATTTGCACTGGAACTCGCTGAATTAATTTTGCAACGAAATATCTTCGGATACAGTAGGGAATCTCAAGAAAATTCTAAAAGAGTTTATTTTTTGTCTTAGAAGATTTTATTTCTTGGATTTTTTAATGAAAACTAGTTGTTTTCAAATGCATCAAGGATTTGACTTTGACAGGGTTATTGAAAAACCATGATGTTATTATTTTTGAAATTTTTGTTACAATTGCAACATAGCTAGGTTTATTGTCTTGCTTAAAAGTTAAATGGTCTTTGCAAAGAATCATTACTTGTTTCTGTACTTGCCTGGGGATTTTCCACAAATAACTGGACAAAATATTCAGCATTGATTGACTTCGCACACAACGCCAGCTTGCAGATGACATTAGGCCCAACCAATAGTCGGCTTGCCCTGGCCTACCATTCTTTTAATTTGAGTCGGCATTGTTAACGTATTGTTATTGTAAATAACATAGACTTGCTGCAAGCGAACTTTCTTGCAGTTTCAGCTAGACCCAAATATTTAAACAAATGACTCGCTAGACCCAAATATTTTATTGCTTCTTGTTCTCTTTCTGGTCGTTTTTGTGTTTTCGGCATTGAAACTAAAACATTGATATTTTCCATTTCTCCCCGTTATTTTGCTACTTTTCTATCATAGAAAAGTAGGAAATAAATTGAATTTGTTAGGAATCGCGTTTTTGCTGACGCAATTTCCAAAATCCCGTCAAAACAACAAGATTTGTTCAATCAATTTTAGAATGCTAGTTTTGGAGCCGCCATTTTGTTATTCATCATCCTGATACTTTTGTCACGTAAGTGTATTTTATCCCGCCTTAAATCACAGACGAAGTAGCTGAGCACATAGCTTTTTACACGTTCTATTAGTTTAAAATCCTGTTTGAATTATTAGTTTTTCAAGAAAGCTAGCATGTTATGTACTATAAAATTGTTGTTCGTCTCCCCAACAAACAGTCGTAGTATCATCTATCTGCATTCCACAAATCGTCTTTTGAGACTTTTTACTCCAGGGCCATTTCCACGAGATAACCCCTCTACTCTGAGTAATATTTATTTGTTTAAGAAATTTGTGTATTTTTGCTCTTTAATACAATGAATTCGGTATGTGACTTGGGTATTTTGCAGCATTTTGGTTTTCACTGTTGGCATTTCGCAACCTAAACTAAATTACTTTAGTATCATGGTATTACCTACCTGGCATTTATTTTGCTTTTTAGTTCTCAACACAATTAACTTTGACTACACCATTTTCATACCTTCCATCCATGGTAAAAGTAAGTAATTTTCAAAGTTTTTTATTTATAAATTGTTTTGTCTCTAGATACGAAATAACGTTGCGTCTAGTTTGACGTTTTATGACAAATTGCTGCCAGCGTTATGAATTCAAAGGTGTGCTCAACGCGTCATGAATCCAAAGATGTGCTTCAAGGTTTTGGTTTAGAAATGTTGGCTTACAGGGAAGCCTGCACTCGAAGAGGGCAACGGGGGCAAATCACCAAAAAAAGGTCAAACAATAGTAGAACGAAGAAAAATGCTCATTTTCACAAAGGAAAGGGGGCCACTGCTCCGGCATCCCCCTGGTGCAGGCGCCATTGTTGGTTTTGATAAATTTTCCTTGTTTTACAATTTTCAAAAATTTAAATTTACAACTCATCAAATTCTACCTCTAACACATAGCCACAAAGAGACATGATGTTGGAGTGCCTGTTTTTTGGGCTTGAAAAGCTTAGCATCTGCGTCAAAAATTGACAACCTAAAACTGCCCCTTAACGTAATATCTCTTAACGTAATCTGATGGAGCCTATTATATTGCGAAAGCTACTGCTTCTCATATTTTGTTTCAGAGAATGAAATTCATTTACTTGCAAAGCCTCGCCTTTTTATGTTTAGCTGATTACGTAATATAATATGCAGTTGGAGGCTGCTCTTGTCAATAGGAGGCTCAGCCAAAAGTATTATTATTAGCAATCTATCGCTGGACCACGCTACGTATTGGTTACTCCAATTGTAATCGTGTTGATAATAAAACCAATATTTTAATCAAACGATCCATAATTAGTAAAGTTATGGTGAATTCCTTTTTTAAATGTGCAATTGGTAAATTTTAATGTCTGTCCTTAAAAAAACACCTGAAGAATATTTGAGGGAAATCCTTTTTATTGAGCAATTAATGGTGGCAATGGACTATTTTCGTTTACGAGCGAGGAAGTAAATGATATTCTAGCATTGCATCCCATAGTTTTTACACAAATCAGCTATAACGTATAACTAGTCACCAAAATGGACCTCATAGAGATTGAATTATTATCATATCATGATTGTAACAATATACACAGACAACGTCAACAAGCATAGGAAATATCGGATGCTGTTTAATACTATCAAGGCGAAAGACTTAACCTGTCTGTTGGGCGCCCCCTGATTGGCCCCTGTATCGCTCTTTCAAAGTTCTTTTTACAGAGGATCTTCCTTGATCCAATCTTGTGCGTTGCTCATTCAAGTCGAGGCTTGTTATGCCTTTAAAAGGCTGAAATATTATATACCCATGCTATTTTATTGTCCTATTCTCGTTGCAGAGTTTTGGCTATTCGGACAAAGATACTGGTAAGAGTCCTTCAAAAATATCGACTGAGATATCGTCTTTTTCACTCTGTCATGTACAATTTTGAGCTGCAGTAAACAATAGCTTCGGGTTTTTATTCAAGTACTTAAGCAAATGCATTATGCTACTTCTGTCTTTTGAAAACCCTAAAGCGTCTGGAGGTTCAGAACTATCAAGTTGTCGTCGTTCTCTTCTGAAATAAACGAAATAATTTCGGTGGACACACGCTAAATAATTTCAATAAGATGAGCAAAGTCAGGAGACTGCCCCTGCTAGGGCTTCAAAAACATTAATTTGGTTCCACCCCTTCGTACAACCGTTATGATAGATGAGTAGGTTGTGGTTTGAAAAAACTACCCATATATAGATTACATTTTAAAATATAATATTTTAAACAATATTTTAATGAAATAAGCTTGAAACAAGTTTTTTATTTTTGGTCTTGCAACGTCTACAAAATAAATGTTTGATTTATTGTCGTTTGTTTTGTTTGAATTGGTTAGAATTACTGGATGGCTACGGAAATTGAAATGTTTTCTATCAACTGTCAGACTAGCTAGACTGCCAAGAGTTGTAACCAAAGCTTTGCCTAAGTGCTAGCGTCAACAAGGCTGCTGTCTATCCTTGCGCAAGGTAAAGTGCACAAGTTAACGATCCATGGAGAAACCAAGACCAATAAAATCGTGACATGGTTTTATAGAATGCAGTTGAATTATTTGTACTCCATTATCTTAATTGTTGTAGAGAATTGGAAAGATAGAATGTTTTTGAGAGAATCTAAGTTATGATTATCATTCGCTTCACAGGCTACTATGCAGGCATGGTTGCATCTTCACTGTTTGTTGGAAGATTCGTCGGGGGGTATGTGAACCAACTTTTAGTTAAATTTTTAATGTTGCGTTTTATGTCATTAAAATAGTTGATTTAAATTTCAAATGACCTATTGTAGCCCCTTTTAATATAGACCGTAAATTTCAAATCTTCCTTGGCAGACTGCAACGAATCTATTTTACCGTTTTTGGCTACGTAAGCAAATTTCGTTTCATGCCTTTGTCAACTTACATAATGTCTGTTTCCAAATTTCTCTGCATGTAAACTTTTGATTGCCTTGCTAAAGCCTTTGGTATTCTCGTCATGTCACGATTTTGCGTTTTTAAATATTGCGTTCTCACTAGATTTTTAAAAGAAATTGCAAAATCTCTCGACCTTGAGCTTATTTAACGTACAGATCTGATCTGAACTGATCTAAGGGGAAATTTTTGTCAAAAAATCTAGGCAGATCCATTTGCAGTTTTGAGTTTGCCAGGACACTTCTTATGGTAAACCAGATCCTTTTTTCACATTCTAGGAATTTCTCATCTTTCTTTTACGTTCAAATCATTTTCCTAGCTTTAATTTTCACCATTGGCTGACTCTTAATTGTACATAAAGAGTTTAACTCTCCATTGAATTTATATGTTTCATTCTATCATCGAAACTCTCGTCGTAGGTATTTCTGGGGATATTGTACTGACAAATTTGGACGACGGCCTGTGCTGCTGGTGTCAGCCTCGCTAACCTATTGTTCAACGCTACTCTTCGGTTTTTCAACGAACTTGTACTTTGCAATTTCCGCCAGGTTTCTACAAGGGCTTTTTAATGGTAAGTTGACCCTCTGCAAAGGCTTCATATTGACCTATTATTCAGTGTTAAAGGTCAAAGGTGATTATGATTTACTGTATATCATGGACAGTTGCTTAACTTCTTGCTTTACCATAAATGATTTGTAATCAATTTCCAAATTCTTGAATATCTATAAAGTTGTTAAACTTGTACTAATGGACAAAAGCAACACTTTTCTCAACAACGATCTACTTGTTGTAACAGCGTTTTAAATAGCAGCATTCTACAGCTAGAGATCCCTTAAAATTATCTACACAGAGAATCATGGGTCATTACACAACAGTGAGTGAAAAACCATTAGAGAAAAAGAGGGGGGGGGGGCCAAATCTCTTTTACAAGCAATTTTATTGCTTTCGATTTTTGCAATTGTAGATTTTGCTTATAAGCAAGTAGCATTGTTTTTGCTGGCTTTAGACGAGATCACATTATTCGCATACAATTACATCTTTTACTGCCTACAACCTACTAACCATGATGGTATTATCACGAAATTGGTTTTAACTGAGCCAAGTTGCGTCTTCCTGGGTATTAAACGATATTATATGGGCTCCTGTTGTGAAAAATGTCTAGCGTTGTGCATCAAAAAAGTAGACCATTGAAGAAGGTAGCTTCAACTTCTGATTTTTTTCAACTTTTTAACGATGATTCAAATATTTGTGTTAAATAATAGCAAGAGTCTCTTCTTTGTTAATCATTTTTATATTATTCAAATTTATTAGGCGTGATTGTGTGCGGCCGAGCTGCATTTGCTGAAATTTGCGATGATACCAATCAGGTAAGCTAGCTCATTTGAGAATGGCATGCCTCGATACCTTTTGTTCAGAGAAGAAGTTGCATTTTACTATAAGCCCATTACTATATGTATCTTATTGCTACAAGAATCTAGATTTGTACCAGTGAACGTTCTGTTAACCATCATTAGAATATTGCTATATATTTAGTCAGTCCCTTTTTATATAATATTATTGAAATTCAGTCATCTAGGATTGCTTCTAAAAATGATTTGTTGATATTTTTGATTAGTTGGGTGTTTTTCGTTTTGTAGGCCATTGGAGTATCTCTGATTTTCGCTGCTTGGAATTCTGCCATCGTTCTTGGGCCTGCTTTGGGAGGTAAGCCCCTTTTGCATAAAGTTCTTGCAGCGCATTACTAAGGCTTCGGGTGGATACCAAAAGCAGACTCGTTTTGAACTAGTCATATAGACATAGCTAGAAACAAATATTGAAAACAGCACAAGTTAGGTTGAGAGTCTTTACAGAGAACGAAGACTAAGCAATGGCTGTAGAGTTTGATAACCTTGACAACGCTAGCCCTAATTTTTGTTGAAATATTGATAGATTTATACCCTTGCTTCGTGATGTCAACTCGATATAAAATATTGATGATCGGGAACTCTTTTTTGATTTTCTTAACGTTTTTCTGTGATTTTTTTCATCGGTATAAAAGCCTAACGAATTTCCAGAGTATTGTTGAAATTTATGTTGGTTTTACTTCCATCAAATGTCAACTTTTTGTCGTAGGTTTTCTGGCGAGTCCGACGAAAAAGTATCCGAAGGTATTTGGTCATGGTAAGTTTGTGAAAATTTCACATTGAACAATGTTCACTTTCTGCTGCTTCTGAATAAGGAAATGAGCAATTATTTTGCATTTGCATGGAATTTAAAACCCTACGTTTTTGTAGTTAACGTTAACATCCTCTGGTAAATACCCTTATTTTATTCAAGCTCCGTATTGAACAAGATATTAGCTGGGTAATCATTTTCAATGGAAAACCTATAAACAGAATTCCGTTGTTTTTTTGCAAAAATCTTTGTAATGGATGAAAGATCAGTGCTATTTGATTTGCTTTCTCACAAGAGAATGTTCTCAACTTCATGCAAGTTGCCGCTTGTTTATTCCTATAAACGCCTTCAAGTCATTAATAACTTGTTATCTCAGCTATGCAGCTGTTCAATTTGTTGGTTATCTCATGTTAACGTTTTTTCTTATTTACACAAGCTGCAAACTTCTCCTACAAGTCTGTTCTCCTAAAGCTGCTTACTAAATGTTGTTCTTATTGTCATTGTATGTGGGCCTCTGTCTATATTTACTTAGCAGTTTTAGGCAGTTTTAAAAGAAGTGCACGAAGCTGTCCGAAGAACTTTCTAATGAAAAGTAACCATCTTATGAAATGCTGAAACTATTTTGGAATAAACTAAAAAAGCAAAACAAAAAATTATGGCAAGAACCACGCGTATTGTAATATTCGAGTCGAGTATAGTTTAATCTTTGCCATTTTAATGATATTCCACAGATTCTTAGCAAGGATGAATGTTTTGTTTATGCAATATGAGCACTGATCTAAACAAAGCTAGATCAGTAAATATGAGGCTTTGATAGATTAAATGCTCTCAAAACTGCTCAAGTGATTCATGATTCACAAGGCCTTCCGTAAACAGATTGTACAGTGGCAACATGTTCTCTCTCATAAATCTTATTGCAACACTTCACGTCCTCAGTTTATATCTTGTATTACACACTTTTTTATAGGAATAAATTTTGTAAAAAATATTGTGGCACAAAGCTGGTGAAATTTAAGATATAATTAAGAATAATAGACAGGCTCGTATTCCAACGTCAGTTTCATTTGTCATTATCTGAGGTAAAACCTTAAAGCTTGTTTTGTGCTAGGCTGTTTCGTTCTTTACAATGGTCTCGTGAGAAAGAATGACAGAAGTAAAGATGTGGACTATCTTTTCAAGACTGACCCAAGTATGATTTTAGGCACAGAATAACAGATTTTTAAGATTATTGAGGCTTAGCAAACATTAAGTTATTTCTTATAAAAATTGTTTGTATCGTAAATTTGCAATTTCTTTTAGGTCGCACTGGAAAATTTTTCAGACAGTTCGAATACATCCTTCCCAGCATCGTCGTTTCAGCTTTCCTTCTTGCGTCAATCATTGCGGTGTTTATATTCTTTGAAGAAACACTCGTCTCCAAGTATGTAAATTAAACCGTTGCCTCGTATTCATGCTTTATTTCGTGTCCTAGTCATTATTTCAGCACCCTTAAGAAGTTATTGCTTTCTACTACTTTTGTGAGGAATTTCCAAACCGGTCCCTTTCTCTAGGTACAAAAAGAATTTTTTTAAAAAAGATATCCATGAGGAAATACCAGTTTCTTCTTGTAATAAATGATGAATGAAAATTGTTACTTTAAATAGTTTATAAATATCCGGTTAGTCATGTGCTGACGAAAGTTGACATGTGAAATAAAATCAATTTTTAACTAAAATTTCGTGTTCTCTCCTAATGAGCTCTTAAATATTACACTTTTATTTAAGAACAGGTTTTATAACATCGCCTTTTATTTTTTCCGTGTTTTGAGACAACTAGAATTTCAAGAATCGTAGTCGTCAAAATTTTTTACTATTATTCTTTTGTAAAATTTGTTCACCTTTTAAGAATGTTGCACACAGGTGCTTATGCAGTCAGACGAGTGAATACAATCATTATAACCTTGACACTTGTTTTTGCAGAGTGGATGCAGCGAAAAAATCTCATGGCTCAGAAGAAGAACTGAAAGATACTGCAAAATTGTTGGGAAGTGCCAAAGATAGCGACGAGGATGAGGATGAGATGATATACGAACAGCAAATAAAGCTGAAAGAAAAAGACTTGGATAATAAGCTTCAAAATGAGGACGAGCTTCTATTAAATGAAAAGAGAGCCCGTAGCCACAGCCATTGCCTCTGTTGTGGTGTGGTAATGAGAACAGTCAAGAGCACATCTTTATATGGTTTGGTGAGGTAGGCTATGCTTTCAAGAACTTGTAAAAAAGTAGTTCCTTTTAACTGAAAGCTGAAGTAAAGCATATTTCTCTTTTTGAACAGTTGACTACGTCTAGACATTCCACGCTCAAAGTACTTTTGAAAGAAAATGAGAGTCAAAGCAGAGAAAATTGCTATGAAACGTGGAAGTTGAATGCAGTAGAATATATTTAATGATGTAACATGATGATAACATAAAGCCTATGAAGCAGAATAAGTTTCAGGACCTTTTTGTGTATTTGATTGTAACAAAAACTTTATTGCTTGGATATTTTTTTTTTATTTGTTATTGTTCAAAATCTTGCTGCCATAATATTTTATCCGAGACTTTATCTAATTTTAGTGACCGCCTTGTATCCCTGTGTGTCGGACTATTTGGAATGTCAGGCTTTGTAATTATCGGTTTCCAGGAGCTGACATCACTGTGGATGGCCACAGGGGTAAAGCTAGGTATGTACCTAATGCCAATAACATAAGATAATTTTAACGAAAATTTGAAGGTTCAATGCATAAATTCGTTTCTAAAGCTGTTAAATGCATAAATTCGTCTTGGTAGGTGAGTCTTTAACAAATATTATAGATTATTTCTTGAATATAGTATGATATTGTTTCATTTGAATCTAATGTCATTAATGTTGATTTTTTCTCAGTATAGAAGTACTCTTTGCTCACTACATGCCAAGCAATCATCGTTGCGTAGTAATTAAGGTGTGTTTTGAAGATTGTTTTTTGCTTTTTAGGTGGCCTTGGCTTTACAACCAATCTTATTGGCGTCGCTTTGCTGTGGCCAGCCTTGGGAAGTGTAGTACTTCAGCCTATCATATTTGGAAGGGTACATAAATTTAAACATATATTCGTTTTTATTCACACGCAGTTTAATTTTTAGAAAATTTTGTTGTTCAGATTTCGAACAGACCAATGTATTTAAGTTTTAGTTTTAATCGCTGACTCGTAAAGATAAACATCTCTCTAATAAAAAGTGGTGCTATTTGAAGATGGGCATATCAATTCAATAGACCCATTGAGCTACAGTTTTTAAAGCTTAATTCTCGCAAAGATGGTTGTGTTAATACATCTTTTATACTTGGCATTACATATTGTTACCCTACAATGCTCCGCGGAAGGGAATTTTTGCTGCCAAGCTATAACTTTAGCGGACATTGCTGCCACATCAAACTCCCGTAAACACGAACCCCCGATACTCGAGCCCCCAATACTCGAATATTTGCTATCTCGAACCAGGTGCCTTTGAGGTTCGAGTTATGGCAGCACTTTCTTTCATTTGAAGAGTTTTCGTGTTTATAAGTTGTTAATATTTTTTACCTGCGACTTTGTTCAACTTAAATATCGCTTTATTTCAGGTTGAACGTTACATCGGAGGAATCCGGGTAATTTGAAAAAAATTGTTTATTTATACAATGTATTCGATAAGTCTTTAGCAGTTGCAAACAAAGCCTTGGCGTCTAGATTGTTTCATTGACTTGTAATGCGTCTAGAATATAGAAATTGTAGAATCTATTTGAACATAGACATACTTTTGAATACTTTTGGCTGAATATTTTTGCCTGTCCATCCACACTAACAATAAATTATTTCATACTTACAGACTGCCCAGTTGTTTTTGGTTTTGCTTGCATTGATGACTGCTGGCTTTCCATTTGTTAATGAGGCATACAAGAAGTGAGTTCAGTTGCAGTATTAGGCCACTGCTATATTTGAATACCTACTTTTACAGTTTGAATGTTTTAAAAGACACCCTTTGGGCTTTAGGACGGACTCCTGATATCCAAAAGCCAGGGCGAAAAATGCCAAATCATTTAATTTTCTTATTGTTTTGTTTCCATTTCTATTTCTGAATTTGTATGTTACCTTGAAGCCCTTCTGGCAGCCCAAAGCGAGGGGGGTTGAGACTTTATTCTAATTAAAAAGAGACTGATGTACCCATGGTAGCTGGGGCAGTCCTTAGGTTATTGCGAATGAGCTTGGCCGTGCAGAATCGTATTTGGCATCAACGATCAATGGAAGCAAGGCTGACAGATTTATGTTGAGAATAAATTGCTTGTCAAACAGCTTTTATTGATTATTCCAGCCAGCTTTCTGGTGATTGCAGTAAGCATGAAGCACAGAGTTGCTTCTTAATACCACCCTATGCTACACCCAAAGGCGTATCACTCCTATTTATAAATTCAACTTCAGTCTGTCAGTATGACGCTCCTTTTGAATGTGGTATTTTTTGTAGTATTCGCAATTTAAAATTTTGAATTCTGAAGATTGTTGGCTTTATGAATATCAGTCCTTTGTTGCTTTCGTGGTACTTATCGATTTTCATTTCATTTCAGTAATGACCTTCTCTGGGCGTTGATAATAATAATGCTGCTGATTCGAATGATCAGTGATATCTCCGTTCGTTCTGCTCTCGCCATGTTTGTCAACAACTGCGTTTATTCTAAAAATGCTGGTCTCATTAATGGTTATGCATTTTCGGTGCAAGAAATTATGAGGTATGAACCTATATCATTTTATTTAGATAGGCAACCTGTCACACCCCCAATTGTATCTTAATAGGAATTTCAGGTAAAATCCGCTTAATGGAAGAAACGCTTTAGGTATTTCAGAGACCTTCACGTCTTATAATAAATAAAGGATCATGCATAGGAAGTTGCTCCGTTGGTTAAGTATGATTCCTTGATATGAATGAAGGTAAACAAACTAAGCGTAAATGCCCGGTCAAGATTTCTTGTTGGCACTAAATCCAAAAAACCGGATCCTACTCAGGTAGAAATGTGCCTTGTGTCCAAGTTTCTCTGTAGAAGCGTCAACTGCAACTCACAATGAGCTCTAGATCTTTTTTACATTCTAAAGGAATGCCAAGATGGAAAGAGGGGTAAAAAATGGAGAACTAGTGCCTTGTCCGTTTGCAAAATAAAAGCAAATTTAACTGCTGTTCAGTCCGTTTGCAAAATAAATCAATTTTCAATAGGATTAGGAGGATTGATTTAATGAAATTTGCTTAAAAGAGTGCATTTCCCAAGGAACTGGAAGCATCAGAATTCGAAAATTTTCTATTCCTCTTAGGCGGCAGCCATGGTGCCGCCTCGGGTAGTAACTATGTCCTTTGCCCGTCTCGATATACAGAAATGACAAGAGTCTTATATTAGGAAAGGAAAGTCCCTTATTATCATATAAATGGAAGTTTTCGAATTTGATGCCACATAGTTAGGTTGACAAGGCGTATTGCAAAGGTTTGTGTCTGCAACTGAAGAATTTCAGGTAATTATTTTCTAATCAGGTAAATTCGTAAGCCACAACGGCCCTGAGAAGAAGAATAACAACTTAGGAACAGTTGTGTGTAAATGGCGCCCTTGGTTGTTTTTGCGTGCATTAGAGATTCTGCTCTTAACGTTAAATATTGGCCCACTTTTGTAAATTACTGTTTCTCTGTCTCTGTCCTTGTGAAGAAAAAGCTTTTGTTTTCCCTTGAAAAGAAGCTGTATGCTCTGTACGAATGGCCATTTACATTTGATTTACTGAAGCTGCTTGGAAAGCCTTGAATGCTGAAATTACGAAGGCAATTTAATGAGCACCAGCTTCTTAGCCCGCGCCTTGCCATTCTTAGAAGGCAGCTATTCTGCTCTGCTGCTGTAAATAGGAAACTTCATGTTTGAATATGAATCAAGGAAGCTAATTGATGGAACAAGCACCCTTCGCTTTCTCTAATTATTTTGCTCTACTTCTCAGGTCATTTACGTAATTTAAAGTCTTGTTCTTAACAGCAGTCTCGCATTGGGAATAAATATAAACAAATTTCATTATCCTTGTTGATAACAAATCACATCTTTCCTTTTGCAGGGTTTTTTCTCCTAGTCTTCTTGGAGCTCTATTCGCATGGTCAGTGAGGTATGGACGAAAAATTGGGTTTCCACTGACCCACCATTTTCCTTTCCTATTACTTGCTTTAATGATTGTATTAGAACTTATTATAACTCTGTTACTTCCAAAATCGATAAACTTGCCCAAAAAGAGGCCACTAGTTGAAGAAAAGAGCGAGACTAAAGGCTGAAACTAGTATCCCGGTTACTTTACTTAGTAACTGTATGTAATAAAATGATAGCCAGAGACTTCGTCAGTCTAGAATGTAGTGAATGAAAACTAGAACGAATTTCAAATGGATATTCCAGTTAGAATACGTGGTTCTGAATCGTTGATAGAATACAAAGCTGTTGAGTACGTCTCAAAATCTGTGTTGTCAATTCCCGAACTTGGTTATTGCGAAAATTGCCTATAGTATCGAAGAAGGGGAGAAGTAAATAGGTATCATTTTGGGTTTATCAATTATCCTTTTTAGTCTATTTTTCTAGATTCTCATTAAATAGCTAGTTAGCCATTACAAATGACATGGGTGGTGTCCATCCTGTGATGACGTCTCTGGTTAATCTTGTTAAATTTTTTAGCTAATTTCCAAATAATTATCGTTTTATTACAAGGCTGTCAAAGAAAATGAATGCAAATACCTTGAATGAGGTTAATTGTGTAATTTTATTTTTTTACTGACACAAAGACATGGTAAATGTATATTTTTTTAATTCGAAAAGAAAACTTTGCCAGGATACAAGGCGCTGATTTTAAGCGATAAGGTTGCATATTGACGGAAAGGGGGGGGAGGAGGGGGTAGGGGAGGGGTACTCGACTACATTCACATTACTAAACTCGGTGCACCCCAGTATGGTAGTGATATTTTACCTCCCACTCGTCAGCATTGTTTCGGATTGAAAAATGTTCCCTTAACGAACACTGTCTAGTATGTCCTTAGGGTACTTTCTCATGAAACTGAAAAGCCGTGAAAAATAATTTGCTACCTCCCTATGTCTGCGACAGTCTTGTGATAGAATATCAAGTAGCCTAGTATTGTTTATATCCATCATATTCTGAACCAGTCATTTCATTTTCAAACTTTTATACATTACAATCTATTCCTCATTACACATTAGAATCTCTTTTTACTTACCATACAATACCTTGTTTTTCTTTCCTTACCTCCCATTCTCCCATCCTCACTATGCATTTCAAACTTTATTTTGCTTACTTCTAGTTCAATTATTTGTTTAACTTTTTTCTTTAATTATTTAATAAATGTCACTTATATTTAATAGCTTTTTCGTAAGTATCTGTAACATACGCATGCAATTATGAAACATATTCAGAATTTCTAAGCCGAAGCATCTCAATTATTCCCTCTAGTTTTCATCGTCATCGTAAAGTTTACATTCTCAGTTAATTGGCCATTCACGTTCACATTTGGACTTTGTATTTATGTTCCATTCCGTTCATTCCTTACCCCTTTCTTTATAATGGTCATCGACCATTGACACAATAGCAACATTTTATAAACAAATTCTTGTTGAAATGTTATTAAAGGCGGCGGCAGTTTCATAAGTTTGCCCGACCTCCAGGAAGACCTCCGATGAAATAAAACCTATAGTCTTATACTTTTGTTGTCCCAAATTTTCCACAAATTAGTTCAATCTATATTGTTTTATTGTCTTAAAGTATTCACTCTTACCATTGCTCCTTTTTCAAAGAGCAGATTTTACCCCAGATCGAACTACATCAAGCAAGCTGGTGTTATTTTTCACCCGTCCTATACATTACATGTGTTCATGTTGCTAGAAAGCCCAGGTTGCCCCCATGACAGAAAATAAACCTCCTTCCCAACTGGCAAATGACGTTACCGCTCTTTTATTTAAACAAGTCTTTGACTCATTTTTTATTCAAGATATTTTATACAAAACAACAAATAATGCAAATTATGTTGTCCTCTATGATTTTACCATCTTGCTCTTCTGAGTGTTCGTAGTACCCTTTTTTACACAGAAACTGACCTTGGTATCTAAGTGAAACCTAGTAATGGATAGAAGAAAATATCATTTTTGACAGGAACTCTTAAATGGCCTAAGTCACGAAGTTAGATCTTTGATAATAGGTTTGGTTTCATAAAGCAGTTTCAGTTGCCAGATTTATGTTTTTCTGTTACTTTTCCTGGTTGTTATTAGATAAGAAAGCAATACTTTTGTAGCATGAATTTGTTAGGGCACTCTTGACTAAACTTAAAAGTTGTACCGTTGAAAGTATGATCCCTTTCATCAAAAACTCAACAAAATTTCAACTTAAACTGGCACTGGTAAGTCTTCTGAAGATCTTTCTCGAGAGAATGTTGCAAAGAATATGGAAAACAGACCAAAATGCGTTAATAGCACCCGCAAAATCAAGATTGTATCTGAGAAGCAACTGAAATCGTTTGAAAATAATCATTGGAAGAACCTCGACTATATCATCAAAAAAACACCTCACTATTAACCAGCCCCTAGTCATACGAAAAGTCGCGTTTTGAAGATTGTGCACTTTTTTAACAGACTACAAGAAAAACTCATTTCTTTGCCTGTCAAAAACTGCTTTTTCTTTACTCCCACTTAGCTACTTCGCGCCACCACTTATTGTATATTCGAACTGTAGACACGTGTTACAAAATGGCAGATAAAACATTGAAACAAATAACAACAGTGATTTTTTTCTAATTATAAGTACTTCTTCGAATATTTGGTATTTAAATACAAATAAGTCACCAAAATACGATTTGTTATTTCATGGAATGTTTTGCTAGATACCGTGCTATATAATGACGTAATTATACAAGTCTCTTCAAAAATAGGCAGTAATTTGTATCTAACGAGAGCTCAAAGAGCGCCCCCTGTAAAACATTTATTTCAAGTAAGACTATCAGATTGGCCTGTGATCTAGCTGAAAATAATTATAAGGAAGAAATCCCGAGGTATCAACTAGACATGCGACTAAAATAGTTGACAGGTTTCGCACGTGTCATGTAAATAAAACGGCGCATTTGTTCAAACATGTAATTGAATGTACCATTTATGAGCCAATTCACGAGTAGTAATTAGGCTGGACAGAATCTCGATGAAATTTAGTCCAAACACGAGAATTCAGACTGGATTTGGATCAGAATTAGGTCTGGTTTTGAAAACAAAGCCTTAAAGGAGCAATGATACTGTGTTTTCACGCCGTAGCGGGTAAACTGACTTACGAGCCAAATGAAATAGGCAAAACATATATTTTGACGAGGTTCCTATGCAAGCCCAAAAGCATTTGACTGGATTCTTACCTTGCATATGGAAAGGAAACCTCTTGATTTGGGAATAATACCTAACAATGATACAACACATCCATCACTGCTTGTCACTGAGCCTAAATCGTTTGTGTGACTGCTTTCAGAATAATTAAGGAAACTCATGCGAATCTATAAAACTGCAGTGCTTTCCAGTTGAAAAATATAGTACCTGTCTTAGCCCATTCTTAACTTTATACTGTTTCTAACGATGGAACAAAATCGAATGAACTAGAAAAAAATGAGTGTGTGTTTGGTAGGCGGAATTAAATGGCTGCCCCGCGATTGTTGAGAAAGGCCCGGGAAAGCAATTCTTATGAGGTAACTTCTGATTAAATTTGGCATCTTTCTTTATATTAAACGACGAGGGAAAGCGAGGTAGACCCAAACTCTGTAGTTTTTGTATACTGAAAATGTGCAGTTCTAATGAGTGTGAAGCTTTAAAAGGAGAGAAAGTTGGTAAAATGCAATTAGTTTTATTGGAAATAGGCATTCAAAAGATCTCTATGAAATTATTTGCGTTGAGCACAAGAAGGTTTATCATATGTAACATGCTATAAGGACAGTGCTTCAAAGAAGGGGGTCAGTTTCTCACCAGCTTTCAGCCGTGCGTTGGTAGAGTTTAGCTCTAATTAAAATATCAGAACTACGGGCATTGAAAGGACATGTCTATAAATAGAGCGAACGGACCAAAAAATATGTCCAGGAATATCCCTTGACGGCTCCTTCACTGGGCTCATTACGACCAAATTTTCGAACATTGGCCCAAGGCCTGACAAGGGAAGCCTTAGTCATGTGGTTTGAAGACGGGCCCGATATACCCCAATCATATGATAATAAAATGTATTGCATTGAAATACAACCACTTTCCAGATTCTACTTGGTGACGATTATGATAAGGTAACGGTCTTCTGCCCAAGCCTCCAAGTGGCCAAGGGGCAAAGAGCGGCTGTTTGCCTCCGTTTAGTTATACATTTATCAGTTTTCTACGATTCCTAGTTAAAAAATTACAACCAAAATTTTTACAAATTAGTCTGTATAACATTATCAACAAATTTGGCGCCATCTTATATCACAAATTTGTAGCTGACGTTGCATGCAGCAACGCTTGCACCGTTTTGCAAACTTTGTTGGGATTCTTCTCCTCTAAGATGTCCGGAGGCGAGCAAAGATTTACCTGCGAGGATAAATAAAGTTCAGAATACTGTAACAGGACTTGAAAATGGGTTTTAAAGTGAAACCGTATCCATACTAAACACCAAGTACGTTTTGTGGGCGGAACGAGCGAAACCGGTTAGGGTAATCCCATCAACCTCGTGTCATACATCTCAAGGAGCTTCTTGACTGTATAAACGAATCACAGGTCACCTAGAGTCAGTGTACGCTCTCCTGCAAAACATTTTGCCTATTCGAATTCGCTGTGTCCGCCGGTTTTGTGTAGATTATAAAGAATTAGCAACCGCTTATGGTCTGAGCGGCTCAAATGGACATTTCGTGTTAATTAAGGAATTAATCAATGAAACATAGAGAATGCTTGCTCACCTTTTCAACGCCCAGTTTACGGCACCCCTCTAAAAATGCATCTACATTCATTGAACATTTTGGCATTGTCAACTTTGGCTATGAACACAAAAGATAAACAATTTAAGCAAAAACTAAGATATGTCAAAATGATAGGAATATCATTAAATGAGTATAAATTGCAGGGTTGGGGTTAATTGATAATTCACGTAGAAGATTGATCGACACACTAAAAAGATTGGCAGCTCGTTTAAGAGATCCTGATATGTACTTTGCAGTTTACCCGAGAACTAACCAATCACAGTATTTAGAATAAATTGAATCCAACTTTTATCCGACTTTAACATGACGGCAGATTTCCTCACACACAGCAAACATCATATGAATCAGGGTAGATTCTAACACGGGTCTCTTTTCATATCGGTTTGGCTTCATATCGGTTTGGCTTCATATCGGTTAGGCTTCATATCGGTTAGGCTTCATATCGGTTAGGCTTCATATCGGTTAGGCTTCATATCGGTTAGGCTTCATATCGGTTAGGCTTCATATCGGTTAGGCTTCATATCGGTTAGGCTTCATATCGGTTAGGCTTCATATCGGTTAGGCTTCATATCGGTTAGGCTTCATATCGGTTTGGTTTCATATTGGAATGGTCATCTGTTTACACGGGAACGACCAAATCTGATATACTTCATACTTTCTTTGTAAAACAATCTTTGTGTGGGAAGAAACAAACCCAAATAAACCTATGTGTTCGTTTAAATAAACCCGATACGAAATGAATAAGGCTTTCATTAAAACAGGGTCTAACTTACCATTCCCGCGCTTGGTACATGAATAACCTGTATGGTGCTTTTTCGCACGTGGTTCACTAAATGACAAAGCACTACTCCATCTGCAAGTGCTGCGGGAAGATCGTCTGGAAGACTGATGCGCAGGCGTGATTCAATGGCCTACAACGAGACACAAGGATAAAAATACATGGTCTTATTACAAGAATGGGAGAAAATAATTGCATTCTGCAGTGCCATAGCTAATAGGTTATTGGGTGGGCTCGCAAACCCTCACCTAAAAATTTATAAAATCCTTTTCCAGTGGATCCTCCATTTATTAAAGGGGGCACGAAATCACACGATATTTAGATTAACATGATAAACATTTTAGAAGTGCTGCCACAGCTAAACTTTGTGATGTAGTTGAAATAATTTTCAAATCTTCGAGATAGCTCAAGGGAACTTACATCTCTTAATTCCTCTAACTGCTGAAATTCCTCTTTCGCACTGTCAAATATTCGTCTCATTGTGTAAGTGGAGTGGCCTTCTTTAAGTGCTTTAACTAAAAAGCAATTCAAACATTCGATCAAATTCTGATTTTAAAAATTAACCAAATGCATCCGGAGCAGTATGGCTGAAACTCATTCCCTTTCATTTTAATTTTCAGTTGCCCCGTCAGTCTAGAAGGCTGCTTTTCAGGGGGCCGTGCTTGAAAATCTTGCAAAGTAAATACATTATACACTAACTACAATTAAAATATTAAAATACAAAGTAAATCCCCTAACTACAACGCTAAAAATGATAAAACATTAACGAAAGAAAGCATCTTCAAATGTTTTGATAGATAATGCATGCTTGACTTTTGAATCCAAGAATTCCAAACTCCAAACCACGTTATGAGAAAGCTCGCTGTATTTCTTTTAAGTTTTATCCTGCATGTCAATTTTGTGTAAGAGTGTAGATAAGTAATCTGGAGCAAGACAGTTTATAGATTTGTAAACAATGCATGCTGTTTCCTATCTATTTTATCATATACTATAGGAAATTTTAGACTTTCTATCAAGGCACTGCAAGAAGAGTCATAACAACTTTCTTACAATCAAAGCTGTACAATTTTAAAGTTCTTTGCAGAACCTGCAGATTAGTCCCCCCCCTCCCCCACATTCCCCAAAATCAAACAACAGGATAGTGATAATGAAATCAGCCATCCATACTTCTGCAAAATTTTAACTATGCTTGGTGAGATAGTAAAATGTACTACACTGAAACAAAAATTCGTCGATAGAATTTAATGCTACTCAAGTCATATTTGACATAATTTAATGAAATTAATTCGGGTCACAATTCAAGCTAAGTTTGGAGAAATACCTGTTTTGTTTTTACCAATCGACGATCGTTTCTTTATGCCTTCGAAGATGGGCTGGTCCTGTGTCTGTTAAAATTTTACGTAATTAAAATACAAAAAACAAAATACTAATTATAGCAGCTTAAAGGGTGATCAGGAGCGGACACTTGGTCAATTATCAGGAGGGGGAGCAAGCTTATTGCTTTGATAAAATGACGTCACATTTCCCAATTGTTTTAGTGCAAAAGTCCATTGTCCTCCAAAATATTCGGAGGGGCGACCACCCCCTTTCGCCCCCCAGGTGTCCGTCACTGAGAGTTATACCAAATGCCTCTAATAAAAAAGACCCGTTCAGATTAACTGATTCCCCCTGTCGCTCCCTTTCGCCCCCCCCCCCAGGTGTCCGTCACTGAGGGTGATACCAAATGCCTCTAATAAAAAGAACCCGTTCAGATTAACTGCTTCTACAGGGAACGCTTAATTAGGTCAATGTGAAAAACCTTTTTCCCAGAGAGCGAAAATGAAAAACATTAATAAGCAAAGGGGTTGACATGTTTTATAAAATGGATAATCGAAGACTTTGCAAGTTGACAGCATTATTTCAAGGGTTGAAATTAAAAAAACTTCAGGCACCATGAAAGGAAAAATCATACTTGAAAAGAATCCCCTTTAATGGAGAAGGAAGTTAAATAACGCCTCTAGAACTATAAAATTTATATGAATACACTGGAATGAAGAAAATGAGATGTGAAAACCAATAAAGGAAGACCAATAAACTTAAAGGAAGAAAGTAGAATTTTACCGAATTGGTATTTTCATGCGAAGCAGTTCTAGCTCGAGGACTCATTTCGGCCTGAAAGAAAATAGAATTTAGAGAATTACCTATTTCCAGAAATCAATTCTTTAAAGAAACTATTTAAAAATACATCGTAGCTAAAGTTTCATCAAGGATACGATCCTTTTTTAGTGCAGGCAACCATCAGAGTATCGGATCTCGCAAAGAAAATCGTTTAAAACCAAAGTTCGGTTTGGGGTATAGAATAGGACAGTTTTAAGTTGCAGCTTTGAAATTCAAGCTTCATGCAATCATAAGAAACAGTTGCCTGACGATCGCATTCGACATATAACATGGAGTTGCATCTAAAAGTTACCCTTTTTAAAAACCAAAGCGCGTATAGCAGACTTTTCAAACAGTAGTTATTATTTAAACTAAAATTCTGTTTAAGGCACTGTGTCCCATCATTCAACCGTTCTGAGTTTACAATTGGCTTTGCAGCACATTTATGATCGAGAAAACATTGCAAATTAGCCTTACGTTGCCGATTGGGTACGTAACAATAGGTCTATTGTGTAGTCCAACCAATGGGAAATTTAACTGGCCAGCGAAATGCGTCGGGACCTAGTGCTTTTAAAATACTGTATGATAAAATAAACCCTGACTTCGTTTTTCTTATCCTAGTTTAGAAAACACTGTTTAAAAGACCAAATAAACATCTGAATTTCTTTGTCAGGAAATGTCCTCAAAAAATTCTGGTCAAATGAAAGTGAAAAATTGAGCTAACGCTACTTACAGGGTGGGTAAGTTCTATGTTTCCTTGGCTCTAAAACGGAATTGAAAAATATTTTTATCACAGGAGATAAAAAACGAAACTTAATCAATGAAAAAAGAAGTGAATCGTTCATTGATGGTGATAATAACGACAAAATTCAGGGGTTTATGACTACCATAAAGATCTTATCAAAAAGTAACTTACAAACGAAATTTTGTTTGGAAATTTTGTAATTTTATGCAACCAGAAAAATAACTCACAAACTCTGATTCAGATCTGATTTTTTCCAGCTTTTGTTTGGTGATGAGCGCCTCTTGTCTCAGTCTGAGAAGCTGTTCCTTTCTCTCCGCAATGTCGTTTATTGGCTGTGGGCGAATGTAACAATATTTAAAAAGGTCAAATTTTGAATCATAATGTGATTAACATACAAAATACGCATGTAACAGCCTCTAGTGTAGCCTGAATAAGATAAAAATTGTTCTTCCAAGAAGCAATGCTGAGTATCAAAAAATATTATCATCTACACTAGGGTATCAAAAGTATTGCACCACCTCGAAGGAGGAGAAATGGCGCATGAATGATCGAAAGCTATTGTTATGCAAATTATTTCTGTTTTTAGAGGGCCAATGGCAATTGGTCGAAAGCAAACAACCACCAATCAAAACTTCAATCTATTTAGAGCATTTATTTTAAAAATAACAGTAGCAAACGTCCTTTAACAGTTTCAAATTTCAATATTTTGATGGGTAGCCGCAAACTTTTGAAACCGCAAAAAGCCTCCTTGAAATGGATCCACATTTTTGGTCAACGTATTCTTGTGGAATTTCGCAATAGGCCTGGAAAATTCTTGCAATTAATGATTCTCTGGCTTTTGGACGACCATTTGGATCACAGTTTGTAACATTTTTCATTTGAAGTCAAACTTTTTTAGCGATGTTAAAGATTGGACTTGATTCTGGCTATGCCAAAACTTTAATTTCTTTTGTATGGAAATAAATATTTGTAAAAATGGTTTCCGTTTACTCAGGTAACTTTTTCTTTTGTATTTGTGCAAAACACTCATCATATTTTCTGTGGACGGATTTTGAGCTGCAAAACCTTGCGCAGTGTTGGGTTTCATGCCTTTTACTGCCCCTTGGTGCTGTACGTAGTGAAATAAAACCGACAAATTCTTTCCCCTTTAACATCAAATTTATTTTGGTCGCCAACTTCTCGGTTTCTTTACTACTGTAACATTCTCGAGAAATCTTTTTTGATTTACCGCAGCTGTTGTGTAGCTGCATTTAACTTGGTCAACATTTTTTTTTAAATTAAAGGCCACTTCCCCGTAAATGTTTTATAGCGACTCGCCTCTCATTTGACAATTTTGTTTCCTCAGGCATGGGCTACATTTTTACAGATAAAAATGTTTTTGCGTAATTTATACATTTTTAACTAAGTTTTCTATGGCGTCAGCAAGATTTGCAAACTTTTCCCGCCAAAGTTTGCTCTAAAATGCGCTTATTTCACCCAATTAATGCATTCAAATGTTTTGCATTGTCAAAAAGTCGACAAAAAGTGCCGCCATTTTGAGCAGGGTGGTGCAATACTTTTGATACCCTAGTGTATGTCTTAAAATTCAAACAGATTTTTGTCTTTATTGTGATCTCAAGTGCTTTTTATTAGCGAAGTAATTAAAATTTAACAAAAATAAAACCAAATATGTCTATGATTATAACTCATTTTCAAAACGATATCAAAACGCACAAAATCTTGCAAATTATTCACTCACCCCTTCGTTTTCATGTGGCCTGAAATTTAAAAAAGGTCAAATCTTTACAAACAATGATTAAAACTCATGTAAAACAATCTTACAGACTTATTTCATCTGAAGGTAGTGGAATTACATGTTGCTGAGGTGGTCCTGTTAGGCTGTGGGTCATCGTTGTTTCAAGGAGATTGGAAAATTTGTTTCTTAAGCGTAAAAATATATATAAAGAATCAAAATCTCATGTTATGACTTTAATAATTCATGAAAAATTAAGATTAACTTTAGAAAGAACAATAAATCGTTAATTAATATATAATATTGATTTCTCAGCCTTGTCATAAAACTAGTATCTAGCTCAATATCTGGGCAAGATGAGGCTTGTTTTGACAAAATACCACGATTAAATGCAAAACTTGAAACAAACTTAAAACACGACTTAAAACAAAGAGAAACTAAAGATAAATCCAGAGCGAGAAGAATCAATCCCCTCTAGGTGATTCCCTGACAAACCATATTTCATGAAACTGCTGCCATTACTTATGCCATACCTCACTCAAAAACCTGCCCGATTATCTAAACTTGCAGCCATAATATCTTTATACCTATCCCATTCCATCCCATTCTCCCTACAACGCCAGACCTTGCCTTTTCTTACTTACGTTTCTAAGTCGTTATTGTAGCTTTTCATTTTGCCCCCGTACTTTCGCACGCTGGCACGATCCAGAGACATGGTGCTATGTCCTGCTTGCATCGGTTTTTCTTGGTTACGCATCAAAGTCGCAGTTTTCGGTCTGTTTGGAGAGAAATAGATGGTTTAATCTAGGACCTGTTGTGCATGGAATAATCTTAAGCGTGCAAAGATGTTTTACAATGCAGAACTGGAAAGAAATGAAAACTGTCAGATTTGAACTGACCGGGCCTTGTCGTATGGTTCCAGGGAAAAAACGAAGCTTATACTGAAGTCAAACTGATTTTGGAAAAGAAACTAAAAAATAAATCCTAACTTGAATTAAAAAATCATGTATGACTTGCTGATCTTGGCGATTTTTGCTATTGAAGTGAAAGAAGTAACATTAGGATAATGCACACATGTGACAAATTTTTAGGCCAGTGCTTTCAAGACTTTGTGTTCATAATGAAATAGAATTATGAAATCGCATCTTTCGAGCTATTGGTAAAATAATGGAAAAAACAAAAATTTTTACGCTTCAAAGAACACGTTTGAGTGTGGATGCACCAGTTATAAAACAAAAAAAACATAAAATGGTAATCTGAACGATTTTATTTTCCTTCGTGAGAAGAAGCAGGCTGTGACCCTTACTTGCTGGGTTTTATTTGTTTAGGCCGTTCCTGCTGTCGCATTTTCTGCTGCAAAAGCTCGTGATCCTTCAAAATTCTCCTTTCCAAATTTCGAGTGTCCTCAAAGCTCTTTTTTGGCTGCTCATCGTTCAGTTGCCGGTTTTCGTCTGCTTCTAGAAACCCGAAGTCCTAAACACAAGAATTCAGTCCGTGAACAACTGTTTAACGGCTTTAAATTGTTTTTAGCATAATCGAGTGTGGCACACTGAACCAAAAGAGTAGAGTGAAATCGCTTCTACTGAGAAAGGAAGGTTGACTCCATAAATCAAAATAATTAACAACAGTGCCAATCTTTCTCTATAATATACTGATATTTACAAAATGTCTTGTAATTTATGCTTTTTAAGCGGACATCGGGCTATCTGACTGTGTAGACCCTACTGTGATAAAGAGACAAGAAGCCAACAATTATTGTCAAGCAAACCCAAGCTGACGTCATAACCTGTAAATACTTCTTATAGTGCAATAGCAATTAACTCCTTAGTTAATTTCATCCTAAAAATATATTTGTTGACGTCATCACTTAAGAACTCTATGCAGTACATATCTTTTTTAAGGACAGAGGTTTGTGATAAGGAGCAAGGTTGTTAAACGATAATGATGAATGAATTTTAGCAAAATATACTTCAGACTTGGTGGCTTGTTAACTTTCTGACTATTAGCAGAACTGGGAACCAAAAGAAACGAGGGAAGGGGGAATGGCAAAGCACTAACTATCATTACTGGTGGATATTTTCACTGTGAGGGGAGTATGCCAAATACCATTAATTAATTAACTAATTATTTTAAAAAAACTTGTTGAACAGAAGTTGAACAAAAATCAGCGTAACAACGAATATGTGATTATGGTAATGGAGTCCGTGCAAGACGCTAAATTTCACTCTGTAGCAGAGCGTCTCCTTCAAACGTGATGAAAAATAGCCTAGAATCCGAACATAGAATCAGAAAAAGTTGCAGTTCAACATCTGAGAAACAGGCACACCTCAAAAAGTAAAAACCAAAGGTAACATGTCCAAGGATCATCTTGTCTTTTTTGTTTATATGTTTTTAAAGCTTAAGGTTTAAGGAGCAGAAAATGTCAATACAGCCTAAGCTATTTCCGTGTGCATCACACCTATAGCCAAAGATGTGGCTTGCAGAGGTAGCCAAAGGCGTGGGTTTCATATCCTGCGATTTTTCACTAAGCACTGGGCGGCATTACTGGAACTGGCTTGAAGCACTATGTTGAATGCAAAGCAGAGCTGATACTCGTCTACCACAATAGAATCATCATTACTTTGCTGATACTCTAATACTTGTTATAATCTTTGACTGCAATTTAAATTTTGTGCACTAAGGAGAAAGTGTTAGCACCCTACTACCTGACTGGCAAAGCCAGGCCCTAGCATTACCTGCTCAATTAAATCCAGCGGTTTCGCGGGCTTGACTACATGTGCATTAGTTGCAATTGGTGCTACAGTGCTTTTATCAGCAAGTGCCTCTTTTTCCTGGACAAAAAATAAAGTGAATGAGTGCGATATAATGAGGTGGTTGATTTGTTGCATCTGTCCGTATCGAAGCATGCTGGGATGAGTGAAACCAATCGGACACCAACTTATTTGCCTGCCACCTTAATATGACAGTGTGCAGTGTGCTATATACAATTTTAATGTTTAACGTTTTTAAGTTTGCTAGCATAAGGTTTTAGAAAGAGCATAACATTAACTGTGAAAATTCTAAATTACAATTATATTTAGGCTTTAAAATGTCCCTTGGTAAGCAAACATAAAAGGAAATTTAACAACTTTTATTGACTTTTTAAACAGATTTAAGAGTATTGAAACAGATGTTGATGCCTAATATGGGCAAAACGATGGTGCATTACGATGATCATGATTATGATTATGCATTTGGCCACTAAGCCAACTAATCCAATAATTTCTGCACTTTGGGGCAGAACCACGCCGTCTAACTTTATAGCAGTTCCTACCTCGCTCTGGTTTTGGTCTCTGTTGTCAACAACATCAACACCATCAGCCATCTTTCCATTTTCATCAATGTGATTGAGTTTAAGGTCGCTTTCAACAAGGCTAGGATTGGGAAGAAAAATCTACTGATTAACTAACTATTGATATTACTGTTGCTGTCATCATAGAATGCAAAAAGTAGGTGGCCTAAACACAGATAAAAACTTGCTGTTTGAAGGGCAGTTATCTCAAGCAAACGAAGAAATAATCTGTGTATGCTAAAGATTTTTTAAAAAGTTTTGCGACAAACCTGTTACTTGATATACTGCTCGAAGAAGGTGTTCTCTTTGTCATTCTTCGAGAATCTCTTTCCAAAGACCAAGTCTGCAGATAAAATAAGAGCAAATAAAAAAATTCTTCGTTTATAATGCACCCGGTGATTTCAGTAAGAAGTTGAAACGACAGTTCAGCATTCTGTTCCAGCTTATTAAAGCACGACATGAAAATGACTATCAAGGAGAAATTCGGAAAACCGCAATCAGAACAACAAAAAGGGAAAGGACAGCGTGTACATCAAAAATAAGAGACGTCGTTATAAAAATTTAAAAGATTTGAACAAACATAATAATAATAATAATTAATAATAATACTAAAAATAACGGATGTTAACAGATCCACATAACACGGCTATACTCTCTCAAATATTAAGGAAGATATTGTCCTTTATTCAAGAAATATTGTCTTAAAAAGTTCTATTAAATACGTTAAGATAAAGGGAAAAAACAATTTCCGATAACTTAATTGTACAGCTGTACAATTAAAAACGTTTTATTTGATTGATTAAAAACTTTGCGATTTTATTCTTTAAAAAGTCTTTCCATAATGAAACAAATTTGCTATATACGATAAGAATAACATAAATAACATACAAATTGACAGGCACTATATACGATAAGGTTTATAACCGGCAGGCATTAACTGAACTGTCAAGAGGTCTTGATAATGGTATTTTGAACTAGAACAAATATGATGATATGAAAACATGAAATAAAATAGCACAACATCTTAACATGTTTTTATTATAAATCTCTTGGCGGTGGACATAAAGCAACATAAACCTCTTAACCACAAAGAACAATAAGGCGAATAGACTTGCAGCAACGGTTAGCTGCAAGTCTATAAAAATACTCATTTGCATTGAAAGTAGCACGTCATTGAACTTATAAATACCTTTTCTTGCTGTTGGGCAGCCAGACTAAGATACTTGAACACGTGCATCCTGCCCTTCAGGCAGATCTATGGGAATAAACAGTTATAAATTCTCATTAAACACAATTATGACTGTTCATATGCACGGGAAAGAGGAAAAATAGCATGCTTAAATAATAGTTTGTCCTCAGCGGATAAGCTTCTAATAATGACTAAAGGAAGCAGAAATTGATATCCAGATGAAAAGTGACATGAGAGGAAGGTTGACGCGTTGAATTTTGTCCTTGTTTTTTACCAATCGGCGGTCGCCAGCCTCGTAACTGGTTGAAGATTTCAAGAGAGAGTACGAGCCTTTGCTTTCACACGGTTCCAAAACACTTAAATCTCTGAGGATAAAAGTATTTAACAACGTCATGTTTGCGCTTCGGGTTTTCAAACTTTGCTAACATATCAAACAGACACACGTTTTGTTTTTCAAGTCAAAAACCTTTGCTACTTTACTCTAGCTACTTAACAGGACTCTTAAAAATTACCTGAAAAAATTAATATTCTTCTTATGAGTAATGAATGATTTTTTATCTCATAGCTACATTTTGGGATTAAATTATAAAGCTCTAGAAGAAAGAAACCACAAACATTGCGGAAACCTGACGGTCATAATCTTATCAAAACCTCATAAATGGTTACAAATATCGCTGAAAGAATTCATGTCATGTCAACATTGACTCTAGTTAGCCTTGCTGGCAGATTTCTAGCGAAAATTGTCAAAACGATGCCATCAAAACAATTTGATTTTGAGTATATACAGAATTTTACAGCTAACACATAAAAACCTCAAGAGATTTTCCTCTTGAGGAAAAAACAACTAACCATGTCTACATATATTTCTACACTTTTTTTTATAAGAACACATTTTATAAAAAGATCGCGGGTCGATTTGCCACAAAATAAAAAGAAAGCAAGAAAATTCCCAGCCTCTGGTGAAAAAAATTAAAAGAAAACAATGTTTTTTTAAAAAGTTTCTTTTATGTAAATAAACAAAGCAGATTTAATCAGCAAATCAACCTTGCTACTTAAAGGTCTTGCAAAAAGGTTATTTATTGGCCTTAGAAACAAATTATAGTATGTAGTTGTAGATATATCAAAGTTGAAATAAGAACAATTTTAAGAAAACTCGAGCCTCGAATTATCCAAAAAATAAGAACATCGAGTCTCAGCTAGAAATATCTGGTTTTTATAAAAAAAGAGTAAAACACAAAATTATTAACTTAAAGATTAAAACTCATTCTTCATATTCACGGACATAGAAACAAAAAATGAGGTCTAACCTGTGCTGGCGGTGACGTCAGCGGGTTATCTTTCAGTTCGAAAACAACAAGCGAAGTGATGAGTCGAAATGCAGGTGGAATTATCGAAATCTTATTGCTTGTAATATCCATATGCACCAAATTCTTCAGTTTACTGACCTCTGCAAAATCAAACATGCAAGCTTATCGTCTTAGTTGCAGTGCCCAGGGCACTTAGTTGCCTGCCCTGTGTTATCTCAAGGTCAGAGAAGGGTAAATTCAACTTAAGCCATTAATCATTCGAAATATGATTGCATTGCGTAAGCATTAGGAAAGAGAGGTCATTCCCAGTCTGTGAGAGGAATTGCGAATCAATCACATAATGCTAATCAAATGAAGATAAGTCAGGTTTTCTTCAGTGAAAATCATTGAATTCTGATTAGCTTCAGAATCACCAAGGGTCACCTTGGAGCACTGTGACTGTATACATAAGAACGATCGATAACCTTGTTGCATTATTAAATCATCAGTTTGGCAAACTAAGGCAACCTAAATTTACATCCAATTATGGTAAAATGTTTCTAATCAACCCCAGTAACATCACCACCAGACATACTAACTAATTTGGTGCCATTACCAACAGAAATGAATTTCTACTTTGGCGCTTATTTGAACTCTTTAAAAACAACCCACTGCCCTCCTTGCGAGAAGATCGAGAGCTGATTTTTTATTCTCTTGCATGGCCTAATCTGCTGTCTCAGAGCTCCATATTAAACTTTTTTCTTGAAAATAATAGTGTTCACAATTCACTCCCTATAAAATGATACATTGCCCATGCATTTAACTACAAAAAGTTGCCTAGTGGCTAAGCTATGAGTAATTGCGTCTACAGATATACCGTCTTATTTCTAATTTAATTCTATTAGGCCTAGCCACAAAGAGAATGAATCATCATACGATAAAACCATTTCTGATATCGACCATAACAAGCCCAACTTTCTGCCAAGTGTTTAATTTAGACACACTTGCCTTAATTTGCATTTATAAAAGATTTATGAACGTTTTATCAGGGGGATTCATCGTTTGAAATAAAAGCTGATCAACATATAGACAGAACTCGCGGTCTTAGAATGATAACTGATAAATTTTCAGACATAACTACTGTCTAAATTAATCATACACATATCTAGATTTTAATTATCTTTGAAGAAAAAAGAACGACAATCTTCTATTTTTTCTTATAAATATCAACAATTTTCCTTAATACAAAGATGTGTTGGTAAGAAACACGGCAAAATGGAAAGGGGTTTTCATTATCCTGGCAGGCTGAAAAATGTTGATGTCGAAGTGTTGATGCCGATTCCAAACAGACAGATATGCATTTGTTCAATTATGAATATTAGAACAATGATTGGTTAAGTCAAAACCTAAAAAACACATTATATTTTCATTGTTCAGTCATCACTAAAATGTCTTCTCCTGATGGGTTTTCAGTTTTTTTTTAAACAATTTTAAAATGTTCAATTCTGATCTGCACAAGAAAATTTAGATTTGACAATAACAATTCATCTAACAGTGTGTTGCTTAAAGCAATCATAATTGCTACAAATATCCTTTGGCACGGGTCAAATTACCTTTTACATGTTATGAAACCATAAAAACTAGAGAAAATCACCCTGAGAAAAAACACATTCATTAAACCTTCTTTGTTTATTTCCAAACAGGCAGTTGTGTTTTTGCATCTTGTAGAAGTAGGGGTGAGGTAATTTGTGGGGTAGCTTTTTTGGAATTACAGAAATTGCTGTCTAAAATTTCGCCTTAACGAGAAAACCTTTGAAGTAAAGAGTTTTTGGTTGGAAAAGCCTTATTCTTTCATTAACCATGCTGGCTCTAATTCTGCATAAAAACTTTTAAAATATTGAGAGCAATTTTAAAGAAGGTTTTCTAAGTTGTTTTGATTTTTTCAACGAAAATGACAACTTGTCTCTGAGATATTACAAAAAAACTGGGAATGAATGAAGCAAAAAAAGTTTTACCGATCTTAAGTTTTAGTTTTTAAAGAAGCTGCAACTTCAGCATATCTTTGAAAAGAAAAAAATTATTGAAGTATTTTGTTACAAAAGAAAATTTATGTGAAAAGATGTTCAACATTAGCTACATACCATCTGGCAAGGAAATTAGCTGATTTCTTCTGACTTTTAAAGTTCGCAATGACACCATTTCGCCCATTGTGCTTGGTAGATTTGTTAATTCATTACAACTAAGATCCTACAAAAAATCAGCAAGCCATTAATGGATGATGCCAGTAATTAATTTGCAGAAAAAGATAATTTCTTGGGATGAAATTAAAAACAACAATTGCCTGGTGATCGCATCAAGCGTGAAACTCAGAGTAGCAACTTAGAACCGTTCTGTCTTATACTTATAATGGATCTAGTTCTGCCTATATGGCATCAAGCACTTTATGATAGTAAATTAAACAGAAATTTTCAAGAATATTAATATAAAAACTTATTAAAGAATTATTTCCAATATGATATGTAGATCAGAGTTTTAGCAGTCTGTACCAACATTGAACCAAAAAGATAAGGGGGAAAAGTATGGACAGTTAAGTGATGTCACTCTTCAAATACTTGACCCATATATTAGAAATAACTTTATCATTGTCAAGCTACTGCTAAGTCTATAATATAAAACTGACACCTTTGCATAAAATCAAAATACAAATGCATATACTTTAAAAGCATCAGGGATCCAGTAAACTTATTACTACCTATAGCAGAACGTTTTAACAAAGATTTTAATGTCATTCATGTAATTTTTGAAATTAATTATTTTTTTTTTCATAACATCAGCATTGTTGGCCAATTAGAGAAGAGAGCGAAAAACCCAATATCGAAGACACATGGACAGTAAAACATTCAACACAAAAACTCAGGCAACAAATCATTGTTGATTAAATGTTTGATTCCATATATTTAAATCTTGGAAAATGTAAACTCTATGAAGGATCGAAAAATTGAAGTGTACATACCAACTTCTGTAGCTTTCCTAGAAGACCAATTTCACTCGGAACGGCATGCAATTTGTTGTGATTCATTATTAAAACTTTTAAAGGTAGAGAACAAATATGCACAGGAAGGACTGGTATTTGGTTGTGGCTAAAACGTGAAAAGAGAAAATAATTGCTTTGATAAGAATCCAAGAAATGCAAATAATTTTCCTTCTAAAGAATTAAAGAATTAAAAACTAAAACGGCAAAGAATTAAAACTAAAAGAAAATATTACAATGGAAATTAAGTAAACATTATATTTCAAAATTGTTGATTTTAATAATAGACAATAACAAAGAATACATGAGGCGATGAATTTCAAAATTAATACATTATTAAAAACTTAATTCAACAAAAAAAACCAGGTCTTTTTGTTAAGAATTTCACAAGAGCAACAAACTGGCCGCAGAGAAGAGCTTACAAGGCAGGCCTTGCCCTGAAAGGCACCTAAAGCACACAGAGAGCAATTTAACGAATGACTGAAAATGTAAAATGATATTGCACTGAAGCAAAATATCATTTGAAAATAATGCTGATAAAACATAAACAATCTTCTTAAATGATGGAAATATTTGGGTTTCTATGATATAAGATTTATACAAGAGTTTATAACACTAATCTTTTGATGACTAGAGTTTCTTAGGAGTTTGTTTTATGGAGCCTCTTTATTGTGTTTAGTGCAAGGCCTGTATTACAAGGGTGATTGACTGTCTAACAATTATTAAAGGAAGACTGGTATTAGGTTATTATCTGCCAAAGAATACCTAACAGGGGTATAAGGGTATTATCAGCCGATTGGTTTTCTAAATGTGTGATTACCCTCAAAAAACTGTTTCATGTAGTGATATTAAATGTGAATAATGAAGCAATAATGCTTTATTCTCATTAGTAACTTGACTTTTAATTCAGGAATACCTTGATTGATAGGAACTAACGTTTCTGTAAATACTCTTCCTGTCTCATTCTGGAGAGACATGCTTTGAAAAGGTGGTAAATAGCCTGTATCAATAATTTAGCAAGGATGTTGGTGAGGGTGAGGGCCACTGCCCACATTAAAGAAAAAGGTCTGTTAAAATCCCAAATAGCTTAAACTCTTTGTTTCTAAAAGCTATGTTGATAGAAATCAAAACCCATTTCCCTTCTTTTTGTGAATTTCAGTTACCACAGCTTCATCCAAGTTATCTTGTAGTTTGGATAATTCAAATTTGTAGCCAACTTGAAAGAATTCTTCAAACATGGCTTTAAATGGGGGAGGTATATTGGGGAGAGGTGTGAGGGGTGCAATAGCATGCAAGCAGGGAGGAATGGGTCTGATGATTTATTTGGGAGCAATCAATACTAAAGCGAGGCACCTAATCCAAAACAAGAAAACTGATGTTCGGACCAAGACATCCATTCACAAACCTGCTAACGCCAGTACAAATCTTCAAAACAAACCTAGAAACACCTGTGACAACTGTGGTAGATTTTAATCAAATGTTAAATAAAAAATGGGCAGAGAGAAAAAAGAGATTGGTTAGCAAATGGTAGGAAGAAAAAAAAGTGATCTCATTAAAGACAGACTGCATGCAATGCGAGCTCATTATTGCCAAAGAAGACAACAAAACAATTACCCCAATCTGAAAACAGTATCATTTCTTTGCTTTAGATGGATAGAATTTCATCAGATTCAAGGAAAAATATCGTGTCTTTATTGATTTTAGAATGTTTGCAACTGTATTTTGAGAAAGGACACTTTATTTCCCATATGATACAACCAATGAAGCCTAAAGATGTGGACAGGAAGCTTATATCTTGTAGCCAACTGCAGACTCCTAGCTTGTTTTTGTATGCTTCCCATGCATGATCTTTATCAAAAACTCTGTCCATGGATTGTTGCAGGAAGTATGAATCCTTTATAATATATAGCTTTAATTTGAAGATGGCTCGACACTATATCAATGTTGGTTTTTCAAATTTCATTGGAAGTTTCTCTATATGTTGAATTTTCAAAAGAAACAATTTTTTTGCAGTTAAAGGCATGTTATTGCAAATGGACAACCCAAATCTCTTGGAAAGTAGGGTTTGTTATATCATAATATTCACTAAATGAAATTCAATCATTTTCTTGAGACTGGACGGGGCTGGATGACACATTGGAGTTTGAAGAGCTTGGTGCAAAATGTTGTTCTTTAGAGATACTTTTTGTTTTCTGAAAAACAAAAGACACATGTTTTTGAAAGCCCCTTATACAAAAATCTTCCTGCCCCAAAAGCACACCACCATAAGAAAAATGACCACGACCAGCAGGGCAAGTGCATGCAGCAGAGTAACATTGCCAGATATATTAGAAACTTTCGATTTCACTCTGGCAAAAAAGGTCAATACCGGCCTCTATCAACTTCAATTTTCTAAATCCTTTATAAAGTTTCTTGCGTGCAGTGCTTTTCATGAGAAAGTGCTTGAAATCAGTTGTATAGTTTATGGAATTAAATACAGGTGTTCCATGTAACTTGTCTGTCCACAGAGATGTAAACACTCTTCTGGAATTGCGGTGTAAGTATATTCATTTTCAAAGCAATCGTGAGAAGTTTCATTCATATTTAGATTCCTATTTGCACTGCTTTGCACAACAAAACACCACAGAGGTACAGAGCACCGAGTCAGTTATCATGCTGGTTGTCTTCTCCTTACCGTTTTAAAAAGTTTCAAATTCCTTCTTACAGAAAAATTTCCTAAGTCTTCCAAACACTCTATAGCCTTTCCTTCTGGAAGTGATGTGTTGGATTCTTTTATATCATTATACAAATCAGTGATTTAATATTTAGAGGTGACCTGAGTACACTCTCCTTGACGATTTGTTTTGATTATAGCTGTTATGCACATTGCACATCAGAATTGGAACATCACTTTTTTTGTTCTGGCATACAGACCTTGTTATCAATCTTGATTTCCATCATTGCAAAAGTGGTCTATTACACATAGATATTTCTCTTTAAGAGACCGATTTCTAGCCTGCATGTAGATTTGACTGATTTTCGAAAAGGTGAGATGGAATAAATTCATTCCAGGGATTTCCAGATGCTGACAATTTTTATGATCCATTCCTAAAATAGACCTTTACCCAATACACTTGGGTTACTTGTTTTTTGACATTTATTTCCAACAGAAACTTGATGAGACAACGATACAGGTTTAATTTGTCATTTGCTATTTGTTGGTCAGAAAGGGGATGTTTGAATGTTTCCATTTGCTAAAGCAATTTTTGCCTATTGAGACCTCTCTAGACTGCACAGTACCCTTAATAATAAGTTGGTTGTTTATAGAAATCACTCTAATTGAAATAAAGGAGAAATGGAAGATGTCATTAGGAGAGCTGTAGATATAAACCACAAATCGAAAAAAAGAACAAAAACAAACAATCAATAAAGTATGGATAGACTAACAAAAACATACCTCAAATTCAGATGATTTAATGAATGAATGTGGCTTAGGTCAGGTATGCTCTTCAAGTAATTGAATGCACAATTTAAGCATTCTAACATGAAAGAATCACTCAGCTCTCGTGGCAGCTCATTAAACTTGTTTTGTGAAAGATCTGCAAAAAACAAAAGTTAAAGTAGAAGATTTCCAGCAAAATTATATGGGTAACTTGGTAAAGGTAGCACATGTGAAGGGAATAAATTTCATTTGAAAATGAAAGTTTAAATAAACCATTTGTCAGACTTTAGTCTTGGTACAGACAGCTGATTGCTTTATTGTAAAAGGAGTACTCTAATAAAGACTAACATGTTTACTGGATAAATCTTTTGAATATTTCTGGTATTTGTGGGCTTCGTACATTACCCTAGCCACAAATGGTGTTAAGGGAAGCTGCCATCTGTTTGGGCTTACAAACCTAGTATTTGGCATATGTCTTCCATCAGGATGATAAAACAGTATGTCAGTAAAACGGAATGCGTTTTAATTTATACTTATAACTACTGTGTTTAAGATAAAAATTGTGTCAATAGAAAGACTTTCAAGTGCCACAACCCATTAATATTTGATATAAACACTGTGATATAAATCTTTACAACATTACCATTCAGAAAACTATCATCACATTTTATATTTCTCTCCACCACAGTTTTAGAGGGCAAAAAGATCTAATTTCAGGCTACCTGGAATGACTTCATGCATGCAGATCAGTTTATTTGATGTATAGTAATTGTTTGTTTTTCATCAACCAATAGCGTACTCCAAATATATCTTTCGTGCTTAGCATGAGCCTTTGCCACAAAACATTATCCAAACATTAAGATTAACACCTATTTATCAAATATTTTTTATTGCAATTAAGATAAACATGTCAATTCGGGTGACTGCGAGTTGTTCCCATAAGTAGGAGTATATGAATGTTTGATAAATGTTGCACATTTGGTACTATTTTCACTGTTTAGCAATACAAAAAGGATGGTTTATCCCTAACAGATAACTTAATGACTGTTTTCAGGGCCTAAACGTTGGTTGTTTTGGAAACATGCGGTGAAGAAAATTGATCAAGCCATTAGCTGCACACACCGCTCTTTTATGATGCTCATGATTAATTGCAGAAAAAACCCTAGTTTACCTACCTGCTCGTACAACATCTGCTAGATCAAAGTTCTCCATGCTCTTTGGAAATTCTTTCATATTTCGACGTGCAATGCTCAGCGTGCCTGTTTCTTGTGATTCTTCAAAGCACTTCTCTAAATCCCTGCTTTTGCCTGCCATTGATGCTATAATTCCTACGTCATCTCAAAACACATTTATTTTCCTATAAAATTAAATGCACAATTGTATCCATATTTCAGCTGAATCAAACCATTTGTAAAAAAGCCTCAATCATACTTTCACATCCCTGCTATTGTAGACGGCCATTATTGTACGGACTATGCTTTCATTGCGCAGGCGCACCAATGAGGAAGGAACATTCAGGCAATAACAAAATTTGAAAGCTCCACCTCTCAAGTCGTTTTGGACAGGCTTTTTGCATCAGTTCTGTGTGCAACAAAAATAATTGATAGAAAGAGCAGCAAAAATTGCAAAATAAATACAACGCTAATTGAAAAGATCGAATAAAATGCTTAAATTCAGATGATGCTTGTTCAAACAGTCTTTTGGTTGTACAAAAATAAAAAATGGCTTTGAAAAAAGCAAACATTTGAGTAAACTGAAGCTTTTCGTCTAACACTCTTCAAAGTCTAAAATGTCAGAACATAGACAGAAAACTCTACGCTAGGAAATGCTTGTTCAGTTCAAAAACCAAACCCTAATTAAAAATCAAGTTACACGGGCAAAAGCTGAGCTACAATAAGACAAAAGCAAGAAAGTTTTCATTCATTATTCAATCTTTCTGAAATGGTGCCTGAAATTTGAGAAATGGCTTACAGCTTTCATTGTGCATATATTATTACAAGATAAAATACAAGATATAACTTTATTATTTTATCCTTAAAATAAGAAATCACTTTATTAGAGAGCAAGAAGGGTCTCCATTCATTCCCGTTTTCACTTCGTTGTGCGTTGCGGTACAAGTCTTGGCCACAATTTCTCTAAATACATAGAAAACCTAAAAAATGTCAAATTTTGCTTATCCGGTTGAGGTAAATCTCTTTAAACTTCTAATTGAAATGTTATTCTGCAGAATTTACCATAAGGTTGAATGGGTATAAAGAGAGGTATCGTGCGTTCAGGGCCACCCCCCCCCTACGTTTTTTGCAAAGCAAATGATTTCAAATCTGCAATAGAGATGGAAGAAGGAAATATGTTGAAAGACGTTACAATAAAAGACATTGAAGAAAGAAAGGAGAAAAGGAAGAGGCAGGCACGTTGCTATGGGGCTGTGCGTGGGGCGAGGCTTCCCAACTTGCCTCGAGTCTGTTGCCATCTAGGGGTGTTTAGTCGGCAAATTTCCAAATTTGTCGGCAAAAACAAGATGGCTCATCCACTTTCTCGGCAAATGGGACTTGGAAATCCCCCCTGAGCACAATAGCTAGCGACGGGACTGATGAGAGGGTATGCCCAAATACGCCGAGTCATGATTTTTGTTAATCAATGGAGTTGAGCGTGTTGTACGTCGAGTAATGAGGCCTGATGAAGAGTTATGGTCGAAACGTCGTACTTATATATCATTCTTGTACAAAGTCGTTATTTTATTGTATTAATTTTTATTCATAATTTTTGTCTTGCTATTCTGTTGGTGGATTTGGACTTTTGAAGGCAGATTCTGACGACGACGCCAGAGCGCACTTTTATATTAGCATGAATAATTAAAACATACTTAACAACTTGGAATTTTGGTAGCCTCGGATCTGCGCTTTATTTTCAGTTTTCAAGTTCCTAGCTAATTAAAGCTTTTGTTTGATAAAGGGTATCGTGGTTTTACATAGAAGCTCAAATCTGGTGTCTTACTAGTCAGTTTCTTCGAAGAGGAAATCAAAAAATGTCTGAATAATTACGGTTGATGTTAATAGATTCAAGCTTTTTACTGTTTACATATGTAAAATGTATCTGGGGATGTGGCTTTTAGCATATTGATTTACATTAAAGCCCTGCAAATAATGAATGCTAAAAATAGTTCTGATTGAAAACGTTTGTCGTTTTGCATCCGCATGCATGTTCGAGTCTCAATGAGCAGGAGCCACGCCACGGAGCTTGGGTTGCGAATAAAATGAAGAAGGTGCATCTTGCATTGATACGATGCAAAATCCTCAAGCCGTTAATTTGTCATACCTATTACTCTCAAGGGAAGCTAGAACTCTACTTTGCTTAGACAGGCAATCTCTTTTAGCCCAGTGGTAAATTCCAAGATGCCAAGAGAGTTTAGGAAAATTAGACCCAGGAGACCTTGGGCCAATTGTGACCTCAGGAACCCCTTGCAATGTCAGAGAAAAACCAAAGATTTAGTTCCCTTCTAATTTTTGACTTATTTATAAACAAACTGACTGTATGAAAAATTAATGAACGGTTAAGGCCTCATTCATATAGTCTCTTGACAATCAATGTCGAATGCTTAGTCTCAAACATTGAACTTTTCCGACAATCGTCCCGAATCCGATTCGCAATGAGCTAGGATCGATTTGGCAATTAACTTGCTTATAAACAGCAAAACAAAGCCACCAAGGTGAATTATGGAAATTCACAGATGAACAATTCTAAATCGATTTTTTTGTCTTCGAATATAGGAGAGCAAAATAATACTTTGAAATAAATATGAATTAAACAATTTGCAAGACAGGGTGGTATGTGATCTGTTAAAGGATATGAATGGTTATGCATGATTTTTTTAGAAGTCGCAAAGGCCTTTTCTTAATATTCCTGCCGTCTAAGGGGGTATTCATGAATGAGTGAAGGTTGTCTGTGACGCAGGTTAGTGCGTAACGCAATCAAATATGTACAAACGATCCTGCAAGCTGGCAACGAATCTCACAGTGAGTAATTAGGCGAATGTCTATCGCGTGACTCAATAGATCCCAGTCCACTTGACTTCAACACTTAAATGAAGTGAATGTACCGAGTCAATTCTGTGCAAAATATTAATGTAAGTGGGTTGTGAGTTACTAATAAGACAATCTCCATCTAGTTTTCACAGAAATACGATTCAAAGGTTTAGGAATATTTCATGACGATTGTGGGTAAATGTAGACCCTGGATTTCATTAAAATTAAGGTTGGGAGAAAAATATGGACACACTGCTTGCTTCTTATTGTGCTAAACATAATTTTGATAGAGCATCTTATCAAACATGACTTATAAAAACAAAATAACAAATTCAAACAACGTACAAGGTCTAAAGATTATAGCAGAACAGACAAGGAACCAATCGCTTGGAACATATTACAGATATGGAAGAAACTTTATTTTACGTCATAAACAGGAGCGAATTTTATAAACCGTAAAAGAAAATTTCATAAAAAATTGATTCAGTTCAATACAGTGTAAAGTTGAATCAAGTGGAGGTAATAACTTATTCAGACTGACTCTGAAATTCTTTTTACAAACGACCCAAAACAGCAAATACATTCCTGTGTACTTTAAAAAAGGGTCCTTATAATAACATTACAAGCGAACCATTAAAACACTGATTTTCTCTCGTATCTACAATGAGATGTTTTTACGCAATTGTAAATTATACTGAAGCATTTGAACAAAAAGTTTGTTAAAGAAAAGGTGAAGAAGTATATATCTATTTGACAGTACCAACCCGACCCAAGCTGTTTACTAGGGCATCTTGGGGAAAAACAAAATGTTGATTGCTTTTGTGAAACAGGTTTTATATTAAAGATAGGTTGTTTAGGAAGAGGGTTTATTAAAGAAAATGATGTGATTAAACTGGCTTCACTGGAGATATTTGTGCCATGGCTAAACTAATGTTAACGATAGCCACACAAGTCCATGCACCTCTGGCTTTACCGATGTTGAGGCACTGATATCTGTGGGTTGACAAGTTCGCGCTTTCCAAGTTCCAAAGATCTTCCAAGCACAGGATACCATTTCAAGTCTTTCGGGTCAGCAGAGTGCTTAAACAAGCGTGACCAAAAAAGTACGTTGGCGTAAACATAATAAATTAATGCCCGATTTTAACCACGCACTCATCCTCCAATGCAAAATCATTGAAACAACAAGTTAAACCATGACATCAAGAACGAAATGAAAATTGAGATTTATTCACTAAAAAACTGGTCCTATCGCCTCAAGCCATGTCATCAGCGACGGGTCAAGGAGAAGATAATTTTTAAATTCAGCTAGAGAGAGTTGTCCGTCTTTATCTGTGTCTGCAGTCTTAAAAATATCTTCCATCAACTCTTGCAGTGCATCTTGGGTCATGGCCTCAACAGCCGATGATGCCCCAGTCTCTGTTTCATTTTCAAAACAGCTGCTAAAATTTTCGTCTTTCGATGGAGATTTTACCGGAGCGGAACTACTATTAAGATTTTGATGTTGCGAGCTCTGTGGAATTGGTGCGTTAAAAATAGCAGAGATAGGACGGTTCCCTGTGTCCTCGTATCCTGCAAGCATCTCCTCCTCACAAGACTTAACCACGTCTCTCACCAGTTCTACACTTATTTGGTGGTGTGCTTGCAGTACCTTCAGCATGTCGTCTTTTGATATAAAATTGTCCCCGTCAATATCATATGCTTTAAAAAAATGTTTCGACTTCTCTTTTTGAGAACCTCTAGTTAATATTGATAAACCCCTTGTAAATTCAGGGAAGCTTATATAACCATCCTTGTTTCGGTCATAAAACAGGAAAAGCTGATCAACAAGAACGTTTTTACGAATAGCCAAAGGTCCTAAACAGTAGTTGAATACATCTCTTGTGATACCGTTTTTGTGAGTTGATAATGACTTGAATTGTTCATAGAGGCATTCGATTTCCGATGGATCAAAATGGCAAATTACTCTCAGCTCAAGCACTTCGTTCCATGTGATTTTTGATGACTGCAGTTTCTTCCCTGAAAAAAATCTTAAATTAGAGAAACCAACGTTTGAATAAACAAGAAATGTAATTTTCTGACATTTGTCATTCATCAAAAGAATTCTGCATTAAATCTTATCGTAAATGCAGAAATTTTTTCATTGACCAGGATTGCAAAATGGATCTCTAATTGGGCTTGAAAACCCAGAAATAAAGATGAAAATGCAAATAAAGTAGTCAGGTTTTCTCAAACAAAATATTTTACAATGCTCGTTTACTTCAAAATTAGTTGCAATTCAATTAAAACGATGTCGAAAATTAATCTTAATTAGATCTATCAGCGCGGTAAATCCTCTATTTGAAGACCCTGCTCTTGTCAAGGCAAATGGCTCTTGTCTAATCCATGCAAATCTTAATATTATAATAAGGTTCAACACTCTGCTAAAGCATAGAACATCAAGACAAGACATGCTTTTCTTTTACACTGATTTTCTCATATCTTTATTATACAAAGGACATTTCCAAAAGTCAATAACTCCCTGTTCAAACACTCGTTAACACATGCCAGCCTATGTGCAACAACCCTCATTTCGATAGTAAGAATTTTTTCTGTCTGGTGCATAAAAATTGTAATTTCTGTATTTAGGAAGTTATAGATCATGACAAATTTGTTCCCTTGAGACCATAGAATACATCAAAATCAAGACAATTGTAATTCTTAAACGGAATTGTACATGTAAAGACCAGTGGCAGCTTGCAGGGGTACTTTTAGTACTATTAACACTTCTTGTTATTTGATAATTGAATAATATAATGTTTTTTGGAAGTACTAGATTCCTCTGTGGCCATGAAAGATTATGAAATTAACTCCTGCAGCCTGTCAGCAGTATCAAATTACATCAAACTGAGGTATTCGAAGGTATGTCAGAAACTTCTGGTAAGCCATTTGAAGACAGTTTATGACCATATTAGCAACAACAACAAACATTTCTAAGGGTTGCATCCCCGTGCTCCATTACCCTAATTTGGGTGTTTTGTTCGCAAATGTCTGCTTAACCAGTACATCTTATTTTCCATGCCAGTTGCTACTGGTAAAGACTAAAAACCTGATTTGTGAAAGAGAGAAAACTTACCTGGGTAGAAAGGAGATAATAATGTTGATCTGGGATTGGCAAGTGGAGGAATTGGTACAATTATTTTCAGGAAGATATGATTCTTGTCATGGTCACAGAGTGGCTCACATCTCGCACAGACATCATAATCGATGCAATTTGAACATTTATACCTTATTCCAGTCAAAGGGTTTGCATTACAAATGTTACAGCTGATTCCTCTATGAACTATACACTCAGTCTTTGCCTGGTCTTCTCCAATATTGTACAAGAGGTTCAGCAAGTTATCTGACTGTCTCTTCCTTTCTACTTCATCATTAGGTGGCACTAAAATGCAACAGATTTTAGTTAGATTTTAGTTGTATCTTTGAGGAAGTGTATAAATAGTCCAGTGATCCATTTTGCATTTAAGTTGAGATCACAGTAAAAACCGCTGATAACAGAGAACACGATTTAATAGTAATCCAACATAAAAACTAAACAACATCAAGTCAAACAAACAACGTTCTAAACACCTGAAAATCATGTAACAAAAGTATACAAAAGGTTCTTTTTTTGTAGCTATTTACTGAACAAATTTAAGAAAAGTTTAAGAATCTTTTGAGATATCTTCTACATTCTTCCTACCTAGCATGGTGGATTGAGTGTCTGTCTCTCTGTTGAGCCAGAGGTTTTGTTAGCGCTTTGCTTCTAACTTAATGTATACATCTATAATTTCCAATTACTTCATTTTCAAAGATAAAAGCTGAGTCATTAGGGTAGAAATCCCATCAGGCTTTGGAGATCCAGTCAGGCATAAATGGTCAAAGCAAGCATTTTAGACTAGGGTTTTTACTGTAAATCACTATGCTGTTTCAAATGATATGTTGAAGAATGTTCCTGACAGAGACTCATTAACCTTGAGGGTTACAAATTTTTGCTTTTATTTTTGCATTGAATGATACCATATTAGTGCATCTTTACTGACATACTATAAATAAAGATCCTATACTCATAGTTTGGGAAAATTTTATAGTTTGGAGTGACATCAGAGTGAAAGTGACTTTGTTTTGGAAGTGGGTGAAAATCAATCTGAAGCATTCTGCCTTGCATTTTATACAATACAAACATTTAAACCCAAAGTGATGTAAATCTCAGTGCCATTCTCCTACACAAGCAGCCTCTTTTAGCTCCTATCTTGTTCAAAATGGTGGGCACTTGAGGGTAGTTGAGCAAAAAAGAGAAAACCCAATTTTTAAAATTAATCTTTCAATGATTTCAAACAAAAGCCTCATCCTAAATGTTTCTCCCAATTTGACTAGGCATTTCAACTTAGAGAATTTTTGGTGTTTATTTTGCACCTTACCACTTTTTTTAGTTTGGCCCAAATTGTGTGATCTCAAAAAAGCCCTTTAGCCAAAACACTGTTTCTTATATGCCCAGCCATGGCAATCCAGGGTCATGTAACATGATAAAGTACTCTGATTGAGTACAACTATCGGGCAATTACTTATATTATGGTTTGATTAAGCTATTGCTTAATCAGCAAATGACTGGCAGTTGAGACAGCAAACTGAGTGAAGCATAACTTCAAATATTACTTTTTTTCTTTTTTATTTAGTGGGAATTTTGGAAGTTAACAAAGTTGCTATATCTGCGATCAGTGGCCATATCAATCAAACATGGTATGCCACTTTGTTAAAAGATTTCTTTATATTCAACAGAGCAAACAGGGAGTTAGACTTATGAAAATGGTTTACTTCAATGTGATTAATGTGAAATTGATGCCCAACATTGTCATTGCCCTGGTCCTCCTTTTACACTCTCTCTGTTTCATTTCATAAACCTGTGGATTTGGCCTTGGAATCCTGTGCATAGAAAATGTAATGCACATTTGTTTACCATGTTTTTAGCTTGTTTGTTCCTTGGTATGAATTGCCAAGCATATAACTCAAAATCAGAATTCCCTAAAGATGCCTAGTTGGTTTGAAAAACATTTCAATGCAATTAATTATCAGAGAATCTTCTGTCTATGTCGAATATAACAAATATTAACTAAATTTTTCATGTCCCCTACTGTTTACATCACTTAGTTTTATCAACTAGCATGGAACATCTATTAACATGGAATACTAATTAACATCGATCGTCAAATATTACTAGTATCAAAAATTATTTTCATCATTTGCCACATTCTTTGGTGTTTAATTAAACTTCATCTTTCAATGAATTATACTTAATTTTTAAAGACAATTTTAGATTTAAATTGAAACAACTTTTAAATTATTTTGAAGTTCCAAAATTCTCACTAAATTTGCTAGACTCCAGACTTTTTTGAAGCCCTTATCACTGGGATGTTGCCATATCTTTTCTCTTGGTAGTGAAGCGTTAAATGTCTTGATAATATAGGTAGCAAAAAAGTTGAATAACAGAATGAATGTGAATTTTGTCATGATAAAACAACAGTAAAACTATGATAAGTAAAACGATTTTTTGTTACTTAACTTAGTTTGTTTACATAAAATAAGTTATTAGCATGAAAATCGATCTACCTGATGCTAAGATTGGCTCATTTTGTCTTGAGGTAGGAGTAGGCCGACTTTCACTCAAGGACATGCTACTATTAGGCCTACTTTCCATCCTTCTGTGACTTGATACAGAGGCTCCCATAGCTTTAATTGGTAAATAAAGCCTTGCGCGATAAAAGAACCATCTATTAAGAATATATCGAAATGTATTAATTCATTTTGACATTTTAGACTTCACTGAATGGTTTTTCGCTTCTATACCTGGAAATCAGCCATTTCCGAAAACCTCAGTTTGATGTCGCTTCGGAAATTTTGCGCCAACGCATTTACCAAAATAATAACGAGATTCGTTATTATTTGAAGATGGCGGAATTAAGAAAAAGTCTTTTCAAGTCTTCTTCATCAAATGGGAACGAATTACCTAAAGAAAAGACAAACTCAGGTATATTTACAATAGATTTATCATCTGCTTAAACTGAGATATTTTCATGCAATTTTTATTAAATGAAGTTTTGCTCCGGAAAATTGTTTTGAGAGAGAATTGTTTTTGCAAACGTTTTCAGGGTTCTGCCAAGGTACATTCCATGCAAACGACACTCTGAATGTATGCCATGGAAAGACCAGGTGTACGCCAAGGTTCATGTAGAATCATTACGCCGACCAACCCCCACCACATCCCGTATTTCTAGTAAGGCAATTTATTAATACCTTGGGAGAGAATGATGATACAGTACGAGTATAGTAAACAAACACAGACACTAAGAGCATTGGGGCTATTGCAGTTTCGCACCTCTTAGTGTGTGGTTCCATACACAAGGATAAGGTTTGGGTAAGGATTAGTGTCCAAGAGGTGCGAAACTGCATGAGCGTCGAGCTTTGTGACCTGCACCACTACATCATTTTACGAAAATTATAGTTTACGCCATCATACACCAACCCCCATACCAAGAGATCCTTCTTTCAAGCCAATGCCACGCCAAAAAGTGTAACTCCACCCCAAAAATCTTTGGGATCTGCTACATGGAATGCACCCTTGGGGGGTCTAGGATGTTTCAAAGGGAGATAAATCTAGATGCCATACACCAAATATCTTACCTTCAAATATAACTTACAACAAGAATTCAATTACGTCTTGGCATTTCATAACTCAATCAAATTTGAAGCAAACTACTCTAAAATAATTATAACTTTCCTGTAAGCACAAATATAGTAATGTAGAATTTCACCGCAATGTATTTCATCAGAAATAACATGTTTTTGTCTTCACGAGAAAAAAATTTTAACCACAGTGAAAGTGTTTTGTTCTTATTTATGTATACTTCCAAAATGATAGTAAAATAATTTTTACACTGGTGTCTCAAAAGAGTAAGCAACAAAATATGTCTTTCCTCACATAATAACAAGTAACAAGTAACTGTGACTGAGCATGCAAAGTATTGAGAAAAAAATGCAAGTCGTTACATACTGAATGAGATATTACACACTCTCTACAACAGAAGCTGATGGATGTTGGCAATCTTCTACATCATGACTCATTCCACTGACAAGGGCTGCATATAAATGAGGATGGCTTGTTTTTTCTGATTAGAAAATGCTGTATGTCAGGGGTCTCAAAACTACGGCCCAAAGGCCAACTGCAGGCTGCAGGCCCACGACAAGTTCTGAAAATATTATTGAATATGGTCCGCACATAAAGGGCTAAAGGCAAACAATTAGACTTATCACAACTGGGTCATATGCATACCCTGAACAAGAGCTTACAAGGCAAAAAACAGCTGGTATCACATTTATATGTGCACATGAAAGCCTTCTTCGTAAAGCAGGGAAGCTTGCACTCGAAAAGGGCAATTGGGGCAAAGCACCAAGAATAGGGCAAAACAATAATGAAACGAAGACAAATCATTTTGTATGGCTATTTCAGTTTAGTTGAAAGGTTTATGTCCGATGTCATATTATTTTTTTATGTGCTCTAAGTGGCAATTAAAATCTACATTGTGTTGTAAAAACAAATTCATTCTTTAAGTGAGAAAATAGCAGCTGTTTAAAAAGTTGACAGAGTGTTATGTGCTGCATATTGTACCCTGTTCTATCTTAATCTATCGTAATTCAAAATTGAAAATGTTTTCATTTTTATTGTACTTTAGCTGAGATGGAGACACTTTTAAATAAATTTCAAGTTGAAATTGAAGTAGAGAATAACCTGAACATTGTTGAGAAAGGTTTGTATCCATTTGCAAATTGCATAATTGTTCACTTTATTCTGTAATGGTAATTTGAAGTGATAAAGAAATATTGTGGAAGGGATAAAGAAAACAGAACATTTAATGAACATGGAGTTATATGATCTTGAAGGAAATTTAAGAAGTTATGTTTACTTCTAAACTCCTCATTTAATCACAACCCATGTAAAGATGAGGCAGATCATTAAGAAACTGAGTCTTTTTCATGGGCCTTTTGCATGATGACCTCCCACTCTGCTCTTATCTTAAAGAAAAGATTTATTTTTCATAATCCTCAAGATATTGATAAGCCTTTTTTATCTCTTATTTTGAGTTTGTGCTTTCCGTGATTTAGTTATCTTTGCTAATTTTTGTCATTATCTTATCTGTGTGAATCGTAGCAGACTGTATCTGAGATTTATTTTAGATTCGAATAAAAAGAAAACAGTTCTTATTTGCCCACAGCTGAAGATTAAACTATTTCCAGGGCAGATAATGTTATTGTCTAACAAAAAAGCACTGTTTTGATGCAATTCATGGAGAATATTTCTCAATGCAATTGTTTAAAGAAAACAGGGGTCTAAAGAATGCATTCCATGAGCCCTTGCTGCTCTAGGCATTCACAGTGGTACAAATATTTGATAGCAAAATACCTATTATCTAAGAAGTGAGTAATATGAAAGCTATGCTCCACCTACTTCCTTTTCACAAATTGCTATCTTGAAATGTTTTGTGCTTCACATTATTCTCCTGCTGTTGTCTGCTTCCTTTATTCAGTTTTTTTCATGTGCACCTTGCATGATTCAATTTCAATTATATTGTTTTGATTGCTATTGATGGTGTCAGGAACAGTTCTTTCCTCACAGTTGCATTGCATTTTTTTAACTGAAACACGATATCCCTTATTCTTAAACCCAATACCAGCCCAGAATTCTGTGATTTCACTCCCTCACAAAGTGCAATTTTTGTGCATCACCTAAGTTAGGCTAACCATTCTTTAAAATATCGATTTGATGTCAGAGGACAGGAAGGACACAAACTATCAGAATTTCTGATAACTCAGTATCATCCTTTTCTTTTCAGAACTTCATGAAAAACGGCTGGCGAAAATGAGGGAACTTTTGAAAAATCTGGACAGTGATAAATGGATGTTTGGAGAAATAGAAGATTACATCTCTTTCTAACAGCTCTTTTAAAGATATGTCTGCGAATTGCCCAGGCTTGAAAGATATCGAACTTTATCGTGTCGAATGGGCGGAAAGCGCTACCTTTGATGCTTTGAGAATTTAACTCGTTTTGAAATACAACTAGGAGTTTAAATTAATCGAAACTTAACGTGGATTTATGGCAACGTGTACCATATGTAATATTTATCATGTTAAACAAGATGTTAGAAATCTCTAAGTTAAAGAAATTCTACAAACCTTTTTTCAGATTTTGATGCAATGAAACCTTCATTGACTGGCAACTCTCAACAGGGGTGTACAGGATTGGGTCGTATCAGTAGATTTGCAATGACGCACGGGGGTAGCAGTGTCTAAAAAGTCAATGTGATTTCCCAATAAAAGCCAGTCAAATCATTTTTTCCCCAAATTTCATTCATACATAGTACTGTTTAGATCACCAAGAAAATTGTGAGATAATTATAGCTTACATCCATTTTAGAATCACACCTTTTGACTTCTGAATCTGTGCCCCGACTTGATACAGCCGAAATATTTCGCTTTTCAGGCAATATGGCTTCGCTCAGAGTATTCTTAGGCAAGCACATCCAGGTATTTTCCTCCAAGGTAAATCCCCGAGTATCTGAAAATGCGGACGGATGATATAGAAAAATTGTTACTTTATAATTTTTATTTTTATTTCTCTATTACTATTACTAATAATTATGGTATTGATACCACTTGTACGAAAGCTTTTTGTGTTGCTTCTTTTTAGATGCCAATGTATGGAAGACCAATTTTGATGCACTCTGTTCTTTAAAAGAACACTGGAATGGAACTCGATTTTGCACAAAAATAAGAGCAGTGTTAAAAAATGCCAAGCCTTAGATGAAAAATTAGAAGCAAAAGAAATGTGTTTGAAAATTTTCTCTCGCAAAAGCAGCCAAAGCATATTTAATAGGCCAACTGTGCTACTAAAATGTCTTGCAAACCTGTTATTCAGCGGCCTCAGAATTGATTTATAGTATGTAGTTGTAGCGGCAAGAACCCCTGAGTTATAAATTATTAAAAAGAAAAGAGAGAATAAAGCCCTAGCAAAATTAACTTATTGTTGTAGAAAAAGTATAGGTTTCAAAGTCCCTAGTACTTTTTACATTTTTTAAAAAGACAACAGACCTTGGTGATGAAGCTCTCCCTTACACAACTACCTACTGAAGCAAGGTGAAGATACTCTGGCACCAATAGTCTCGTAAAACAATATAACTCTAGGCATTTTTTGCTATTGCATTTAAATAACTCTGGAGAGGAAGATATGCAACAAGAAGGCATATTCATTGAAAGTGTGACACCAGCCAGTCTTGTCCCTCTTTCCACCAGAATTATACTTTTCAATTATTCCCCACTTCAAATGTTTATTTGATTTAGGCTCTGGCCAGTGCAGCTCAGACTGTAGCTGAACCCCAACCTCCTCCCCCTCCCCCTCCCCCTCCCCCAGAAAAATTGTCGAAACCTGAAGCAAAATATGCTGTCCTTTTTTCTGTATGACGTCTCTTCTATTCTAATAGTCATGACGGAAATGAAGCCTTCAAAGAAAGATCTGCCTGAAATTGGATATAACAGAGATAAATTATAAAAGCGGATTGAAACAAGAAACATGCCGTCGTACTGATTTGGAGGATACTGCATGCATAAGAGCGGACCAGTTTAAAAGTTTCCGAGCAGGGCTCCCGTGGTCAAAGATTTCGGAAGCGTTTAGATTAAGGTGCCGTAAAGAAAAGTTCCAGTGGAAGGAGAATTAAATATGTAAACCATATCTCAGAATGCGCCGATTGCTGGCAGCAGTCAACCAATTAATTTTTTGCAAATAATTACATTTCTAGGGCAGTGAAAAAGTCATGCTCTGGCTTCACACGTTTAGTCTGAAAGTTGTCTGACATATCCACTGAGATGAAAATCCACAGACGTAGCTTTACCGGGCGCCGCGCAGCCATTGGGCTAGCAGGGCTATAGCCCCCCCCCACTATTTTGAATAATAGGCTAGACAATTTTTTTGAAGGTTTACTCTAACGCAACTTTGGATAGTTTACTCCTATGTAGTAGTAGTTCTCATTGACTGGGAACCATTTTTGTTCTTTTTCTAGGTGACTGGGAATCATCTTGTTTAATGATATGATGTATTTTCTAACTTGGTTAGCTTGGTTCTTTATTACCCTCGAGTTAATTCTATCTATTTTTATAGTTATTGATACCTTCTCTGAACCAGACTGTTTATGAAAATTCAATAGAAATAAGCATGTTCTAAAAGGGGCGTTTTCCGGCGTTCAAGAGGGCGTGGCCTCAAAAATCTTTCGGTCACAACCATTTTAGCTCCTCCACTTCTAAGGAGGTGCGCGGTTCCTGAGCTTTACGCTTGATTGGTAACGAGTTTTTTAACTTTAGCGAGAATACATTGTAAGGAATACATTATAACGAATCATTTGTGAAGGTCTTAAGCTGTTCATTGTAAATGAAAATGAGAGGATCATCAAAGGTTGTTCTTATTGTCCAAGCCATTCGCTATCAGCATTGACTATGTTATCAGAGATCAGGGTGAACACCTACGCCTCAAAATCAGAACGTCGAACAAAAGATGTTCTAAAGTTCAAATCACCTCGGCTGTACAATTATACACTTCAGATAACGTGAACGCAAGTTGCTCCAAGATAAACACCAATCTGGCATTCCTGCTTTGAGATCACGCTTAAAAGGTGATTTTTACAACAAACTTTCGACATAAACAAACAGTGATAAGAGATAAACATAGGTGAATTCGTCTGGATATTCGGTCACTTCTGCACTCGTTTTGCATTTCAATGCTATCGCTTTTCTTGGAATCTTTTACCAAGACGAGATGATTCCGCTTTAAAACCCATTGCAATATTTTGGCCACTAAAAAGTGATTTAGAGAATAGAAAACCTGAAGATGTGGAATCTGGTTGTCTCAAGGTGGATTTGATTTGAATTAAGAAATTAAAAGTACAATATGGGATGCAGAAAGCTTGAGGCTGTCCCAATTTTTCTTCTACAAAAGCTCTATCAATCTTAAGGAATTTTCATACGTTTCCCTAAGAGTAACAACAGTCTTTCCACTCATCATCGACCTTACCTACTGGAAATAAACTCGCAAAAAATGTATCTTCAAAAAGAACAAAAAGTCAGTATGCCATTGTAATTGATATTCATTGAAATTGGACTTCGAGATACCCTCTCTAAAGCTTCTATGATTAGAAGGCATTACAAACGGAAACTTCAAAATGAAATTCAATGATCGAAACCTTACAGCCTGAATTCCAATGAAGAGTTTGATATGGGGGCGGGTATGTAGAGTGAGGTACCACTCATGATGCCTAAAAAATTGCCTCGGTGACAATTCTGCATTGATGAAGCATTCTTTTGTTATTGATGTCTCTTCAATCTACTGAAAGGGTGTAGGCAAAACGAAACACTCCAGCGAAACGAATAAGATCTATTGATGACATTGGCTGATTTAAAGGATTGTCTGATTTAAGTGATCTAGTCCCAAAATCTGGTAGTAGATGATTTTCCTTCCCTTTCCGTCTTCAACAGACGTTATAAATTATTGCTTAAACAAGTGTATTAATTTTCGTTTAAATTAGTTGCTCTTAATCGAATCAACATCTGGGTTGCTGTGTATGAAGTGAAAGAAAAATACGCATCTCACAAAAAAAACTTCAGCTGACAGAAGAATAATTTAGTACTGATGTTTCATACACATTTTCACAAACTTTTAAAGCTTTTTTCGTGTTTAAGCGTTATCGTCTAAAACGTATTTTTATCTAACGACAGTGTACTTTTGTCTAGGCCAAATGTTTAGTTTTTCGTTGCATTCGGTCATGCAACGTCTAGTTAAAGGTGGATTAAGATTCTATGAATAACACTTCTACATACAATTTAAATAGTATCACGACTACTGTTCAGTTTGCAGTTGTTGCTGTTGCAGGGCTTGCGGGTTTTGGCCGTTGTTATTGGATTCTGTTGTCGGAGTTTCCGATTTCGAAGCTCTTCTAAATGCTACATTAGCAATTCTGATTCCGCTAAAAACATTTCGTATATTTTTTGGAGCGTCGGAGCCTCTCTTGGGTTGTGGCAGCCGGCTTTGGCATGAAGTCAAAATCGTTTTAAAAGCTTCCCTAATTTGCCGGTTCATGACACTGTAAATTATCCAGTTGCAGCTAGAGTTAGTGTAGGCCATTGCGAAGGTTAGTCTTTGCATCATACCAGATATACTTTTAGGGCTATACGCTCTGATACATGTGACTGTGAACCAGGGAAGCCAGAAGACGAAAAAGACTCCAATCACAACAACTATGATACGTACAGCTTTGAGTTCGTGCTTTAGAATATGGTTGATACGCATCCTGGAGCCGATAGACTTCTTTCTTGTCATCTCCGCCGGTACAGGGACGGTGGAAACCCTCCGCGTCTGACGATGCACTTCTTTGAATATATAAAAGTATGTTAGCGACATTACCATAAAAGGAATAAGGAAGAAAAATATGGCTAGTAAAACGGCCAGCTTTGGATTAGCCTCCCACCATATCTCACAGTCAAGTATCTCTATGTTAAATGTATGGTGAACGAGTCCAAAGTAAGGAAAGAGCGATAAAACGAAGGAGACCACCCATATATTCGTTATCAGGAATGCAACGCTTCGCTTCGTTATCCAATTTTGGTGTCGCAAAGGCCATTTTATGGTTATGAAGCGCTCTACGCTAATAACGCAAAGATGAAGTATCGACGAAGAACAGAGGAACACGCCGAGGACTGATGATAATTGGCACCAAAAGCAACCGAAAATCCATTTCGACGCGAATATCGAAACAGCAACGTAAATTACCCGCACCCCAGGGGTTAGTAAGTCTGTAATTGATAAAGACAGAATAAATGCATTTGTCAGAGTGTGCAAACTTGGAAATCGTAGTATTGCAAGGCAGACTAAAATGTTTCCGAAAGTTGACATCACAAACTGCATCAGAAGAAACACTGCGTAGAAAATGCCTTCGGATTCTAGAAATGTTGTCTCTAATTCACCGCCACATCCATACATTAATGACTGGTTGCTACTCAAAGACTCTGCCATTTTGTCAATGCCTCGGGCCAGTGAATCTTTTGAAGGTCTTAGCAGTTCATATGTTCTTCGAAAGGCATTTTAAACGCCAGCCGTGACACCGTGAATGCGAAAACCTAGATTAAGAAATGAAAGCAAGGTTTATATGTATAAATAAGCAGCAGAAGATATTGCGAAAGAAAGACTTAAGTTAGCTTACAAAAAAGCATGTGCATTAAGTGAAGGGAAATTAGAAACGAAATTGTAAGCAAGGGAGCCAGCACGAAATAAAATAGGGCTATGATAAAAACAAGGGAAAAAATGTGATAGAAAGGAAGAAACAAAACGAAGGTAAAAGTAAAGGAAGGTAAAGGAAGGTGTTACGCAAAGGGAAATTAACCAAAAGCAGAAATAAAAAAAAGATGAAGGCAAAAAGAAATGAAAACGAAGCAGAAATTCTATTCCCGTTGCAAATCTCGTTGAAGAATGACAAGGCGGAATGGAAAATGCCTAAGTCCCTCAGCAAGCCATTTCAGTTGAAAATCAGTTCAAAATTTCATGAAGAATTGATTGAGTTTCAATAATTGTTGATACAAATTAAACGCCTTTATCTCTACGACTTTATTTATACTTCATAGTCAGTTAGGAAGACATTAAAGTAACTGGGTCATCCTGAATGCTAGTTAATGCACTTTTCCTAAGACATTTCCTAATGAATCGATTTTCTTTTATAAATAAGAAGTTTACATTAAATACAGTTTTCTTGAAGTCGTGGTCAGCAGTTAATGGTAGATTAACTCCACCTGAGTGATTGAAGAAAATATTATGGGAAATAATATAGCTGGAGTTAAGCTGTAGTGAAGCTTGGGTGGAGCTGAAGAGCCGGAGTGGGCTTCAGCATAGCTATATTCTTCAAAGGGTGCCCAGAGCTACACCCCAACTGCATGAGCTTTTTATTTCTGCAAATCTAAGTGTTCTGAAAAGGATCATGGTTATAGCAGCAATACTGTTTGTACCTAGATTATGTTTTATAATATGATGAAAAGCCATTGGATTAGTGTTGTCTCAAACTATGACGTAATGCTTTTGAAGATTCCGAACGGTTGTTAATTCGATGGCTCTGGATCTTTGTGAGGGCGGATATAATTTCAAAGATGCTGCTACAATGTACAAGATGAATTTCTCTTCAACATGCTGAAAGGAACTGTAGGAAAATAAAGGGGTCTCAAAGACGAGCATGCTCAAGGTTGACCAAAATTTGGTTCAAACATGTAGATGTATTTTTTTAACTTAAACATAGAACTCCGGGGAGCAAGCATTGCATGTCAATGTGTAGCCAGAATCTTGTTAAACATGATAGAAACTTCTCTAAACAAGTTTATTTGAAAATAGCTTATTTGATAAAACATCTCTCTAACTACCATCTACTTAACTCATTTTGAGCCAAATTTCTTTGATTTCATCCTTTTTACTGATCTCGATGATTTCATTTGCTACACTCCTTTTTTAATAAGAGGCCCTTGACGAAATTCTACACTTCAATTTCCCAGGTTAAGTCTAGGTCAAAGAAGTTAGAAAGCGTCTGTGAAAATTTTGCGATTTTCATTACATTTTGATGCAAATAATGCTAAATGAAGCTTTATCGTCTTGGAAAGGGAAAAAAGATAAAATTATGCTGTTGTGTTGAGAAAGTCGCTATAAGAAAACATTTGTACAAAAATGTGGTAAAACGTTATAAAAGCATTTAGTAGTTGCAAAGCGTTAGAATAACAAGTTTTCATGCATGCAGTTACTCGAGCACTGTGTTTTTAGAGCATTTTGCAAGCAGCAATTACATATTGATGCAAATCTAAGTTATGTCCTTTTACACTGCTTCCTGTTGTAAACTTAGCCTGTTGCAAACCAGGTGAAAGTCAGGTGCGTTCATTGCCCAATACCTTTCAAAATCAAATGGAAATTTAAAGTGTGAATCACTCCCATTGATTTAGGGGTCATCTTGTTAAGCCATCAATTGGTAAAAGATTTGGAGACTGCTTGAGCAACGTTCCATTCAAACATAAAAGTTGCTCCCATGAACATTGGTTATTGGAGACTGGAGACGATTGCTAACAGCTTAGTGTGCAGCTTTGAAATTCGATTTTCTTTGACCTGAGTACCAACATAATGCGCGAAAATCCTCTAACGCTCCAAAATGGCTTGGCTCAGGTCCTGGTAGATCCCTATGCCGGCTGTTTGGTTAGGCATAAGCATTTTATAGGTGAAAGAGGTTTACCTTCGTCTGCTATTCTATCACTCACTGGGGGTAGCAAGCCAAAATCCAAAATATTACCGGATGGGAAAATGAAGGAACATTTCGTTACCCTAAGTTTAATTAGAACTCATTTCCCATTAACAAAAATTTACGGACATTTATAGCTGTTGAGCTAGATAAGAGTCTGCAAGAGATTCTGTCTCATTTTGGGCTGTAAGTTTAGATTGACATCTGGTTTTTTACATAATGTGACATTATTTGGATTTTGTGTCAGGTGTTCAGGCAAAAAGTTAAATATATTTAATGGTGCATCTGGCATTTTCAACTGTGCAGAAATAAGCTCAAACGTTTCAGAACCCTGCTCAAAAAACAATCCAAACATCGTCTAGCCAGGGTGCGTTCGACATCAAGCAGCAGTTTCTCAGGGAAGAGTCATATGCACCAGCTGTTTTCAACTGCGTTAATTACAACTACAACTGCGCCAAGTGTACATGCAATATTTTGCACCAAAATTTCACACTAAATTCATACCTACTTTTCAATGTGCGCCGAGGATCTTCCTAATAACGCTGTTTGTTTCACCATAGCATCTCGGTTAAACATCTCGATTTGGCAGTCTTCGTTAGCAGTTTTTGTCAGCAGTCTTTGTTTAACAATAAACCGCTCCGCTCATCACTTATTTTATCCGTTTTGCTTATGGATCGTGAAGAAGATCCTTTTATTAGCTTATTTCGTGGTATTTGAACAGCAATCAGTTTTGTTGACCGTTTATCAACATTGCTGGAATCACACCTACATTAAAAAATCGTATTAGAAAAAGGAAGCAATAGGTAGCAATATTTCTTACCTGGTTTGAGAATCTGACAAGAGACATCAGAATTGACTGTACTGTCCCATGTGAAGATGCTAGGCACACGTCCAAGTGTTCAGTACAACCTCGAGTAACTATCAAAAGAGGATAAATATATCAAAAATTCTTTGTCAATAGATTTTATGTCTTTGTTTTGTACTCATCGTATCTGAGCCACAACAATAAGGATTTAGCCACGCTAATCCCCTCGTAATATGACCATTGCTCTGCTGACTACGGGACAGTGGTATTTTTAGTGATAAAGTAAGTAAAGAATGGCAGTCGGACGAATGACCTATGCGATTGGCCTCACATAACGAAACTACCAAATTTAATCTAAAATGTTAGTCTGACCTACTTTGCCTGGGGAATTTCGCAGGGTTTTACTGGGCGTTACGAACACAACTTTATACCTGTCAGGCTTAAAAACCCCATATTTTTGTCATTTGTTGCTATATTGAAAATTTAACGTATCATTATACATCACGCAAAGGTTCACTGAAGGAACCACCAATCAAAACCCCAAAGATCACTTTTTTTTACAAATTATCTCGCCGGTTAGCCAGCACGCTCCCATGAATTTGAATATGGTGCCTGCTCCATCCAGAACAGATAACATTTTGTGAATTGTGATAACGATGAACATACAATTAATACTTGTTCTCGAAGCTAATGATTAATGCATAAGCAAACTAACCAAGGAAAACAAAAGAAGTAAACAAATTGATACACGTCACGGAATATTTGCACAAAGTTAAAAGGGAGAATCGCACACAGGCTATTGGCAGCAATTGAAAAAAGCAGAATACAAACATGGGACCGAGGGGCAAATTACTCCATGGAAATCTCGTACATCTTTGATGGAAATCGTATGTTTCTATCTGAAAATCCCTGGAAATCCTATCGAAATTCATGAGTTTTCTTTGTTGATTTGATATTGCAAAACATGAAAATTCTGTAAAGAGTATAAGGCTGTTTAGGTTCATTAAGTAACTGGAATTACACTGGAAAGATCAAGATTGCTAAGACTGCAAACAATTGACCAGCCCCTGCCTTTATTACATCAGGCTTACGTAAAACTTTGTGCATGTTCAAATTTCCTGCGATGAAAGTAAGGGATAAATAGGTAATCCGTGGAACTCATCGCGTAGAAGGATTTAATGCCTAAATGGGGTTTTCAACCAAAATTATTGCAAGACTAATTACAAAATCAGAAAACGAAGAAATAGTGATTGCACAGTGACGGAGGCATAATGGTTGTCTTTCTTTCAATAATCCTACAAAGATTGCGCTGCTGCAATTGCATGCCATAAATAAATGAGGTTTGTATAGCAGTGTGATAAAATTGTATAAGCTAATGTCCACAACGGGACCCATTGAAAGAGAAAAAACTTTTGATAAATCTTGCATGGAAATGACTGTTTGACAAGAATTATTTTTCCTTCTCTTCGTTGGAAACACCCTTAACAATAAAATGAGATTTAAAAATGGCTTTGAAAAACGCAAACGTTAAACTTTGTACCACAAAAAGATTGTTTGAAAGTGAAATTTACCATTTTTTTTGCATTTCTCAGCTGTGGAGCCCCCATATTGTAGACTCCAACCATTGTGCCTCCTCCAGCTCTTGCTTTCATTAAATATATTCATTGATTGCATGTGCTAATGTCAGCTTTTTTATTGTCGTGACACATTTGTCGAAATCATATATTTTGTAAAATTTCTACCATCTGTCTTCAAAATATCTATTCAAGCAGCCAAGGAATCCTCTTTCAAGTTGACGTCTTTTCTCTATGTCTTTATTCTCAACTCCAAAAATAATTGTTCCTGAGCGGTTTCCAGCAAAATTGACTTATTACATCAGGATTCCCCCGGATTGATCTAGTTACTTTCATTGGCTAATTGTTTGTTTAAAACGATTTTCTATAACATTTTCGTTCTGTAAAAGAGTTCGTTATTTCGTCAAAGGTTTATTTGACTTTTCAAATTCCAAAGACAATTGTGATGAGCAGAAATAAATTGAATTTGTAGCCAAAACTTCTTTGCGCAATTCGTCTAATTTCTAGTGATGTTTTATATAAGATAGTTGTCAAAAGAGTGAAGTAGGACCATTGACGATTTCTCGTAGGATTTAAGATCACTGTATCACTAAAACCATCATCAAATGGCTGTTATTATCACACTTTGAAGGCTATTAACAAGAAATAGAAGTTTTTGCATGTTTCAGCAAATTTGAAGAGGCACGCTAGCGGTTCGATTATTTTCGTTTTCTATGACATCAAAGTTAGAAAAGAGATAGCAAGGCTAATAAAGGGACTTTCTTTAAAACGCAACTTTTCTTCTACTGTCGGTTAAATTTTTACAAGACAGAAACCTATCCCTTTTTAGTTAACTTCTTTCTAATGGTCGAGACTATGCTTTTTCAGCGGAAGAGACATCAGGATGAGAAAATAGTTCGTACTTGACTAATGCAGTTACCTAGATATAGTATTAAGTTTTGCTTGTACCTTTGAATAAAGTTACAACTGTTAATGAATAAAGTTGTACCTTTGAATAAAGTTGGAACTGCTAATGATATTGTCTGCATCGTTACCAATTTCATACAACTATTTAGCACATATATAATGGTCGTTTTGATATACCATGAGGGTTAAGCTCTGAATAGATTCATCTCTGAGACTCTTTAAAGACCAATAGATTGACAGGTGTTCTAAAGATGAAAAGACAGGAAGAGGCTAAACAAAAACCTTAAAGTACAAGGAAATTTTGGCAACAACATCTATGATTAGACAAAACCAGCCAAACCAATCGTTGTTCCTCATGGATATGTACTGTTAATAGAGAACAGAAGAGAACATCAGCTGCAAGGCATACACGCTGCCCCATTCTATAGACCTGTGATAACATTCTCCATGCTGGGAGAGAAAATGAAGATTTCCTAAAGGAGATCTAAGTTTCTAAGAGGGACCTTTTGCCACTCAAGGGGATTTTTACCTTTTAAAGAGCGGGTCTTTCGGCAAATTTTAACATTGAACTCGAATACAAAGAGTTTTCGAGGCACTACCAACCTGAGAATACCGAACTAAGGGTGTCTTCTGCACACCAGTCGATGCAGAAAAAATTGTGAAAAAACTCTTCTAAACCCCCATCGCTAGCAAGCATGGGAATTAGCTTTGCAAGTTTGCACAATTGCCGTTTGCGTGGTAGACTGACAAGTGGAGAATTCTAAGCGTGGTGACCACTGGAGATGTCTTCACGATATCATTATGTTATGTATGTGTGTTTTCTTTGCTGAAATGCTTTCTAGGAGATTGCGTAGGTCATTTTCTTTAGATACAACACGGTAAGTCCAACAAAAATCCTGCAATCATCGTGGTAGGTCCGTTAACAATGGACCGCAAGATACTTTCTACTGCAATAAGCAAGTTTATGTTAGTTAACTCATTGCAACGAAGAAAATTGGGAAAATGTTCTCGCGAAACAAACAGTAGGCCTATAAACACTGTCGAAAAGTTGCAAAACTTCTTTGACGGCCTTCTTCTAAAAAGAGAAGTAGCTGAAATGAAAGCGAGGTGCATCTCACCTAAAACTATGACAGCCAAGCCGAGGAAATGGTGTCTTTTTGCTTTGTAGACAGTCTGCTGTGGGCTCTCGGATCTTGCTCAAACATAAACCGGCGCATTCATGTTTACTGGGCCCATTGCTCGTCAATCTTTCCGCGATTGCTGTGATCACTATCTCGCTTCGATGTCGCTTTGTAATCGCAAGATGAAATTGCAGCTGATTTATAAAGAAAGAAGATAACAATACAGACATATTTGAAACAACTGCCCAGCATGCCTCCGTGTTTGGTTGTACTTAGGATACAATCAAGTTTCGACTGTGCATTCATTTACTTAGCAACTAGCAAGATTATTAGCCTTTTCAAAAGCAAAGCTTTAATAATTAGAAGTCTTTGTCTTATTTGATGAAAAAAATCTTATTCTGCCAAAGACGTTTCCTAAGACGTATACTCAGACTTTTTCACCCTATAAATATCCCCGTGGGATCAAGCTTTGTTTTCTCCCTGCCTCCTAAGGAACAGCAAGCCAGCAACACAAGTTTCATTTGGAACATTTTCTGGAGACCTTGTTCTATCCAAATGTAAATACCTCTTAAGGCTGCCGGCTTCTTCCATGATTTTTGCTTCAAGTTTTACGAGATAAAAAGGCTTACCTCGACAAAACATCTTTTAGAATGCTATATTGGATAATTTTTTTAAGGAACTTTTTTGACTAGACCTGATTTTTGAAGAAACCCACGTGATAGAACCAAAAGTATTAGAAGCCATAGAGACAACAACAATTCAGTTTCATAATTCAGGTTGAAGATTTACTGGTACCAGTTTTTCATAATTGCTCTGAAGTCAATGGAACAGCCAGGACAAAGAGCATAATGATAATGTTTTGTAGATTAAGGCAGCAAGGTTTTCAATAACAGCTCGGGTTCCTACAGGCACACCAAATGTTGGTAAGAAATGCTTTCATTTTCAATAACAAACAGCTCAGGCACACGAAATGTTGGATCTTGCATTGAGCTATTGGTGAGTGGGAAGGAGAAACCAATCAGTTGATGAAACTTTTCAGAGCTATGGTGCATGGCGCTTGTTTTAAAGGAACTATATGCTGTCATCGATGCTTTTCTGATAACTAAATTGGTCTTTAAAAAATTATTGCTTAGAAATATGTAATTTGAAGCATACTTTTTGTGACCGTTTTATATTTTGTCTCTCATGGTATAATTGACAAAAAAATATTGTCCATTCCCTTGTCTTAAATGACCATCTGGCATTACAAAATCAGTCAGTGAATGCGTGAACACAATATCACCGATTGGTGCAAACTTTTGCTACAAGTAAAAGGATCTGACGACGATCCAATAGACTCCAAAAAGATCTGAAAAGGATAGCCATTTTAAAAGGTTTGAAACATTTTATGAAAAAGATATAATTTTGAAGGTTTCTAGGATTAAATTAAGTATGAAAAACAAAAGCATAAACTACGTATTTAAAATTTCACATTGCTTATTTCCTTTCTTAGTTTCTTATTCCTTTACTAAATTACATACAAAACATAACAAGTTCTCTTTCAGTTTACTTACTTATTTAATTAGTAAAATATTATTCCTTTATTTTCTTGCTTACTTTAATACTTGATAGAAATAGCTTGCGACTTTTTAACCTTAATTACCTTTTTTCTTTCTAATTCAAATATTTATTTAACTTATTATCACATTGCTGTAATTATCCGTGCTATCTGCAAAAAAGGTGGATGTATGATAATTAGAGATGTATAGGTTGAATAAGATAAAGTTTAAATGCCTTGTGGCATGAAAAAAACTTTTGATATCACTTGAGTATTTTGGGAAACTTTGCTGAAGAAATTTGAAGGCAATTGAAGTACAAAGGAGTTTATCAAATATATTGACTGTAATCCAAATACGTTTGCAGACAACTAAGTAAATCAAGATAGTGAATTTAGCTTTAAAAATAATCTTTTTACTATGTCTTAACTCGTGAGGTTAATGAAGCTATACATCGATTTCAAAAATAAACACAGCCTTTAGCCCCGTTTGTAATTACATCATGTTTTTCTAAGGAAATAAATGCTCAGGGGCTTGTTTCTACTCTATGCGTTTCTTGACGGTGTTTAACATATACATATTTGTTGGTATTTAATTTTTGTTATTACGAATCAGAAAGTCGAAATAAAGTGCTATCTCGCCAAACTATGATAATATTTATGGCTATCACTGGATGGCTCACGTTGGCCCTGTTCACACGAGACCGGATTCATTTCATATCGGATTCACTGACCCAATCCGATACGAATATTAAGCTCTGTTCACACGATACCGGATTAATTTCATATCGGATTCACTGACCCAACGATACCGGATTAATTTCGTATCGGATTCTCTCCGGTTCACAAGGTGACGCTACGCTTCAACACTGCTCCGAAGAATCCATTGTCTTGAAGCAGTTGCATAGCAACGTGGAATTGGGGGCTTAACTTGGCCAATAGATTGGGGGGGTGAAAAGGGTTTCTGCCCTGCAAAACTGAGTGGCGCCCTGCGGACCTCGAAGCAAAGGTTTGTCTAGGTTTACCAAGGAAAAACTTCTAAGCAATAAAAACAGACTTGAACTTCATTGCTTATGAAATATCTATTTCTCTACGTGAGCGGAAATTAAATTTCAAATTTGATTTTTCTTTGTAATAAAACTTGTATCTCACGGCATATTGCTTCTGGTACATGATGTGGACGATGTTTAGTGAGGTAGGAGGACCCACCATGGTCGGGTAATGAAAATTTTTGAAATTATACCTTGTAAGAGGGCTAAAAAGCATCTCCCAGACTAAAATTTAGCAAAATCACTATACTGCTAAAAAAACTGATTATTGTTAATTTTGAAAAATAGGGAGGGGGGATGTCATGCTAAAGTTTTAGCGATAGACGTTGGGGAAAGAAAGAAACGGTAACCTTTCGTTTCAGATTGCACATAGTTGTGAATGACAGAGGAAGATGTTGTTTTGATTTGGAGAATTTTATTTCCTGAACAGAAATGTGCAGTTTCTTGTCAAGTTAAGGCCATGTTTGCACATCCAAAATGAAAACAAGTGATTTACTGAATTAATGCAAATAAACGAAAAAATAAAAGAAATATACATAAATAAGTTAGTAACTAGATCAAACATAATCGACATCTTAACTGTTTATTCTTTTTATTTTTCATACACTGTTTTAAAAAATAAAAGAAAAAATGATAAAATATTTCTTATCTTGACCAAAGTGGGGGCCTTCAGCCCCCTAGCCCTAAAAAGGCTTTCCGACAAAATAGCAGCTTAGCTCTACAGGGGGGTTCTTGCTCCCTCTGACCCCTTCTATCTACGTCACTGCCACCAGCGCAGTTTAGCAACCATGGCAATTTTAGCAACCAAAATAGCCACCCGAGCAGTTTAAGCAACCATAATTTTCATATATTTCTGGGGAGCATTCCCCATATCTCCTAGAAGCGTCTGCCTTAGGCCTTACCATTTAACTTTTGTCCTAACTCAGGGCCCATAAATCTCTCCGCAGCCCTGGTTACACTGGAGATATTTTGAAATCTCTGCGCTATTTTTGTTATAAATTCTTGAGCTTTACTTTGTAATACACATTAAAACAGGTCAGATTAGAAGAGTGTGAATTGATTTTATCCTGCAAATTGTTTCTAGCACTATTTCCTTGCATAGTATCTCAGCTCAGTATTGCTTCGGGCAGCCATAAAAGTATGAGGAATGCAACATTTTTTCGAATCTGTGCCATCGAAACTGCTATTACCTCGTTAAATTTCATGATTACTCCAATGATCAATGAATCAGTCAAAACAAACAAAATAGAGCGGAATTTGAAGCTGATTTTTATCGCAAAGCTAATTTTGGTTGCCAGATCTTCAATAAAACATACTTTCTAAAGAAAATATTTGCTTTTAATTTTCTTGTATTTGATTTTTATCAGTTTGTGGCCATAGCGCCTTGCCAATGCATTCGTAATTTTTCTTATACAAAAAGCTTCAATGGCAATTGGACAGCAGATGCGTACAATGTTTGTTTGCAAAAGGGTAATCATTATTGCGTTTTGGTCATACCATAATTCGAAAAATTTCAGTGGGTGCAACAGCTCCTGTAGCCCCATACCCTCATTTTCTGTCAATACAACTAGGACTTTGACAAACTTCAAATATCGTGACATTCCATAGCAGAAATTCAGATTGTTATTTTGAGAGAGGGGGGTGCTCAGGCCTACGATATTCGACAAGAACGACAATAGACTCAACAACAGTACATCAGTGATTTGAAAGCCAAAAGGAAGTTTCCAAGCTTCCCAAGATTTCCGCAACAGATGACATTTCCCTGTTCGTTAGAGCTTGCGTTTATACGGCTAATTATAAGACGAAAGGAAATATTTGATAAGAAGTTTCATGTCTGCATCTGCTATGTTTCGAAGAACCTTGTGCAATATGTTTAACTCTATTGATTAATATTAATTAAACAGACATTAGCCTAAATTAAAACTTTGTTTAACAATTTAACGGCCAAAAGTTTTTCGTCTGACACTTTTTTGAATATAAGTCTGAGACTCTTTAGTTCTGAGGATGTGACAAGTCGATCCTGGAATGGGATGCAAAAATGATATTGATAATCATGCTTCACCAAAATAGATATTTCAGACCAAGAAAACCGATCATTTAATGGTAACATGAAGATTAATTAAAACTGCCATAATAATACAGATATTTGAAGAGGAAGCCTCAATCACTCGAGAGTGCTTTTCATGAGGGTCCTCTACCTAATGAACGGTATGAAAATTATCTAAAAAAATTATTCACCTCTAATCAAATTGTAGTAAAATGAATAGTTTTTATAACAAAAAGTCTAAAAATATATGTTTAATTAGTTTAATATTAGTAGGATGATATTTTTTTCTCCAATTTGTTTTCACTTTGGGTAGAGGATAAT